ATGCAGCTTTGACGGGGCTACAATTTTTTTATGTCTGCGCGACGCTTCGCTTGTCTGAGCATTTGTGTCTCTCTGTGTGCGTGTGTGGGCAATGCATTTAACATCGTCACAATCGCATTAAAAGCCGCTGCGCCATCGCTGGCAGCGCTGCTGACGTCTCTGTCCCATGCTGCTGTGTCCACCATTTTAATTTTTGCTCTTGCATCGCCCGCCGTTGCCGCCGCCGCAAACACAAATCATTAAAAGTGAACTTAAAATAAAGAAAAGTCCAGACAAAGTTGCTCCGCATCGCTGTGTTGTTGTTGTTGTTGTTGTTTGAGTGCGAAACCGGTTTGCGTCGGTTTTGCTTTCCTTTCCTGATTTTTGGTCTTTGGCTCGGTCTCTGTTTGTTGCCGTAGACTGTCGAAAGCTAGTTGATTTTTCACTCCTTTGCCAATTTTGTTTTTGCATTGCAATTCCATGTGCCCTTTTGCTGAGCTCCACGTCAGCCACGTGTCAGCCAAATGGCGTCCACACAAACCACAATTCACAGCTACATAGACAAGTAAATACAGACGCACACACGCACACAGAGAGAGAGAATAAATGTATGTGAAAAGTAAGCGAAAACCGGCCGGCGCGTTGCATGCAATGAGGGGCATGGGCCGTGCAAAGAGTGAGAGGGCATTGAGCGCCAAAAGCTCTGATGCATTGTCAGACGACGAAAGCTTGCGAGTGCAATACGCGCACTCTCTCGTAGAGAGGAAGAGAAAGAGAGAGAGAGCAACTGACCGAGCGAGTGAGGTACAGAAATATAGAGAGGTACAGCTGCAATTATTTGCAGTTCTTGTCTTGTTTCCGTTTCTTTCCCAACTGCCTTGGCTTGCCTCATCCTCATCCTCATCCTCATCCTCCTCGACGGCGTCGTTGTCCTCGCCAACCGCCACATCCCCGTTTTCGTTGTCGTTGTTGTCGTCATGTGTGGATAATTTGGCGCTTCGCCATGTTTTCTCCGTTTTTACTTTGCGTTCTTCTCCCCCAATCGCTGGTGCCGCAGGGAGTTCGCGGAGCCTCTCTGCAGTTGGTGTTGCATGATGCATAAGTCTTAAGGCACAGTGGGTTCGGTTAAAGGGGCGCTGTTAGTTGTTTGCTGTTCGAGCCGGTGGGCACGGCAAGCTCGTTGCCGGAAAACACGTTTTCATTTTTGCCAGGCCGTACATTTCGCCTTCCTTGTGTTTGTTTTTTCCATTTGTGCTTGCATTCGACTTTTCATTTAGCTTGTAATGTTGCTTTTCTTTTGAAAGTTTGACAGTTAAGCCCAAAAGCAAAAGACAAAAGGCAAAAGCTCAGCAGATAGGGCTCGACATAAATCAAGAATTGTTGATTCGCTATTTTATCTGATTGGCTTAAGCCAATTTCTGAAAGCTTTAAAGTACCAATTGCGAATTGTAAATTATATATAATGAATATTTTTATATAATGTATAAGCTTCTGCTTCTGCTTCTGGTCTGTAATTTCCTCGCACGGCACAATTTATGCAACGAGGCTGGAAACATTTCATGACACTGTAACAACCGCCATGCAATCAGCGGGTTGTGCTTTGTGCCAGGCGCTGGCTTCCACAATTGCAAGCGCCATGTCCTCGTTCTCTGCTAGCAACTCTCTGTGCACAGCGGGCGGCCTGGCAAGAGCATTCAGCCTAATTTCGCAAATAAAATATGCTAAATAAAAACGCTAGATACACCCGAGTCAAGTAGCTAGCGCCTCCTCGTTGTGCCATCGTAGCTGGAATTGAGCGGCGCCTGCAGCCGGCACTTTTCTAATTCGCCATGAAAGGCAAACTATGCCCCCGTTGTTGGAGGCATGAACAACTTGGCCGGTTCCTTGCTGACAGAGGGCCAGGAGGAGGGAGGTAGGGAGATTGTTGGCTGCGCGATGCGCAAGCTGAATAGCTTTTTCTCTTTCAATTCGCTTGTTGTTTCACCTAACTAATCACGACTGTTAGATTCCCTGTTTTTAGAACGTTTTTTCCTATTGCTGCGATCTTTTGGGGTATACGTGTCGGCGCCTTTATGTACTCGCCAGCACGTTGTCGTTTTTATCCAGCCTTTCACTCCATAAGTACAAAAAACTACGCGCACACAGTTCCACATTTCGGACGACATCGCAGACAATGTTCATTGCATGCAACTGTTGTGCCTCCCCTCGCCTAACCCTTCCCTTTCTCCATCGAATTCGTGTCGTGCCCAGCATTCAGTCAGCCGCATTGCAGCGAATTTTTTTAGTGCCTGGTCAGGGCGCGGTACCACGTGACTAAAAATGCCTCTTTTCGTCCTTGCATTTGTTGATGCTCGTCGAGCATGTCCTGGGCTTTTCGGCCACAGTATTGTGTGTGTGTGTGTGTGTTTGTGCATCAAATATTGAAAGTCTAACGGCTGCCAAAATGTTTTGCAGCAAGTGGCCGAACGAAGGCGACTTATTGGTTTCTTGGCAACAGAAATAGCCAAATCCTGGGAACTGTTTGTATTTGGCTCAACGTGCGGCTGAAAACAAGCAAAGATTGTGAAGATTACGATTTTTGGCAAGCTCAAGTCCTGCGGGAAATGTCAGGCTGCCAACTGCTACTATGATAAATGTGGACAGGTTTTATGTCCTCTCGGAGCTCGCTTAAAAGAGAATAGTGAAAGAGATGGGCCTCTCTATGCGATTTTCTTTAGTAATAAATTGCAATGTTCTTTTCACGAAATACCAAAGCACAATCCAAGCATAAACCTCAGCTCAATCCACTTATTTCCATGTTTGTTGCATTTCTAAGACTTCCGCATTTATCCTTGTCTGCCTGTCTGGCTTCCTTAGACATCAAATTTGCTTAATGGCAAATGCATTTTGCGTGCTTTATTTACCATAAACTACAAGATTCCATTCTCTTGTTTACTTTCTTCTCCCCTTTCTAATTTACCTTGCAGTTTGTCGCACTGGCATTAATTTCTGAAACTTATGCGGCCATATCGACCGAGCCTGAAGCAGCACCTTGTCCCGCCCCCAGTCACCGCCGCCTTTACTGTTTCTCGTACTGCAACCCTTCGGTCATAAATTACAGCAAACATTTGCCACAGTTCTGCTTGGCTCCCGCCCCAGGTCTGGCCATGTTGCGCATAGAACAACGGCATGTCTACAGTCGAAACTACTTGCAGCTATTTTCGTGCCTTAAATCGGCTTATGGCACTCGGTCTGACTGGCTTATCTGGCCGGCATTTTCCTGGTGTGAGCCAAAGGGTTGTGCTTCAAGGGAGTTGCCAGCTCCATACGCATTTGCACAAAATCAATAATCTAGCCACCTCTTCCCCCCTCGCCACATGCCTCGTCTACAGTCACTTCCGATGGCCGGACTGCCTCTATTGTTGTCGTCGTTCATGGCAATAATATTTAAATGGCCACTAAGCCCCCGGCTGACCATTTACTTCGCGCACCACACTGCGCCCTTGTGCAGCTTCTTGAAAACAAACTTTTATGCACGGCCGAACTTAAGCCTTAATGACACTGGCTCAAAACGCAGCAAAAAGGCTAACACTTCCTGTCTCTTCTACTAAATACTAGCTTTAAATTTAAATAAAACAAACTCACTTGCAACACCGAATAGTCAAATGTTGGCTGCCTTAAGCTCATGTCATTGGAGATTTGCTTGGAGCAAAAACAAGCAACCCTCAAAAAGGCAGCAGCTGGAGCGCAGCAGACCTCAAACCCTTACCGCTTGCCCACGGGTCACCCTGTCTGGCATACAACTGCATTGCATTGTAATTCCAGTTGCAGACGACGACGGCGGCGTAATGTCTAGTGCTGTCGCCCGCTTTGCGAGCGATGCGAAAAGCGATTTATTTCGCTTTATCAGCAATTTTGATTTTCTTTTGTCTGTTATTGAAAGCTGCATTAAATTGGACGCGCCAGGCATTTGTCATATCGTTGATTTACTAACCTTACACCAGGCGTAATCTCTTGGCCCAGAGCCCAGTGGTCTGCCCTCTGCCGCTGTTAGGGGTGCAAAAAATAGCGCATTGCGTGGCAATAGGGGCACAACTAACACAAGTGAGGCTTGTTGGGCCCGTTGTTTACGTATCCCGGCGTCAACGTAAAATTTATTGAGGTAGTTACCATGCGGCTGCAGAAAACAACGAGCCATGCAAATTCCTGCTTTTTCATGTACATATATTTTTATGCATTTGTGAAGCCCCAACAACTGAGGGCGGAACTCGCAATGTAACTGCAAACACGGCCGTTGCCACAGCAAACATGCATTAAAAATGATGAGAGAAAGGACAAAAAAGTGGAAAAAATTTGCAAATTTGCAAATTGAATGTGCAGAGGTCGTCCAAGTGCTGTGCTTAAGGGTTAGCACGAGTGTTGCGCCATGAATACCGTGATGAATGCCACAACACGTTACGGCAAAGGCCTACAGTAATGCGGCAAAAAAGATGTAGTTATCGTAACCCCATATGCATTGCTATCCACATAGATATTATTCCACTCTGCCCTGTTTCTTGTCATAAAGAGAAACTACTGTTCGAAAAAGGCAATGTGTCCCATTTAGTTTTATTTTTTCCAGAGTTGTGTTTGTCGAAAGGTCCATAACATGGGCAGCACTGTTTGATATATGAAGCTTCAGCGGATCCATTAATTATGTATGTGTCTTAGTCTTTACTCACAGTAGCTCAGTCCTGATTTTAACGCCTTTCGCAAACACCATCTGCCCCGTTGCTTATTAAATTTGCCCATTGAATATACGTACTTTACGTACTTCTCCTCGCTGCGGTAGTTGTCAGTGTAGAGTTGTCAGCGTTTTATTTTTAGAGAAACCTATCGATATTGACACGTGCCTTAATACTTCTGGAGTAGGCTTTGCATGAGTTGACAGTTGTTAGTCAGGCTATCAAATCAGTTTTTTTCCCAGTTCTGAAAAATTAGACGTGGGCCAAACATTTCGGAATTTTCAAGTGAAAAAAACTAAATTCCTTTCTGAAAAGCTTCAAAAAGTTTAATTTCATTAAGTAAATTACAAACCGTCTGGAATTTTTTTGTATTGTTTTTGTTGGCAATTGTCTTTCCACGATGTTGGTGAATGTTACCCAGCGCGTTGCCGCTGGCACCAGCGTCATCTTAGGCGGTCGTAAATCCAACGGCAATGGCAACGGAACCGCAGCTGCTGCTGCTGCTGCCGCTGCTACTGCCGCTACGAACAAAAACTACGAGATTAAGCCCCCAACTCGGGCCGCAAGTGAGTAACGACAACGAAAATAACAACAAACGGCAACGACAAACACAATTTTTTTCAATGTCATGCCAAAGAAAGATAGCAAAAAACAGCAATAAAACGAAATAGCAATAGCCAGAAGAGAGCTTAACTGGGTGAGAGCTTTGGCGAGCGGAGCAACAAACAAAAAGCAGCGCTGAAAATATTTTTGCAATAAGCAAATGCGAATTATAAGCGAGTCAGTCGTACACACACACACACACATGATCGCGTCTGGATCGCATACACTCCCCCATTCGTCACTACGACCCACGCTCTCCATTTCACTCTCGCTCTCTCGCGTTCCGATCACTTTGTTGTTGGTTTTTTTTTTTTTTTTTTTGCACAACGTTACGCAATATTCGCGTTCCATAGTTCTTTCTTTTTGTGTTTGCGGCTTTTGTATTTTGGTTTTGTTTGAGCAATCGTTCAAACACACAAATATATAAATATATATATATTCAGTGCTGATAATATTCCGCACAAAGTAGACCTGACAACTAAATTGTATTAGTGTCTGTGCGTGTGTGCGTGTCACTTAGCAACGGGCATCAAGTTCGCCTTATGACTGTCCCAGTTGCAGCTGCTAACATTTGCATTGCACATTGCGATATGAGGCCATATAAATATAAATGTAATTGATATACATCTAAATTCCCATTTGATGCAAAACAAGCTTTACAAACACTAACCAGTTATCGGGCCACCGTCCTAATGACACACAGCTGATTGTCGCACACACACACACACTCACACACGCGCACACAAGGGGAACGGGAACTGTCATCGTCACCGTCACCGTCTCCGACTACGTCATGCACGACTTTGCCGGCCAGCGGTCAGTTCGTGAGTCCCGCAATTGGGATTCTGTCAGACCGCGCACACGCACAATTTGCGAACGCGCCTCTTTTTTTTATTCTATTGTTTTTTTTTTTTTTTTTTTTTTTTTTTTTTTTTTTTTTTTTTTTTCTTTATTTTGTTGCAGCTTATTGTCTTAGACTCTATAGCGCATTTAGCTCTAAACCTTAACTAATGGGAGGGCAGATATGCCAATTATTCTGCACTTGTAGCTACTATCTTAATTAGTTCTTATATTGTCTAGAGGATGCAATCTCTTCAGTCTTCGCCTATTGTTGTTTATAGCCAGGTTGCTTGCGAGATGGTTAGGATGCGCTGCAAGTCTGTCCGCGTATCTTGAACTGTGTCGCCCAATGAGTTCAGCAACTGTGGGAATTGCTAAATCCCTATGTAAGACTGAGTTTCTTACAAACCAGCTGGCTCCAGTCCATCTGCGTAGTGCTTTATTCTGCAGGGTCTGAATTTTGTTCCTTGTAGTCTTCGCCGAGGAGCCCCATAGAGAGATACCATATACGAAGGTTGGGACAACTATTGCCTTGTAGATGGCGGCCTTGCTGCTGTAAGACAACTTGCTTGAAGCTCTCAGCATCCAGTCGAGGGTTTTTAGCTTGCTTTTGCATTTTGAGGTTACTTGACTTATGTGCGCTTTAAAAGTCAGCCTTCTGTCAAGAGTGATACCAAGGTACTTTACTTTTGAGGCTTTGGGAATAGTGGGCCCCAATGCAACGCTTGGGCAATCTCCTCTTCTAGTGGCGAAGGTAGTATGTACAGACTTTTGTGCATTAATGGTGATACACCACCGTTTTGCCCAGCGTCCGAAAGAGTCCAGATATTTTTGTAGTGAGTCTGAAGCTTCTTGCGCAGATACGTGACGTGATAAGATGGCGGTGTCATCTGCATAGGTCGCTATGAGTACTGCATCTGTACTTCCTATATTTGGCTCGGGAGTTGGCATATCTCCTGTGAATAAAGTATAAAGTGTTGGGCCTAGAACACTACCCTGTGGTACTCCAGCCATAATTGGTCTAGTCAAGGATACTGCTTGCCCCCTTGACACTTGGAAGGTTCTTCCAATAAGGTATGAGGATAGCAACGCGAAAAATGGGGCTGGAAGGGTGGTCCTCACTTTCTGCAGCAGTCCCAGGTGCCAAACTCGATCAAACGCCTGTTTGATGTCTAAAAAGACGGCAGAGCAGTACATCTTTTCTTCAAAGGCTCCAAGGATATGGTGCACAACTCTGTGAACCTGTTCCGGTGTTCCATGCTGTCTCCTGAAGCCAAACTGATGGTTTGGAATGGCCTCCTGGCGTCCCAGATGTGTCAGTACTCGTTCCAGAAATATTCTTTCGAATATTTTGGAGAGTACTGGCAACAGGCTAATTGGTCTGTACGACTCAATTTCTCCCACGGGTTTGCCAGGCTTAGGAATCATCACAATCACGGCGCGCTTCCAGCAGGCTGGAAAGTGCCGGATGCGGAGCATGGCGTTGTACACCATAGTTATGTAGTCTATGGTGGAGTCAGGCAGTGCTCTAAGGACTCTGCCGTTTATTAGATCATATCCAGGGGATTTTTTTGCCTTCACTCTTCTGATGTGTTCAAGAACCTCTTCTTTTGTACATCCAGTTATCTGGTCTTCAGCTGGGAGGGGCGAGAGAACGATGTCTTCTGTTGCTTCGATTTCTGAGGCCTCTGCGGTAATCACCGGCGTGAATTGGTCTTGAAGGTGGTTTGCAAAAGCCTCAGCTTGAGCTTCGTCACCAATGTGCCAGGAACCAGAAATGCTCCGAATGGGATGTCGACGTATTGGCTGCCGTTTGAGCTTTCTTGTAAATTTCCATAATTGAAACTCTGCGTCAGTGGGCGATTCAGCTCGTACCAGCGCATCGCTGATACACCTCTTTTGAAGCAGGGCGAGAGCAGCTTTAAGATGCCTCGTGGCTTCGTTGTACGTGGATTTGGCATCAGGCGTGCGTAATCTTAACCAGCGTCTCCTGGCCCATCTTTTGTGTATTAGTAGGTGTTGGGCCTCCAAGGTGAGGGGGATGTTGTACGGAGACTGTTGTCTTGTTTGGCAAGATGGTGGGGCGGCTTGGTGCGCAGCTTTGACTATTTCTTCCTGCAGTTTGTTTGCTGCGTAGTCCACGTCTTCAGGAGTGTTAAGTTCCATTTCTATGTGCAAAGAGTAATGGAGCTCGCGCCTAAAGACTCCTAAATCTGATCCTGCTGGCAGTAGTTGTTTCCTAATGGGCAAGGGCTGTGGCTGCGCGTGGATTGTGACTATTAGTGGCAGGTGGTCAGAGGATAGGTCCAAGGATTCTTCAATGGTCAATTGCCGGTCACAGATGCCTTTGTAGACAGCGAAGTCGATTGCCGAGGGCCTGTGTCCATTAATTGGGTAACGGGTGGGGGCTCCAGTCGCCAATATGCTGAATTGTAAGTTTTGAATCGCCTCAAATATGACTTCTCCGCGACGATTCGCACTATTGCTTCCCCAAAATGGGTGCCATCCATTCCAGTCGCCGCCGATGAGGGTCTTATTCAACCTTTGGCCTAGAACCTGTTCCATGTGATGATCACACAGACCAGTGTTTGGCGGAAGATAAATTGACGCAACTTCGATCGCTCCAATAGACGTAGGCAGGGTGATGGCTGAGACCTGCATTGTTGCGTTGCAAATTGACAGTAAAGGTGTATGCGGTATTGTTGCTCGTATGAGGATTGAGGATCCACCAAAGCAGTTTGCTCCTTCACCATGAGCCTGATAGTGTTCGTATCCGAAAATTTGTGTAGTGGGGCACTCATGAGTTTCTGTTATTAACATTATATCTATGTTTTCTTGTGAGAGAAACGCAGCCAGTTCCTGAGTCTTGTTTCTCAGGCCATTGGCGTTCCAGATACCCACACGTAAAGCCATTATTTGTAGGCAAGCTTGGTTATGATGGCCATTAAACTGTTTAGCATGGTTGCTTGTTGGGATTGTACTTCTCGCATCGCTTTGAGCTCGGCATTAATTGCGTCAAACTGACGTTGTTGTTGCTGAAGCATTTCAGTGAACAAAGTGTCACTTGTGGTATTCTTATTTGACGGTCCACCTCTAGCGGCCTGTGCGTAAGAAACACCACTAATAGGCGTTGCAAAGCTCGTGGCTTGGGTAATGCTCCGGGGCCTTGTAATTTCGGAAGCAGTACTCGGACCCGTAGACGGTGTTTGTGTGGGACTCCTTTTTTGTGCTGGGGATTGCAATTTGCGCAACCGCTTGTATACTTGGCAGCCCTTATAGTTGGCTGGGTGCTGTAACTCACAGTGCACACAAGTTGGTGCCTGGTCCTTTTCGCGGGTGCAGTCTTTGGATGCGTGTTTCCCGGCGCAACGCACACACCTGGGAGCTTTGTGGCAGTAGCGTTGTGTGTGTCCAAATTCTTGACAGCGATGGCATTGTGTCAGGTCGTTGTATCTTCTTGGCAGTTCCACTGTGCAGCGTTGCCTGCAGACAACTCGAATGTCCAAAATTTCTTTGTTGTTGGGGGCCTGAGCCACGTCAACAAAAAATATATTTAGCGGTGTTTTGTCCATACGGCTCAGTGGGTTGTGCACATTTGTAATTGTGTGGCCTTTGGTTTCCAATTCCTTTTTAATTAGTGTTGTATCAGTGCTGGAGTGAAGCCCTTTGAACACGACTCTATATGGTTTGTCCTCCTTAAGCTGGTAGCAGTGGAACTCCAATTCCAGCTTAGTAAAGTGGTCTATAACTCTGCGATAGTCCTCACTGCATTGGGTTAATACACCTATGTTATTCTTCTTTGGCTTAATTACGTATGATTTAGCATCAATTACTTTATCTATTATCTGTTGAAGTAGGGCCACAGACTTGATGTTTGGACACCATATGGGGGGCGGACGAGGTTTCGGTGTAGTTTGCTGGTCGGTCAATACTGGGGCTTCTGGAGCTACAGGTGATTCGCTGTAGTCTTCATCTTCTTCTACGAGCAGTGAAAATCGATTTTCTGATATTAATGCTGCATTGCTGGTGCTTGGTTCGTCGAAGATGAGCCTTTTCTTGATGGTTTTTGGTGAATTTGGCTGTTTACGTTTCGTGTTTTTGTTGTTAGTGATGCCTTGCACGGAGGCGATATCTATTTTTGAGTTTATTGGCATGATGGAGGCTTGCCTATTTGCCATCACAACGTTAAGCTGGGCTTGCATTTCTGCATTTACCTTTACAGCTGTAGCGCGGTCATTGACATTAGATGTCATCGCGGATTGTGCTTTTGAGTGCAGGCGCACTCGCGCCAAGCGACGAAATTTCGTAAATTACAATTAAAGCAATTGAGTTACGCGGAAGCAAGCGATAAGAAAACGCTGCGTGTGCGGTTTTTGTTGCTGTTGCGTTGAAGAATGCACCGCAAAGTTCTATTTTTAGAACTCTGCAGCAGTAGAGCTTAAGCGAAGGCTGTTCGAATTCACGTCTTTACAGGTCGAACGACTGATCGCGATTGTTAAAATTGTATTCTATTGTTTACTTTTCGCTTTTGACACGCATCGCGAACTTCTCCCTCTCGTTGCCCGATTAGCTCTTGTCGTGCACGCACTAAATTGTGCGTGCGCGACGCTCTCCCACTACGAAGATCGCTCGCAACGTGCGTTTGTTTGAAGTCAATGAACTTTTTTGCAAATACTGGCTCTCGCGTGCGATGCGTGCGAATTTCGTTCGTATTTGCTCGCGACCTAGTTCGATGGCAACGCGCAACCACCGCTCGCATTTAAAGCACGCTAATGTAAAAATATATTTTTACTTGCAGAAATGGCGGAAGGCAATGGCGAACTATTGGACGACATTAACCAGAAAGCCGATGACCGTGGCGATGGCGAACGTACTGAGGACTATCCCAAACTACTGGAATATGGTCTGGACAAAAAGGTACTTTCAAATTATGGAAAAATTCTAGCTATTTCTATTTCTGATGCGCCGTTCGTTGTTTGCGTTACGATTAGGTCGCCGGCAAACTGGATGAAATCTACAAAACCGGCAAACTTGCTCACGCCGAGCTGGACGAGCGCGCACTGGACGCGCTCAAGGAGTTTCCTGTTGATGGTGCCTTGAATGTGCTTAGTCAGTTCCTTGAGTCAAATCTGGAACATGTGTCAAATAAGTCTGCTTACTTGTGTGGGGTTATGAAAACTTATCGTCAAAAGAGTCGCGCCAGTCAACAGGGTGTGCCCGCGACCGCCAGCACCATACAGGTAAAGGGTCCGGATGAGGAGAAGATCAAAAAGATTCTGGAACGCACCGGTTACACATTGGACGTGACCACAGGTGGGTTGGACATAATCATACGTCAATTGCAATTCTAATAACGGCTATGCAGGACAACGCAAATACGGCGGGCCGCCACCCAACTGGGAGGGGAATGTGCCCGGCAATGGCTGCGAGGTTTTCTGTGGTAAAATTCCCAAGGATATGTTTGAGGATGAGCTAATACCGCTATTCGAAAACTGCGGAACCATTTGGGACCTTAGACTAATGATGGACCCCATGACTGGCACAAATCGTGGTTACGCATTTGTCACATTCACAAATCGCGAAGCGGCCGTTAATGCTGTGCGACAGGTATTTAATCCAACCTTGAATCTATCAATACACCCAAATGTCTCCCCACCCCTTCGACCCAACACAGCAAGAACACCGTCCGTCCATAAAGCGCTTTGTGTTTAAAACAATATACATATCTCTATATATATAAATATATTTATCAAAATTTCTGTATAGTAGGTAAATACGAATCGTTTTGGCCCTCAACACTGCCGCTTGACCCAAATTCTACAATTGAAAACTTTTAGTTCTAAGCACAAATTCGAACGATTGAAATTCCAACAACAACCTGAATTATCCCGATTCGGCGCTTTGAGACAAAACAAACTTAAACGAAGAATCTTTATTGTTGCTACTTTAATCGCTACTGTCTATAGTCCTGCCTTCATCTTAATCGCTAACGCTCTTTTATGCTCTGCCTATTCTAAATATCTGTAATTTGTTATGTATGCATGTCCTTTTTATATAGATTATACAAATATAAATATAATTTTACTACTACTTAGCAGCACTAGATAACGAAAAAGAAAATTCGCAAAATTTGAAAAGAGTTCTCTCTGCGATACATACCTGAATTGAAAACTGCAATTTGTTAAACCTGTTCCCCCAACTTTAATTTGAATTTCCCTTATTCTTTTTGAATTTTTCTTAACCATAAGTGAATTTGTAGCTCAAGCATATGAACCGTAGCTTATATATATATAATGATTTGACTCTCAACTTCGTAGGGGTACGTTTTCATTGTCTGGTTTTATTAAAAACAGAACACAAGCCGAGCATGTCCTTCTTTACTAACAACCCAGAGTTCTGCTGAGCTTTCCTTATATAACGAAACTAAAACTAACAAACTTTTCACTTACTAATAATTTTACTATATTTCAAAATGCCGCGACGAAATCGAAAACCTCTTCGAAATATTTCAAAATTGGTAATGCAAAATTATTATTATACATTAAATACTTCTGTTGTTTAATTTGAAAAGCTCCGACCCAACCTCAACCTGACCCGTACTCCATTTTGAGTTCTTGAACAAAATTATTACTCAGTTATTGAATTATGATTTACATTTTTATTTATTATAATTAACATTGAATTGGTATTAAAAATCGTTTTACCTTCCCCCCACAATTTAGCTCGATAATCACGAAATAAAACCCGGCAAGTGTCTGAAAATAAATATAAGCGTACCGAATCTGCGCCTTTTCGTAGGCAATATACCCAAGTCAAAAGGCAAAGATGAAATTTTAGAGGAATTTGGTAAACTTACAGGTAAATTGAAACGAAATTAAAACAGCTATTTAAAATTTTCAACTATGTACCTTTACGAAAGGTCGCTTTCTTTCTTTCCCAAGCGCCTTTTTATAAAGCTCTACAAAACAAATCGGCTTTAAATTGTTAAAACAAAAATCCAATTGGCTCAAACAACTTAATTGGCTAATTGAATAGGCAGGCATTTAGCTTAGGTTAGGAACTACTCACAGGTTATTATCGTTTGATTAATTTAATTTGTATTATTTTGTCATCACATCCAACCATATATCCATTGCCATCCAACCACCTACCATTCCATCACCAACATGCAGTACAACTTCAATGAATTGAAAAGCGTTCGAGACTCTTTTCAAATGCACCCTCAACAGAATAAACATAATGGGTGCACCAATCCAGCTCACACACTCTCATACAACCACCACAACCAGTCACAGACTCGCCCATACAACCCGTTTGCCATACGCTTTAATAACGATATACTTATGTACTAAATATTATCTCCAGTCATTAACTTTGCGTACGAAAACCAAAATGCAAAATGAAAAAATGTTTAAAAAATTATTCAAAAATTATGCATTGCATATTCTTTTCGTAACTGGTTTTTAGTTGTATAACCTAGGAATAATAGGTGTTTATTCTTTTCGAATGTTGTGATTGTAAGGTCATCTGCAATTGGTGTCGAAATTATTTGTATGTATGTTTCCGGAAGGTAAGATTTGACAACCAAAAACAAGCCACGGATGACATTCGATGAACAACTCTCGGTAGTCAACGGCAAATGAATACATGTAAAATCACAACAAATTAGCTAAATCCTAATCAAATACTTTTATAAATTCTTTTTTATTTGGCACGAATAACAAACTAATTTACAAATTCTTAAGCCTAAGTCTAGATCTTACAAATTTTTTAAGTCAACACGCACATCCTACACACAAATACACACATACACAGAAACACCCACGAAACAACCATAACTTTTCACCTTAACTAAAAAAAAAGAAATCGAAATCCCAAAAATCGCAGTACCAATGGATACAAATTTTTCATAGCAAATCAAAATTTTCTTTTGTTTTGTGTGAACTTTTGAACAATTGCAGCTAAATGATTTTGAAATTCGGAAAGGCAAAAAGATTGGTGTTACGATATCATTTAACAATCACCGGCTATTTGTCGGCAATATACCTAAAAATAGAGATCGTGACGAATTAATTGAGGAATTTTCTAAACATGCACGTAAGTGATCCAAAACAAAACAAAAACCAAACAAATGAAATCAGCTAAACCAAAAACCCTCCAACCAAAAACTTTCATACAAATAAATAAAACCCAACACCACCCCCAGCGAATTGGTAAATAAGCGTACGGCATCCAACTTTTTAGGGGCGATACTTGCAGACAGCCAGAATTGAAAACGACTGCAGCAGCAACAAAGTACTAATTGGATTTTTGTTTTGCAATTTTCGCTTTTAAAAATTCTTCCAAATTTGAATAATCATGCCACACACACAATCCCATTAAAAAGGAAGCTCTCAATAAGCAAAACTGTTGGCTTATTTAACTACTGTCCCCCTTTCTCTCTCTCTTTCTATCTAGCAAATACAACAAAAAAATAATTGTTACACTTTAATTATGATTTGTATTGATTTAATTCACTAAATGTGCCCGATTTGTTGACATTGAAAACCTGTAGCTAAACAAACATTTTTGAATATTTTTGAAAGCATCAAAAATGCGACAATTTTTGTTTTAGAACAGAACAATTATCGCGCACACAAAACTCCATCAATTTGGTTAGGAAAATACAATTCGTATAGATCTCTGTTCTGGCCAATCAACTATGGTAATGACTGGAGAAAACACTTACTGTAAACGTGTTAATCCCCCACCCCAACTCATTTTACTCTTTCTCTCTCAAACTGCAATTCGATGGAAACTCAATTCAAAATCAATATATATATATATACGTGTTTCTTACTATATCTGTGTCTTTCTCAGTGTATACTATCCTGTTACTGTTTTTGTTTTACCTACCAAAGAAATACTCAAGCTCAGTGTGTGCTCTACAATAACTCCTTATATATATATACATTTTTACTTACATTTTTGCAACGTGTACAAAGCAAAAAAAAACAGAAGCAACATCAACCAACGGAATTTTTAGTTTTTCTTACAAGTCTTCTCTAAGTGTGTCTTTGATTTCAAACTACTTATACACTGTCTTTCTCTCTCTTTCTCTCTCTCTCTCTGTCTATCTTTCTATATACGTATAACTATGCGAAAATATATACACACCAAATTCGGTTAGCTTAGCGCATTTACTTTTCAAAAATATTTAAAAAAGCAAAGAATCTGTTGGCATTGGTTTTCAAAATCACCTTTACAAGTGTAAACGATACGATCAATTTAATATTGAAAAGCTCAGAAATTTGCATTATTTTACCATGCACAGCCGCCGCTTGTCATGTAAAATGTTGTGCATTTCTGTCATTTATTTAATTTATTGATTCAAATTTAATTTAAAGTGCGGTACTTAATGCCATCTACACACACATACATAGATACACTCAGCCATTAACACACACACACACACAAAAATGCTGTCAATACAAATACTTTTTTGTTGTATTTCTCTCTATATATATTTGTGTGTGTGTGAAACTAATCTATTTCGTAGTTGTGCATTTAATTAATAAATATTGTATATTCAAAAATATAGTACTAATTGTCACATTTTCTTTTATATTTATAAAAAAATTCGTACAAATTCGTAGCTGGCCTCTACGAGGTAATCATCTATAGCTCGCCAGATGACAAGAAAAAGAATCGCGGCTTTTGCTTTCTCGAATACGATTCACACAAGGCGGCTTCATTGGCCAAACGGAGACTTGGCACTGGTAGAATTAAGGTAAGTATTAAATCCCATTGCACGTGCATCCAAATATAATGAAATTGTATTTGCAGGTTTGGGGATGTGATATTATAGTCGACTGGGCTGATCCACAGGAGGAGCCGGATGAACAAACAATGTCTAAGGTTAAAGTACTCTACGTGCGAAATCTAACGCAAGACGTTACAGAGGATAAACTGAAGGTTGGTTAGTTATAGCTCCTACAATTTGAGTTACTTCAAAAAAACCTTTCCCAGGAACAATTCGAGCAATATGGCAAGGTGGAACGCGTCAAGAAGATAAAAGACTATGCCTTTATACATTTTGAGGATCGTGATAGCGCCGTCGAAGCTATGCGTGGCCTTAATGGCAAGGAGGTCGGCGCCTCTAATATTGAGGTACCTTTCGCTTGCATTAATATATATATTTCGGTAATATATATGTTATTTACTAACAGGTCTCCCTCGCCAAACCACCATCGGACAAAAAGAAAAAGGAGGAGATTCTGCGTGCACGCGAACGACGCATGATGCAAATGATGCAGGCGCGTCCCGGAATTGTTGGGTAAGTAACTGTTTAAGCAATGGTTTTTTCTTCTGGCAGCCGTTTGCTTAAGCTGAAAGAGCGGTTCGTTCTTTTTGCTTAAGCTGAAAGAGCGGTTCGATCTTTTTGCTTAAGCTGAAAGAGCGGTTCGTTCTTTTTGCTTAAGCTGAAAGAGCGGTTCGTTCTTTTGCTTAAGCTGAAATAGCGGTTCATTGCTTAAGCTGAAAGAGCGGTTCGTTCTTTTGCTTAAGCTGAAAGAGCGGTTCGTTCTTTTGCTTAAGCTGAAAGAGCGGTTCGTTCTTTTGCTTGAACTGAAAGAGCGGCTGAACGAGTGACCCGATATATAAAAGCGCAAAATTATCCTGGTCTAACACAACACAATTGGCGCAAAATTCAAAAATCCACTAATTTTAATTACAATTGGATTCAAGATTTTGGTTGGAAACTCTTTACTCTTCAAGTCGCCATTATTCACTGTAACGAGTCTTATTATGATTCATTTAATTTATTTAATTTTATATTTTCTTTCTTTTTATTGCCAATTGCGAATTGCCAATCGCCTTGTGATCAAATGGGTGATCCCACTTTGTTGCTTCACTGCCACCCATCACACGACAACAAAACCAAAACTTATTAATAACCCCAACCCTTTTTAAATTGGTTGATTTGTAAAGATTTGAAACATTGTCTCCATACAGAAATCTGTCGCCGACACACCCCAGCATGATGTCCATCACACCCATGCGCCTACCAGGGGCGCGTATGCCTCTACGCACACCGATACCCCGTGAATACGGTAAGTTGGGCAAATACGCCAATAAGTGAACCAATCGATTATTCTCATCAAGTATCAAGAATATCTGTGTGTATATATACTTGTCGAGCTCACATGTGTGGCTCCCAAAAAAGACAGAAAATGATCTTAAAATCGCAGGGAAAACATGTTAAAGTCATTTGATTTAGATTTGTAGTTATTCGAATACAAATGAGCGTAATCCTTACTTAATAGTTAAATTCTAGATAAATGTAATTGCTACTAAGCCACAGCGGAACTAACAACTAAAGTTGTTGAATTAATACTAGCCAGATACATGTAATTGGTCTGCAGCTTACATCTTTAAGTTATCATATCCAATGCCAATATTTGGTTTTTCATTCAACACCTTTTATCGTTTTTATCGTCTCTCATTTTAGTTAGTTATTTTAAGGTTAGAAAGCGCGATGCCCACTAACTTGTACGCTCGTGCCCCCAAATACTTCTATTACTATTACTTCTACTATTACACATACACAACACTCACACAAAATGCCTTAGCACCTACCCACAGTCTAGTATCCAGCTAGATTGAGACTAACAAATTGATAATTGAGATATGATTTAACCAATTTGCGCACACACATAACCAAACTCTGATTGATTTTCACTGCTAAACGTAAATATTTCATATTTGCAAGTTTTGTATGTTAATGCTCTCTCTCTATATATTCATTTCCATTGTCTGCATGCCTGATTCTTTTTGATGTTGTCATACGTTCATTCCATATATTTTTTTTCTTTATCTTCGGCTCTCCTCCTCTACATCTTCAAGATGCTGTACTCTCTGACAACTATAACTTACTAATACCACTACACATAGTTAGACTTAACCTCTAAACGTTGTTCATAGCCGTGTTTATCATAATTAAACGTTGCCATTGTGTTCTCTGTGTAGCGAATGTTAAGCACCCTGTATACTGTTTGATGTTTTATCACCGGTAAGTAACCCAAGCCATCAATCTACTTAAACCTACATCTATATTGTATGTGTATGTGTCTGCCACACCCACCACTACTTTCCACCCCCGTCAGCGTTTAGAACGCGCCTAATTCGAGTTACAAATTGGTCAAACGCAGCTAAAACAGGTTCCCTCATTCATTTAAACACACGCATCAGTATCATGGACACACGCTTACACACCTCGCTCGCAACACTCGAATTGTTCCTTTATTAACCTTTAACCACAATCCTATTCCCGCAAAACCATATCTCGTGCAAAATTCTAGACTACGATTATGATTATTTTGGCTATTCGGAATTTCGCCCCGGCTTTGGAGCTGATTCGTACTACGATGATGTTTATCGTGCTTATGAAGGCGAGTATAGCTATTATGATTATCCTAATGCCGCCAGCGGCAATGGAGCTGCCGGTGGCATTAGCAACGGTGCTGTGGCCATGTCTAACAATTCGGGCGGTGGTTCCGTTCCTCTGGGCGCGTCCCAGCGCCCATCAAGATCCCAGCAAGGTGGCTCAGCTAATTCGCCAGTGATTATGGTGCGTGTTACTTTTTGTCCCATTATCGCAGATTCGCAGTTACAGTTGTCGCAACAAATACACAGAAACACAAATTTGTACTGTACTTCTGTTTGAATACGTAATGTAGTTAGATGTAATTCGATATTAATTCGGTTTAATGATTTGTGCTGACACAGCTGAAATAGGCTTTGTCAGGCCGATGGTTTTATTGTTTTGTTTTCAGCTTCATTGCTTTTTTAAAACGAACTAATTTCGAAAACTTTTTATTTTCGTTTACAATGTCAAAATTTGCATGTTAAATGCTGCCAACTACATACGACCCACGACAATTAACACAGCGCAGCACGTCATACCACACACACACACCACACCATCCACAGCTACTGCACACACATCACCCAGAACAGCTCTCTGACCCTTACGATATCTTTTGGCCAACATTTGAGCAATGGAAACAAATTTATAATTTATTATGCTACGCTTTGCTTTACGCCCTGGAAACTAACAATTGTTGCTCCCTGCGCTTTACTTACGCTTAATTGCATTTAATGCTAATTGCAACGCTAATTATTTATTATTTTAATCATCGTGCTTCTACAAATTTGTTAAATATATTTAAGTTATTAATGCTTTTAGTTAGAAGAAAAACCAAAAATACGTAGCCTATTTTTAAGAAAATGCCCATTGCTTTATTTAACGCTTATTGTTTAATATTATTATAAAAATTAAGTAAAAATTTGAATATTGTGTCCATCGCAAGCAACAGAAAGCCATACAAAAAATGTTTATCGAGCATAAGCTCATTTCGTTACTAGATGCCGAAAATCTTGCGCTGTGATTTGTTGTTAAAAATACTATATTCCCAATATTATTAGAGGCAGTAAAATTTGCATTTGTTGCTCTTTGAGCAACACTCAGTACACAGACAATACACAAGAGACCAAAACACGAATATCAAAATATATATTAGCATTTTTTCTTATCAATCAAAACGTAATTTTCATATACATATATATTTAATTCATATAAACATTAATAATATACATACTTTTATTATTGTATGTAAATACAAGAATCTAACGCGTTTATTTCGATTTTTCTTTTCTTTCTTTTCTTTTTATATATGTTGTTAAACTATTATATATACAAACAAATCATTTGTTTTTCGGTAACAAAAAATTTAAAAAACTTTGCAAACCAAAAAAAAAAAAAATTATATATATGTTCGTCAAACCATACAAAATTCCTATAAAAATTCTCTACCAAAACCTAAACCTGAAATTTATGCAACCAAACAAACAACCAACGACCAATAAACAAATCGACAAACTTTTCGATTCAAAAACCAAATTGTATCAACCCAAACCTGCTATTTAATTATTTGCCCAAACGTCTTTCCTCTCTAAAAACTAAATTCGAAATTTGCAACTGCATTCGATTTCAAAATTATGAATCCAAATGTATTTAATTATAATTTGAAATGACCAAAATTCAATATCTTGGCGATCCATATATATTATATATATATCTCTATATATATATATACGATATCTTACTCAATTTATATTATAAAAAAATACTGTTAAACTGCAAAAATTCGAAATCCAACCAAAAACAAATCAATCAACGCTCAAAAACCTGGAATAACTGAATATGGAATCATATGGAATGCCCCGCTCTGGAATATATATATAAATAAATATACAAAAAAAATTAAATGAACACACCTACACACACACACACACACACGCAAACACGAACATGCACACTCTATCTCACACACACTACAAACATGCATGCATGCCATTGCAATGATGATAATTAGGGAGCTGGTCGTGGGCATGGAATCACAGTCCCGCGTGGCCGAGCCGTTGGCCAACGTGGCAGCATCAGTCGTCTGGGGGCCCAACCAGTGCCACAGGCGGCGGCAGCGGTGGCGGCGGTGGGACAGGCGGCGGCGGCGGCTCATCGGGGGGCGGCCACCGTTCAGGGGGCGCCGGCAGCAACCGGGGGGGTCCGTGGGGTGGCACCAATGCGTCCCAGCGCTCCTGGCACCCAGCACGTCAAGCCGCTACAAAATTTACCAGGTGAGCTCAACAACCACAACAACCAAACAACCAAACAGCAACAACAAAAGACAACAAAAATATCAAATCCAAAATCCAAAACCAACAACGTTCAAGTGCAACAACTGCAACAGCAGCAGCAGCAACCACCAACACGAACACCATCAAACAGCAACAGCAATCTCAAATGCATAACAATACAAATCCATATAAATTAATAAGTAAAGCCAAGTAAAATGTTACCACCCAACCCATACAAATACAGACACACACACACACACCCACATACGCACACAATGATTTTGAGGTTTTCTAACCATCCACCAAGCTTACAATGGAAGCATCTCAAGGTTCACTTAATGTCGTGTTTTTTACTCATAATTTATATTTTTTTTTTTGCATTTTGTAAATGTGTTTAAATGTCCTATTTAAATATATATATATAATAAATATATTTTCTTAATGTAGCTTAACTCTTGCTGCTTTTGGATTTTCGTCACGAAATTTTCATCTTTTGTATCATTTCAACAGCGCTAAAATGTATGCTACAGTTTTTGCATGCACTTAGCTTCGACTTAGTCAAAAGCAGCAAGCAGGTACACACACATACACACACACATCCAGACACACACACTCTCCACACATCCAAACACACACACACACATACACGCCAAACGCTCACGCACATGTATATGGAAAGCCAGTATAACAAATTATATGAATGCATATGTATGTTAAGGAGCATATGCTGTGAAAACGTTTATGAATCGATTAGTATTTAAATATCGTCATGCCCGCCCATCTCCCACTGTTTCACTACTACTGCTACTGCTGGTACCAACTGTTGTTAAGAGTCAGTGGAGAGTTGAAGATACGCCCCTTTCCCCTCTTATTAAATGCTCCCCGACATAAAATCCTTTAAATCCATTTGACGTACGTGTATATAATTTTTTTTAATATTTTGGTTACACAAATCTATGAATAAATTTTGATGCGTTGGCACAATAAATATTTTTCTAAATTTTGAGTATAAATATATGTATGTTTAATAAAATTTAAGTTCATGCTTTGCTAATCAACAGTTCAAATCCAATATTAGTATCCATATCCTCTATATAAATATATATATGTATTTATGCCGATATATAAATAACACAACACACCTAATTTACTCACATGTACGTTTTTATTTGATTAAATACTTGTATATATAAATATATATATATATATAAATCTTTTGTTGTACAACAAATACTAATCGATTCGTGTATTCTGTTTTAACGATGAACACAACCCAACACTTTTTTTAAATATGCAAAATATAATTTGTTACATGTTGTATGGCTACATATACATAGCAGCAGAAGCACGCTTTTGCCAATATTTTTTAATTTTAGACAAGGCAAAAGCGTGACACAGAAATCTTTAGTTAAATGTACTATTTTACACGCTTTACTTATAAACGCCAACATTTTGTATTGTCCATCCACATTTGGTAAGCTTATTGTTTTTTTTTTCTACTTAGAACGGCTTCATTCAATCACAAATATATATAATATATATACGACTCAACACGAACACAACACAATAAAATTTGTAAAAAACAAGATAGAAAAAACATCTAAAATCTGTTTCTAGCTGGATCTGCACTCAAGACTTTCATGGAGGGCAACTAAGCGTAGCTCCTCGGTCGTCAGTTCCGCGCGCAGCGACAAAAGTCGTTCGCCGAGCAAGAAACTGAAGCGTCAGAGCTCCTCAAGTACCAAAATTAAATCACACAAATCCAAGAAGCATTCACGCAAGTCCAAGTCATCTCGTACCGAAAAAAAAGAAAAAAAGAGGAGCTCTAATTAAAAATAATACACACTACACCAACAAAGCCTGATTTTGCGAACTCCTTATTCGAGAAACCAACACGCACACCTAAATCTATCATTTTCATTTCCAAAAAGAGATCAGTTCAATTCAACATTCAAGAAGTTCAAACAACGAAGAATTATCTAAAGCTAATTCCAAAATCAACGCCAATATATACGACAAAATTCCAAATTAGTTTTTAACAAGAAACAGGCGAACAAGACACCAGAGAATTGTTAGAGATACAGCGCTCCATTCGAAGATCGGAAAATCCAAACGACTCAACTAACACACTGTCGTCCTCCTTTAACAAATCCTCACACATTTGATTACATGTTGTTTACTAAGCGATAATATCATGTACAATGTTTTATCTACACGTGCACTACCCCGTTTTACACACTCACTCACTCATACACAACACGCACACTCACACACACTGACACTTACACACACACACACACACACTTACGCACTTACACTACACTTACACTACACTTACACTTACACTTACACTTACACTTACACACACACACACACACACACTCACACTTACACTATTACAAGCCATTGACACACACTTATTAATCGCTTACACACACTAGACACTTGCACATTCAATCACACTCGCCCACATAAACACACACACACATACCCATATCTCTGTCATGTTTGTGTACAAAAAACAAGTCCCCGACGTTTATGTCTAATTAATGAGATTTTCTACATTTTGTTGTGTATTTGTACGCAGAAAATATGAGCTACCCAAATAAAAAAAGCAAAAATCTGTGTATATTATATTTTTATTTCCTTACTAGACAAAAGTTATAAAAAATAACTAAATATAAAAAAAATAAAAACCCGCAGTTCAACTATAGCCCACAAAGAACAGAATTTAAACGACAAATTTTCCACGAAAACGAACAATAGCAAAGAACTGTTCCATTTGTGTAGTATTAACAACCATTTTTAACTCTCTCTTTTTTCTCTTTTTAAATCCGTTCCACACCCACACCCACCAAACGCAAAAACAAATACACGCAAACGCATACATATACATCAACAACATATGCATTCCTGTTGACCAACTGCAGTAGTCGGTAAACGTAAGTTCGATGGAGGTCACCAAAATCCGGCAGATGTTAAGCGACGTTACCAGAGCGGTTTAATAGGAAATGGCGGCAGTTGGGGCAGTTTACCGCTACCACAGCAACCTTTAGGCACAAATGGTGAACAGTGGTATATGGATACGTTTTCGGCATGGAGTTAAAAACAACAATGACAGGCAACTACAGTTAAAAATAAAAGTAAAACATGGAACGAACTTAGAAGGCACACCAACAACCAACTATAACTACAGCTACTGCAACACAGCATATGCATATATTTATATATATATATATGCATATTTGATTTTTTATCTTTTCAACTCTAAAGAAGCGTAGCAAAAACAATTATATCCTATATAAGAAGAGCAATCGGGCTTTATAACCCTACGAAATTACTTTGTTTAGGTACTGCTTTGCACATCTCTCTCTCTATCTCTATATAAATCTGAAAGAAATAATTATTATATACATTTATATAGCATATCTATAGACTTGCCGCAGCATTTTAGCAAACATATTTCGTTCAACTTTTATAATCACATAATACAAATTCTAAATAATTAGAGCATTTTGCTAAAACATTTTAAAGGCAACATGAATACAAAACGAAGACCCTTTTAAAATTCAAGAACTACATACGTTTTTAACTTGAAATGGAAACAATAATTGAGCATATATAACAAACTGATAAAAGCAGAAACGAAACATAATTACATATATAAATCTATTTATATCAGTATAGTGCAGTTAGGCTCGTATTGATTTTAAAACTTAAGCAACTTTTTTATACATAACGCGTAAACCAAATTGATAAACAAAGTAATAAACATTTTACTACTATTTGTATAAAACTGAATCAAGCAGAAAATCGAAAAGGAGAAATTGCACAACAATAAAAAACCAAGATTTCCTTCAATTGTAAATACGAAACAAAAAATTAAAAATTACATAAATTTAAAGCTCTAAATAATTGATCGAATGAATCAAATTAATAAAGTAATTCAGAAGCAAAGCTTAATGAAGAAATATTGACTGAAATTATAAAAACAAAAAGAAAAGCGAAAATACATTAAATTCGAAATTAGTCTTGATGAGTTAAGGAAACTAAATTATTAAAGCGCAGCAGCGATTGGCATTATTATATAATGTCTTGGACTGTGCACGTTGGCAAGACTTTCCGATTAAATTGCAAACTATTTTAGGTAACTTGAAATCAATTAAACAAAAACAACAAATAATGTATGTAGAGCTAAGAAATTGCACAAAAATTACAAATGAAAAAAACACGCGAAGCATAAAGATACAGCTAAAGCTACAGCTCCAGCTCCAGAGATACAAACAGCAGCAGTTGACAACTGAATTGCTGCTATCGAGATGCAACGAATTAGTAAGACACCAACTAACACTTACATTCACACATACACACACACATCACAAGCAGTTACAAATAAAAGAAAAATAATAAAATTAAGTAAACTATAAATTTTACAAGCGATAATATTATAGGGAATTTAATAACGGCAAAAATTAAATCTAAATAAATAAAAAACAAAAGAATTAATTTACATCAATAAGCCCTCAAAACAAATCTATTCAAAGAATTTCCCAAGTTTTCCCTAATAAGTTTTATTCACACTTTTCTTAGAGTGCTGCAACAAGTTCATAGCAAACCGAAACTGGGTCTATCCCATATATACTTATATAGCAACTCTATAATATATATAAGCATTATTTAACTGTAACTCCATGCCTCCTATATAACAAACATCAATATGAAAACGAAACAAAAAACTTTTGTTAAAATTTTGCAAAATTTTATTTTCCGTTTCGATCTGTATTTTTTATGAAAATTTTTATTTTTTGCTAGATCTCAAGTAAAGCAAAAACAACTAAAATGTATAAACAATTAAATTAGTCATAATTAAATAACAAGCAAAACTTCCAATTTTAAACTCAAGAACAAATTGATAATGATAATGAATAAGATGAAAAGTTTTTTAAAGCGTATCTATAAACATTGTTCAGCAAGCGCCTAAAATGGAATATATATGATATTTTTAAATTGAAACAATATACACAATCACAAAAATACAGATACAGATACAGATAAACACACACACACACACACACCAAGCAGTTGCCTAAAGTTAAATGAAAAGCAGAAAAAAACTTCTAAACTTGCGCAAAATAAAACAAATTTGCGACACCAGCAAAGAACTTTAATACATAATAATAATAATACATTAGCAAACAACAATAAGAACATTTACTACCAATTCTAAATGACCATAGTTAAGTTTAAATTTAGTGAAACACACACACTCAATACACTCAACACACACACACAGTTAAACATATACCCTAATATTTAAAAGTACACCCTTTGCAAGAGAGTAAACTGCAGCAGCATCAGCCGCCGCAGCAGTGTGCGCCATTTTCTAACTATATAAAACTAAACGTAAAAAACAACAAAAACCAATTTAAGAAACAACCACAAATATTTAACCTTTTTTTGTACTAAGCTTCGTTACGCATTTTTTCTTCTAATTTTCATCATTTGTTGCCTACGAAAAAGTTTTAATTTTTATTATTTTTTTTTTAACACACACAAACATAGCAAAAAATATTTAAAAAATTTATACGCCGCGTCTTTTTGCATGTAAAACATTTTTGTTTTTGCCTTAGAAAAGAAAAGCAAATTTTCGAAATTTTTGGTGACTTTGAAACTGGAACCCAATTCAAATTGCAAATATATGTATACATATGCTTAATGATAAAGTTTTGTTTAATTTGATACTGTACTGATTTTATATTGTTTTAAATTTGTAATTTTATTTATAAGTCTTAATTGTTAATGTGTTCTAATTGTAAACTACAAAGAAAATTGGCAAAACCTGTTAAACAATCCGTTAAAGTTTTCACTTTGGTTAAAAGAAAAAAACAAAACAAAGCAAAAAAAAAAACTAAAATACAATACTCGACTAATTTAAACAATGTGCCGTTGATGCCTTTGCGGTCATATATAGTTGTTTTCAAATTCCCCATGCTCCCCCATCCTTTTGGAAGTGTTAAAAATTGTTCTTTCGAAACTCCTTGCCTTTATATTTGTGTTAAATATGTATTGTAATTTGTAATTTTGTTTAATTTTTTCGGGAAAGCAAAAACGTTTGGCAAAATTAGTTTTTAATTTGAATATTTAGTTTTGTTTGTGCGCTTAAGTTTTCAATATTATGTTATATAAATAAATATATATATATACATGAATATATATATTACTATATAATAAAACTATATGAATATTAATTTTTAGCAAAATATTTTTACGTCTAAACTTAAAGCACTAATGTTAAAGAATATTTACCGAACTAATTTGTTTAGCTGTTTAATTGGTTTTAATTTTCAACTTTTTTGTGTATTGTGAGGAAGCGCAAGCAAACTTTCGACCTTTGACCCAGCTCTCAACATAATATATCCAACGATAATAACTGTATACGTGTGTAAATTAAATTGCAGCAAACAGTCATACAACATTCAAACAAGAAACAACTTAAAAGCAGAAAAATCACAGAAATTAATATCAAGAATTTGCAAGCGGCGCGTGGAAACTGAAGCAAAAATAAGAAATATATATATATTTCAAAATATGTAGAAAACAACAAAACAAAAGAAAATACAACAAAAACTTTACATGAATTGTGATGATGCAAAGGCAAGATTTAATCATAATTACTAAATCTATATATACATACATATATAAAATATATCTTTCTCTATAAAAAAATTTATATATATATGAGTATATAGTGTATATGTAGATATAGGAGTGTATAATCTAACTTTACTTTTAAACAGACTGCGTACGTATTAAAATTTTTAAAATTAATTTGTGTAAAATGTTTTAAGTTTTTGAAAAATTGGCAAATAAAGAAAACAATAAAAATTAATAAATCAAAAAAAAAAACAAACGAACTCCGTTGAATATTGAAATATACCAACAGTACTCGAGAGTGCAAAAATCTTTTCCAAATTAATATGATGATTTCCTTTTCAAATCTTTCAGCAAAGCTTTCGTTTTAAATTTTGGTATTTGAACGTATATTTCAAGATCACATGAAATTAGCTTAGGCGCAGCTGTTTATAAAGCAGCAGTCTTAGAAGCGACCGTATATAGGTCGCCGTAGTTTTTTAACAGCCTGCAAATCCACGATGCAAATTTCCCATAGAGCTAGAACCGTCAGTTTCCAGTGTCAATTGTTTACACTAATATATATACTACAAATCTGGATATGTGTTATGATAAACTGTCGAAAATGTATACCGTTAGAAGATATTTTACGTTGTTTTATTAGCTGCACATTTACGTGATTTTCTTTTTAAATCCTATTGAACGAATTTTTTATATGTATACTTATAGTTTGTGTGTGTTTTCATATTGTTTTTTCCTAATTTTTTCAAATAAATTGTAATTTTTTTTTATTAATTCTTAAAATGAACATCACATCAAATTTGCATACATGTCACACGTATGAGGAATTTATAAAAGCCGTGAACGTAACGTCGCCAATTATTAAGCAAAAGTATAAAACAAACATGAAACAAACAAATGAACATTTCAAGAACATGCAGAAATGTAGGTGGAACAGCGATAGGAAGCAACATCTTTTACGTCTTACAAACAATTATTGTTAATGAAGAAAATAAAAGTGAGAAGAATATTGTACTAAAATATTTGATATACATACATTTGTTATTATTTGTAATACAAAAATTAAATAAAATTGCATCCAGATAATAAATAAAAAAAAAATTAAATAAACAATGCAAAAACTACTCTTGATTACTTTACTTGTAACGAGCCCAATGTTAATGTTTAACAGGTAAAATGAGTTTGTAGCTGAAGCTTGGAATAATAAAACCATTTCCTTGCTTTCAACATAATTAGAGATTATATATATATATTTGTCTTGTTTACAACATACAATGATTTTTAAAAACATTTACTGCGTGAATTTGATTTGCTGCTGCGACTATTTGCGCTGCGTCGCGAAGAACTATCCAGAAGAGTGCTGCCCTCATCATCATTTATATAAGTTTCATCAACGCTGACGTCATCTTCGGGGATTTCTTCATCGCTATTAGTTGCGTTGATAAGTGATCCCCTGGGAGTCACAATTGCATCGCCATGCAAATCCTTATTATCCAAAATACTGATATGAAAGGCGGCATGACATTTGTTGGCCGCCAGCAACGCTTTTATACGAAACACCAGTGTTTCCAGCGTTTCACGTAGGCTAGGAATGTAGCTAATAATGGCAGTATTCTTTATTGACTTCGAATGGCAACAGAGATTGTGCAAAAACTTGGTTACATTCTGTAGCTCGTGAAAAAATTTGGTTAACCGTTCGGGACTATCGCGCACAATCGTCTCAAGAACGGACACACCATGTTGTAGGAACAGTTTCAGGAACAATTGCGAATGCTTTAAGAATAAGCCAAAATTGCGCGGCTGTTCCACAGTCTGGACAATTTCCAAAAGGCCATTAAGGAGACATATAGTTGATTCCCAGAGCTTGAAGCGATCGTTTTCAGCGGGACTACTACATTGGGAATTCAATGTGCTGATAATAATCTCGCATAGCCCACGAAACAATAGGGGAAAGTTAGGCCTAGAATACGCAAATTATAAATTTTTGGACAAACACACTTAACTAATTTAACTTACTTTTTAATATTGGGAATCGATTCTAAAGACAAGTCTTTTTTATTTAGAAGCAGGCACTCCTCTTTAAGGGCAAATAAAATATCCTTCTGACGTTCAAATGATGTGTCCTTAAGAAAGCCTTTAATAAGCTTGTCGAGATGAACGTTACATTGTGCTCCCTTTTCCAAGCCACCAGTGTAGTGGTACCATTTGCGTCTCAGCATATTGGTACAATATTTTCCTACAACGCCAAAAACATATAGAAAAAAATAAAATTTTAATAATTAGAAGGACGTACGTATATCCTCGGCCTGCTGATTGCTGCGCTGAACTGCATTCTCGCCGGAACAACTCAATTTACGCAAGCTGCGCAGCAAATGGTGAAGCTGCACGGCAGTGCCAAGTACTAGCACCGATTTTTCGTATTTGCAGAAATAATCAAAGATCTGGGAGGCAATGCGTGCTATGGATGGTTTTTTCGCTGCCTTGCGCTGGCCAGGGGGCATCAGTGAATTTAATGAAGCTAATCAGAGAATAATCCATCAATAATAGCAATATTTAAAGTTATGCTTTACTCACACTCTAGCAACGCGATTTTGGACTTGTCACTCCACTCATTCCATGAGAAATACAATGCAAGCAAGTGAATGCATAAGCCAAAGCAGGTTTTAACATAATTAAATCGATCCTTGAACAGATCCAAATTGCTGTGGACATTATTGACCTTTTCTAGCTCCTCATCAATGTGTGCCGCGAGCGCTATTAAACGCAGATGGATTTCACCTAAACATTTTTCTAAATCAGACATAAAATGCTCTGGCTTGGCCACATGCGATCTTAACGTGCCAGCTTCGGTAACGTCTTGGCATCCGTTAATAATAGTATCCAATTTATGTACCAAATCTGTTAGTATAAAACGCAATTCCAACACGCCCAAATGTGTACCCACTTCTTCGTCTTCCAGTGGGTAATTCAAGCTGAAGGGTTGTTCTTTCAGCAACACTATTATACCCACATCAAGCTGTCTAAAGCTTTCCATGGGTCCATATAGCTGTTCAAAATTGATTTTGCATTTAATGGATTTGCAATTACCCAACTTGATGCTGAAATCACCCAATTTTGATTGGTCCATGCTCTGCGGTTCCTCCGTGATCGTTTCGTTATTAACCTTATTTGCCTTGCCCTTACTAGTCGTAGGTCTTTTTTCGCGCGTAACTTGCTGGGGAGCGCCCTGTTTAACAATGTTAAGAAACTGGCAGGGCGGTGGCGCAAAACCAACAGGAGCATGAGTCAAAAGTGACTTCAATCTTTGCTCTGTGCAAATCAAATCGGCGAGACGCTTTAGAACCCGTTTGCGTGTGGCTTCATGCTTTTGGGAGGCAAAAGCGCAGGTCGTAACACGCATCCAATTGATCGTGTGATAGTAAATGTGCAATATGCGCTTTTGTGTCTCTTCATCATAATTATCAAAGATGGCCAAATAATTAGGATCATCAAAAAACGTGGGCAGCACAATGGCACAGCCTTGGAGTGCATTTACCAATTCCAGACTGTACTGATAGCGTTGATTGTGCAGCACGCTGACCAAGTGAAAGAGCGGCGCTAGCACAAAAATAGAATCGCTGGCGCTGAAAAAGTAATAGCTTTAGTCTGCACATATAAATTTCTGTGTGTTTACTTGAACTTACATTCCATTTGGACTCAAAACCAATTCAGATATATTAATCCCTATATCTAGTACAGCTGATTCGGTATTAACATTCGTTTCGTCCAATTCATTAATGTTCTTCTGGCACTCCAGCCGTATGCCGCTGCAAAAATATACAAACAATTGATGAAAAGACATATTAATTAGATTCAAACTTCTCACTTGACTGTCTTGGGCTGATGATCATTCACAAAGCTTTGCTGAAAGCGATAGGTCATTAGCTCACAGAGCCACATAAGAAACTGATTGTCGAGCATATAAATAGACTCTGCGTTATAGTAGCGCACAGTTAGTACGCTGGCCAGTTCATCGTAAAACAGTGCCAGTAATTCGGGTGAATTACATATAGCTGACTGGGTGAGCACTATATATAAAAATAATTATTAATTTCTTATTTTCATAAACAACAAAATGTATTTACTAATCAGGTTAGCTGCCTGCTTGCTGCGACCATCAGGCAATGAAGTGATGCTGTCCACGCTGGTTTGCAAGTCCTCGTTATTGATAAGCGTGGTTTCAATGCGCGCAATGGCATCAATTAGCTGTACGCAACCAATTATGCCCTGCCTTTTCACATATTCAGTCCGATTTATTTGCTGTTTCTTTACAACCATTTCGATTTGATCCTGCAGTGGGGCACACTCAGGCAATTTGGGTTCAGGAAATGCAACGTGGCATAGCAAGTCCATGGCGAGACGTGTTTGTGGCAGGGTCAAATCGCTTAGGCGATCGAGCAATGGCAGTAACAACATGGCACAGTTCTGTATATGCTTTCCATTCTTGCGCTGCAGCTCACGCAGCAATGTCAATGTGGTGGTCACATGCTGTGCAGACTTGTCAAATGTCAGCTCCAGCAGTTTCTTCAGTATGCTTTTCTGTATTGAGTTGCAGATCTTAAAGAGTATGCTGAGTTGAAGGGGTGGTTAGCTGAGACAAGTAAATTAATTATCTAATCAAATTCACCTGTAGGCCGCTTTGGCGAAGTCGGCTACAATGCGATTCTTTTCCCGCATAAAGTCGTGGAGCAGGTGCATCAGTGAGTTAATATGTTGCTCCAAAATATGCGAATAATGGATTTTTATTTCATCTAATATGTTAACTGTTATATGCTCTAGTTTAATACGTCGGCGAAACTACAGCAGCACAAAAACGAATTAGTATCGGCAATGTAATATCGACTTCATACTTACAAGATTCTCAATAAATAAAGTATTATCCTCGTTGATGTGTATAAGTATCAGTAGCATTATAAAATCAAATGATCTGCAAGTTTTGAAAGGACAATTGGAATGGTTAACAAAAACTTATTTGATAAACCTTACTTAAATTCACTGGCTGCCAATCCACTAATAGTACGCTGCCACATTTGATAAAAACGCTTAGACCGCTTAAGACCTTGTTGCAGAAAACCAAAGAGTTCCAATTGTGATTGCTTGTCACCGGCAGCAGGAATGGCCAACTCCTGAAAGTTTTCGCCTTGCATTCTATGACGCCAGTTAAAGATTTCACGCAGTGTGGAGACCAGCTAAAATATGAATATATTTAAATCAAAATACTGAAATCTTAACTCAGGGAAAAATAATAATAATAATAAACTATGTTCATATATACCTCACGAACAACATCGTCGGTGTCCTGATTGAGACTATTTAGCAATAGGCGTATGAGATGCGGCAGTGTCTAAAAAGAAATCATATATATACATATATATTTTATAGTTTACAACCTAGTTTACAACCAGTGATTGACCTACCACATGCGAGCAGCTGCTATCGTCCTTGACAAACTCTAGAATACGCTCCCGCAATTTTCCTTGAGTCCTGGCATTTAGCGTCAAATTGCTTAACATTTGCAGCGTTGTCAAATGGAAAAGATCTTTGCTGCTCGAATAGTTAATACTAGATAGGATAGATTACAGTTAAGTGAGCTCTCTACAAAGAATAATGAGACACTTACGTGAGCAACTCGACAAACTCGTCGTGTTTACTGGCGTCTAATAAAAACTCAGCGCTGCTTATGATATCCATCTTTGACGACTCTGAAGCATTGTTGAATATGCGCTCAATATGGGAAAAAATCTGATCACTATGCGACAGAGTAAGATAACGTAATTGGGCAAGCATCATTGGTAATAGTGGCAGGCAACCAGGCACCGTTTGCACTCGCTCCTGCTTGGCCAGCTCTTCGATTTTGTTGAAAAGTACTGACAGGCAGGGCTCCCGTAGAAAGTCAATCATCAGAAAGTTGATAAACATGCTGTTCTGTGACTGATAAACCTGATCTTCGCCGGCTGTGTCTATGGTGCAGCCACTTAGCAGTTTCTGGGCCAGTTTTGATTTGGGCGCTAGAGCCGCATTTAGCCCAGTTTTAAATGTCTCAATGTTTTCCGGATACTTCGTAGACTGCACCAATATATCACGTAGCTTAGAAACAATAGCAATATGATCGCAAGACAGCACGAATGTGTCCGTTTGGTCCAATTGCACACCAGCGTTCATCAGCACCATTTCAAAGAAGCTATTCGGTTGGCGGGAACTGTTCATTCGCGATGAAGACTGCGTGCGCCCCAATGTAGCGGCCAATGCTATGCTATGTTGCGATAGAAAACGTTGTGTTTGCTCCTGCGAAGCTGGTATATTTTCCTCTTCACTTTCGACGGCCAATGTCTCGATTGTGGCATCTGTTTGTTTAGCAGACGAACCCCGCTTTAAAAAAAAAAAAACAACAATTTGTTTCATGATCTCATGCAGTGCAGTGGGACTTGATCAATTACCGGTATTTTAATAGTTGCATTCTCGTCAATTGTATTAAGTCCTGCTAGGGCATTGTTTCGTTTCTTAAATTTTCGGTACATTATGTTTAGTTAGCTACAAAAACAGTAGTTTTATTAAAAGAGCTCTTTTAAAATTAAATGCGCCAGAGAGAGAATTTGGATATCGATAACAGATATTAACTTGCATGATTCTGTTAAGCGTAAACTACCCTGTTAACGAACTGTTATTATTAAGCTAGTGATGGTGCTGTAAGGCACTGATAGTTTTCGTACATAATTATCGAAAGCGTCTTTTATTTGAAAAATTCATTTAACTAGTTTAACACCCAGAAACATTAGATGATATATTAATTTCTTTTACAAATTCAAAGAAATGTTACAGAGTCAAAATTCCGGAGTAAATGACTTCATATTATTTTTATTGAGTATATGTCAGTATTAACCATGTTGGTGCTAAAACTATTATTGTTATATATAATTTATTTATATTTATATAAATATTGGTTTACGTGTGATACAAAGCATCTTTGCTAAATATGTATGTATATGATCGTTGAATATAACTAGATATAAATTTTCAAATGTGCAAATATTGCAATTAACTACTTGTGATTCCACATAATACTATAAATATTCAATTATAAACGTGGTTGTAAATTTAAAGCCATTCTCATGAGTCGAACATTAAATTTGCTTAAATTTAAACAGTGAACTTATATATTTAATGGCATTATCTAATTGTCATATTTTAAAAGTGTAATAAACTCTATAATGGTTTAATAATGTATTTTAAATGGATTCTAAAAAGGAAGTACAAAATGTTTTCAAGTGATTATGTCAGCAATTGACGTATGTATTTAGAGGCTTACTCCTTTGTTCTTAATTAATAGAAAATCACTAATTTGGCTTTGGTTAGTATTGCTAATTAAGTATTGTTTGATGCTTCTGATCACATCACTGCAGTCCATAACGGATTCAATATATGATTTATGTATCGTTTTATAACTCAATCTCAATCTCAAACTTCTCAATCCAAACTGTTAACGTTTTTCTGTTGCTTCGTTGTTTTAAATCAATCTCAATACTAAATTATTGCTTTTTCGCGCGACGTCTTTTATAGCCAGTCATTTGCTTTAATAATTGCGAGTTCTCATCATCCAGATCCATATTGGGTTCCCAGAGACGAAGTCTTTTAGGTATGTATATGAGGCCCAGTAGAGTAATTGCTGTATATGAATAATATATATTTTTAATTTATGCACATAATGTATTTATTTACTTACTATTCAAGACGCAAGGGAAGATTACGTAAAAGTTTAAAGTGCTTGAACGAAAGTAGAGTGCTTCGGTGGCATAGAAGACCATAGTAAGAGCTAGAGAACAACCGCCCATGCTGACAACGCTGTAAAGAGTGAGCGAGACAGAGAGCGGAAGAAAGGGAGTCATTTGCAATGGTTCCGTTGTCCCTTTAATATGTAACTTTATACTTACGGCCTATAGTGTATGTACAGCGTACAGTGCACCAAAGCGATTGCCTTTAGAAGACAGTACATACCAATTATACGGGAAATGGTATAATCACCTAGAGCATTATAATTTAGTCATGCGTATTGTTTCATACATTTGATTATGCTTACCCTCGATAAATTGTGTATCACTATGATCGCCCAGGAAACTGCGTCGTTCTATATAGCTGCGGAACGCTGTGCCCAGATCCATGAAAGCTACAAACGCAATCCATCCACGAAAGGCGTAGAGCAGGCGCTCACGGGGGCGGCTGCCGGACTGCATTGCAGCCCTGTAGAATAAACAAAGTCAACGGAGGAACAGGTCAAAAAGTGTCACTACATCATACATGAGAGGACACCACAAAAATTAGCGAATATCTGTTTGTACTATAGACGGTAGTGAGATCAGCCTCCTTATATATAGTGGAAAATAAAACACACACAGGCAGTGTTAAGTCCTGGTTAAGAATACATTCATTCCCTTGCCTGTAATCTACAATACACTATGCTTACTCATTGTTAATGGGCTCAGGGTATAATGACGTGATTATATTTGTATAGAGAACACCGGCCGGCTTATCTAAACATCGCTCCGCTAACAAACCACCCCCACGCCACCCGCTCGCAACCTGGGTTCTGGGCAAAATCGATATCAGACCTACACCTAACATATATATTATTTATGAAACTGAAAATATTTACACATGGGCCAATTAATACCCGCACGCAAGCACGTGGTATATACGCTCCCGGGATCCGTGTCCCGGACACGCTTCAGGCTATTTATTTTCAGCCAACAATTGCACCGCCAGGGTCACCCCGAGCAACGGAATTCATGGCATGCAATTCATAAACTAGCGCAAAAGCCTTTTTTTGTTGCACTTTTTTCTTATTTGCTTACATTGCGAATGGTTATCTAGGTCGTTCAAATATCTGGGCACACGCGGCGAATGCTTAATATATAAATATAAATAATCACTTCGAATTATTAGTATTATTATTCGGTGTAGCGTTTAACGATTCCCTTTGGCATTCGCCTTTGTCAACACATTTTACTATTTTACGCTGCGCTATTTTGTGCTTCTGTTTACCGCGACGCTTCGACGCAGATTGAAAGCTCAAACCGTCAAGGAGCTTTCATGCATGGTGACAGCTTTCATGGCACTAGCCGGCCGGCTGTTTGCAATTGTACCGTGGAAAGTGCTTGCTGTGACAAACACTATTCTAAAAGTAAGGTAAGCATTTATAAGACACACTTCCAGTAATAATTCAGTCATTTAAAACTACGAATTAGTTCACTTAATAATTATTGCAAGTTCCTTTTGGATTCTGAAGCCAATTTTATTATGAAAAAGTAAAAAAATTATATAATATAAAAAAAACAAACTTCAATAAAAACCTAAAATGCGTGTCAAGTTCCATGGCTCTTTGAATCACTGTTGCAAATCTAATCCTTGCCTACGGACGCTTCTGTTTTTCGATACTCAGCATAATCGACAAAACCATCATTATTCAAATCCATGGATTTCAGTACATAATCTATGGTCTCCTCTAAAGCCTTGTCGGTATATACGCTTCCCTTTTTGTGGTCCGACTCATCTGGGTTTTCAGCATTTCCCGGGGTTATCGGCTTGTGGGGGTCTTCAACTGAAATGCGAAGGTAAAAAATAAGATTTCAATTTAAACTGTTTTAATTAAATATAAAAAAATTCGACTAAGTATAATCTTTTTATTTTCAAGTTCATTTTTATTTTCTAAAAACACATTACTTACAATGAATTTCATGCATTTATAAAGTATACATATATGTTATGTATGTAAATATTTCAATTTCTAAAGATCAATTGTTAGCTATAGTTTCAGAACGTTCGCTTTTTTTTATTGTTTTTTTTTTTCTTTTGTACAAAACAAATGTTTACACAATCAGCCTTGATTTGTTTTCGCTGCTTTTAGTTGACGCTTAAAATTATCTTCGGATTGAACGAATAACTAAAATTAAGTGAAGATTAAACAAAAAACAAATAGTTTAATTGCACTGATCACAAATGAGATTCGTGTGTGCTATTATTCGAATTTTTTTGAGAAGTTGTTTTAATAATTATACAATTTGTTCAAAGAAGTTGCCCGATGGATTGGAATGCTTGTAGCCTGTTCAAAACATTTGTTTGAACTATTGACATATTTTACAATTTGAGCTGAAATTATTTGCGAATAAATTTCATTTCAATGTGTAGTGTGTGGGGATGTGATCTAATGTTGTAACAATGTGTGCCATGATTCGGACCAAGATACTGATGGAGACATAACTGTGTTGTGTTAGGTAATGCAAACTGAATCAAGTATTCTATATACTAATGAGTTGGCTGCTGTTGTGCCGGCTGCTGTTGTTGCTGCTGCTGATGCTTCTCGGCAGCCTTCTGTTGGGCCTTAATAAACTCTGGATAATCGATGAAGCCGTCACGTGATGTGTCATCCATTTGAAGAATAGGATCAATAAGAGCCACTAGCTCTTCGTCTGAGAATACTTTCTCCTCTACGTGGGGCTTCTCACCGTTGGGTTGTTCTTTGCTGCCTTGCTCTACATACGTGGTTGATTTGAATTATGAATTATTGAAGCCACATGCGAGATGGGTTTAAATGATGTCGAATATAACCACAACCAAAACCAGAAGAACCGGAACCAGCCGAAATGTAGTGAAATTTGTTATATGAAAAAAAAAGAGTAAAACAAGAGACAAAGTCAAACATAAGCAAAGGTAAGGCAAACAGCTTAAACTAACTACAAACATGTAAGAGTAACTATTGGTTCTTACCGTGCCAGTGAATTAAAGATTTGATGAGCTCACATCCATCTAGTTTGTTGTTATTGTCGGAATCATGCATTTTAAAATAGTGGAACTGTAGCTCAGCCTCGGACATTTTGCTCGTATCGATGGGCACCTGCATGTGCTCTTGGATATGACTGTAGTTAGACAACAAATGGGTAAATGATAAGATATAAGATAAGATTATTCCATATGTAAAATTGATTAATTGCTATATAGTTGATAGTTGATTAAGTGATAAGCCCTAGCAGACACTTACGCACGCTCTTGTTGAATGTTACCCGTGTTCAAAACCTGCTGTGGCTGTCCATGATGATGACCGCCGGCATGCTGCTGTTGATGTTGCGGCACCTGTTGTGGCTGATGTTGTACAGGTTGCTGCATATGCTGTTGCTGTTGATGAATCTGCTGTTGTTGTTGCGGCTGCTGCTGCACAGGCACCTGCTGATATTGCACATGTTGTGGCTGCTGCTGAACGGGCACTTGCTAATAGGTTGACATATTAGTTCTACTCAAATACAGACTCATCCTTGAGAATCACTTACATATTGCTGCGGCGGTACGCCGGGCGCTCCGTGTCCCTGATATTGTGGTGGCGGGTGCTGTTGGTGGTGTTGTGGCACTTGCTGGGGCGCCTGTTGCTACTCGTCATGAAAAAAATTATAAATCAGTTACTCTATTAAGTTCCAGCTGGTTGCACAATATAACAAAATGCAACATATATTATTACTCACATAATGCTGGGGATTTACACCGGGTGCCACACGCTGTGCACTGCTATACCCAACGAGGGTAAGCAGCAAGGCTGCTATTGCAAAGTCTGGTAGATGCATTTATGTGGAAGCGCTAGTGTTGTTTGCGAGGATTTCGAATTTGGTGGCACGCACAATCACCACGTAGCTAGCTTAGCTATCAAAACACACACGTACACAAATTTATTCTGCTTCTTCACCTTTTGACAGTAACACGGCGCGACAGCTGTTGCACAGGTATACGACTTATCGAATTCGTTATCGGTCCCTTTCGACATGGTGGCAGCGCTTCACATTTAACACACAACCTGTTTGAGTTTTCATCAGTTTATTTACAACTTGTTTTTTCGTTTAAAGTGCAAATAATAAACATTCATTTAAATGGTAGAGTATATGAAAAATTCTTATTAATATGCTTTTTAAAATGTGTTAATTCATACGTTGTAAACTGTTCAATGTCCAATATGTGAAAACTACTTTCCACTTGACTGGTTGTCCCCATTTCCCATTTTAGTATTTATGCTAATTACTTTCTTAATTTCCTTTCATTTTTATACATAGGCTCGCTACTTTAAAGAACAGGACATTGATGGTAAGTACTACTAAATGTGAAACATTGAAAGCATGAGGTCATACTTATATTCTTATCTAATTTTTTACTTCTCCCATTAGAATTCCGTGAGTGTTTTTATCTGTTCGCTCGTTCAGGTCAAATAAACAACTTAGACGAGCTAACGGTAAATATTAGTCATGTTATATCAGAGGGAAACTATCATAAGACAAGTTTATTCAACAGGTGATTATGCGCTCTTTGGGTTTGTCGCCAACGATACAGGAATTGGTGTCGTATCTAAAGCAAAAGAATGGTAAAATGAGTTTTGCTGACTTCCTGGATATCATGCACCAACACTCCTCAGTGGAAAATCTTCCAAGTGAAGTCATTGCTGCATTCAAAGCAGCCGATCCACAAAACAAAGGCACCATATCAGCAAAACAGCTACGTAATTTACTGCAAAACTGGGGCGAGGGTCTGTCTGTGCGCGAGGTGGATAATATCTTTAGGGAGGCTAATGTTAATAACAATAGCACCGTACGCTATGCTGATTTTGTTAAAATAGCATGTGCACCAGTGCCAGACTATTACTAGAGCAAAAACCATTCATACTTCACATTCCAGAATGCATGCAAACTGCAATAAAGTTCACAATCAGTTTTATGAAAAGTTTGTTTTATTTTTTTTTTATTAAAATACGAAACTTTTCAACATGTTGCGAAGAAAGTTCGTAAGCCGATTTTAATTGGCAATAGTAACCTCAACCTCTACTCCGGGCTCAATGTTGATCGAGGTGATCTTCTTCACGATCTCAGATGGCGAATGCAAATCGATGATACGTTTGTGGATTCTCATCTAAAAAGATAAGATAAAATTAATTATTCAATACACACTTTTAAGATTATGTACATTATAAATTGAATTAAACTGTCGAATTCGGAGAGCCAAATTGTGTGGGTTACCAGCAAAGTGGACTATGAGAATACGTTTAATCTGGGCAAATCGATGATACTGTACAAAGGCAGCTTCTGTGCCGAAGCACGATATCTGATCTGTCCACACTAGCACAATCCCAAGCTGGACTATCAACTCACCTGGAAACGATCCCAGGTCTTTGAACCCTCACCGCAAGGAGTTTTACGGGTGGTAATGCGTAGGGTCTTGGTCGGCATGCGCACTGGGCCCTGTAATACAAATTAATTATAATTAACTACAATATTATTTCTCTTTAATTTGCGTATGTTGCGTAAATCATAGAATGTCTTCACTTTCTGATTTAAAGTAAACACAATGTCCAATTTAGGCATTTTGTCTGGCATTTATTAAAGACTAGGCTAAGCAGCAAGCAGGCATACGAAGCCTCCAGGTAAATGCAATCATCAACAATATATACAAATGCGCATGCATGTATATATGTTTGAATAAGTAGCTAAGTTTTAGCAGCATGCGGCAAGCGCTCTTACCTTGACACGCAGGTTCTGGTTCTTAGCACCGTTGATCAAGTCGCGGCACACGTTCTCCAAAGAGCGAACGTTCCTTGAGGTCAGGGTGATGCGAATGCGGTGTACAGAGGTAGAATCGCCGCCATGGGGCTTCTCAATATCCTTAGGAGCAGCAGCCTGCAAATGTCGTGTTTTTTATTTTGAGGTTATGTTACACCCATAAGCAAATACAACACGTGTATCGAGTGCAATCAGGGAATTATTGCAAAAAACACAATGTTTCAAAATTCCATAGAATATCAATCAAATTAGTTGAATATTTACCATTGTATTAGCAATTTATCTGGTCGAGATAGTCAAATCTTTGTATTTTGAGCAGCGCTGAACCAGTTAACTTGCTGGTTGAAAACGAAATGGGACGAGTGCCACTCACGACGGAACGCGCATCAACTCTGCTTAGCGTTGCCACCCAGTCAAATGAACATGTGGCATCACAAATCAATTGCGCGCTATATCTATTCATAACGAAGGTGTTTATTTGACTCAAATAAAACAGCAAGTTTTCGACTATGTTATTTTATTTTTATTGCGCATTCTCAACTAATTTGCGACTGAAGCGGGACCAAAAACCAAAAACATCCATATAAATTACAATTATAATTATACAAGTCAAAGCACAATGTTGTATTTAAATATTAAATCAACGTTAATTAGTTTTTGTACAATAAAAATATCTGTTAATCTTTATGCATATCAAAATTAAAAACTTTACTTGACGATCTTAAAAGCTAAGTACGTCTCAACAAACGAAAATGTAAGCCTGTGCGATTTTTTTAGTAAATCGACAAATAAAAAGCATATGTTGTCCATCAAGCTAAAAAATAAAACTTAAGAACGCTAAAAGTTTGTGTCCAAATTGGTGTCGTTATAGATTACTTTACGGATAAGTTTGTAGATAAACGCCCAGAGTGCACTCACAGATAGGTGCATCTCTGGCTAGTGGGTTAAATGGATTTTAAAGCGTTTCCCTCTCATATACGCATATTCATAGTATGTATGGCTAACTAATGTACATTAATTATAGATTCACGGCCTTTACCAACTCCGACCCAGCGTACTGGCACGCTCAGTTGGCTTTCCAAGAAGCGGACGTAGTTTTGTGCGTTCTCGGGCAACTCCTTGAAGTTGCGTATGTGCTCAGTAGACGTCTGCCAACCGGGCAATACGGCGTATTCCACCTCAATATCGCTCAACTCACTGATGGTGCCGGGGAAATGATCCAGTTTCTCGCCATTGCTGCGTTTATAGTTCACACCCACCTTAATTTCGGGCAATGTGTCTAGAATATCCAGCTTCGTTATGCAAATGCAAGTGTAACCGTTAACCAGCGAGGTGTATTTGAGCAGCGGAATATCCAGCCAGCCGCAACGACGTTTACGCTTCGTTGTTACACCAACTTCAAAGCCTCGAGTCTGCAGCAGATCACCAATTTCCTGCATAAAAAATAATTCATTAGGTGCACCTGTAAACGCTGCTTGGGGCAAACTTACATTCAATTGCTCCGTTGGGAACGGACCATCGCCCACACGCGTCGTGTATGCCTTGACAACGCCAATGACCTCGCCAATTGTTTGTGGTGGCAAACCCAAACCTGTTAGCACACCGCCAATGCTGCAATTGCTGCTGGTCACATAGGGATAAGTGCCAAAATCAATGTCCAGCATGGCTGCATTAGCACCCTCCACAAGAATGGTCTTGCCGTTGCGCAGTGCCGTGTGCAAGAAACAAATTGTGTCCTTGACATACGGCCTCACCTTCTCAACGTAATCCTTGTACCTCGCCAGCTCGGCCTCCACATCAACCTTAATCGATGGGAACAGTCGCAAATGTGTGTTCACAATTGATTTGAATCTGCATTAATCATTTATATCAGTCAGAAATTCAGCTATGTCCAATATAAACAGAGCTACTCACTTCTCGCTGAACAAGTTAAAGTCACCAAGAAGCTCACCGACGCGAATGCCATTGCGTGTGGCTTTGCTTGAATATGCCGGGCCGATACCCTTTTTGGTGGTACCTAAAGATTTGCCACCCTTTTCAGCTTCCTGCATACCATCTACATGCTGATGGAAATCAAACACCAGATGCGCACGATCCGAGATTATCAGCCGATTCTCCAATTGCTGCAATCCCTTGGCTTCATTCTTAAGCACCTCATCGAACAGCGAAGGCAAATGGATAACAACGCCGTTGCCTAAAATGAACCGATCAAAGAAGATAATCAGTATTATTAAGGGAACTATAAGAATGGTTAACCTTTCAAGTATTTTGAATACAATATCGAGGTACTTAAATTATTGATAAGACCATATCAATTATTTCCATTTTATGATACATACAAAAATTCTAGAAAATAAAATGAATTAATTAAGAAAACCTATACAGATTACTGTTAAAATACTTACGACTAATTGAAAAAATCTTTTCTAAACAAAATATTTGAAAAAAAAAAAAAAAACAAAAAAGAATATGCTGCGAATATGGAACATATTCACTTCACATAGTTTAATCGTCCGTCGTTATCTTATCAAATTCAAAATAAAATTGCTCGTAAGCCAGACCAAAAACAAAATGTTATAACTGGTAATAAAAACACGTGCATGGAGTCGCAGCTTTTTTGATAGCTGGCTAGGCTTACAATGAAATGGAGGTACTTTGGCGTTATCTACTGCGAGCGGCAGCTTAAACAAATTCAAATTGCGTATATTTCCGCAAGTTGTGCAAGACTTTAATAAATTGCTATGCCTGTTGCTAAACGTATTCAAGCTCGTAAACCTATGGCACGCGATGAGCGCCATGCGAATTGCACTGTGAAATGCTTTCGCACATTAATTTGCTTTTTATTGTTATTGTATGATCGAGTTGCGAATAATAAGTTAATTGCTTGTTTCGAATAATTAGCCATGCATAGTATACAACCCTGAGTTAGATATCTGTGTTGACGAAACTCACTAATACATGCACGCAGAGGGGCTTTTGTGTGTAGTGGTGCGATTGTGATTATCTCATAAATTAGTCTTGTGACAGACGATGACAGACTATACTTGCTGATGTTGCTTTTGGGCTGTGACAAGCAGCGAAAGGCTCATATATCGATTAAACTTTAAGGAATAAGCAAGTTAAGCACAAGTTAAATAACTTTAGAAAATAAACAAGTTGATGGTACACGTGGCCCTTGTGGCCCCACCTTTTCTGTTGCAACAAGCAGCAATGGACTACGTCAACCGATTGACGTCAACTTGCTAGACAGGAATCGAGGTAGTTAATTGAAGACCGCTGCAAAGGCCTAGATAACGAAAACCAAAATAGATAAAATAGCCTTTAATGCAGGCCAGTTGTCAAAGCCAAACGCAAGACCAATTGACCGCAAAAGCCAATGTCAATGTTTCATTTAGTTTTGCCAAGAAAATTCTAATATATATAAACATCTACACAATACATACTAGCTGTATGTGTATATATAAATATATATCTACATATACGTTTAAAAACGCTTACAGTCGCCATAAAACGAACAAAGGAAATCTAAAAAAAAAATAAAAACAATTTCACTAGCCATATATATATATATATATATATATATATATATATTTATATATGTATCACTATAGTTTTTTAAGAGACTTAAATGTAAAATAAGGAAAATAAAATGAAAGCGTTAGAAATGAAAATAAAGTAAAAAGATGCTTACTTTCATTTAAAAATATTCATTTTGAAAAATATTTCTTGCTTTGTTTTACTTGAGAATGTCAACAGTAGATAGTTAGGCTGTTGCTTATACCCATATAGTGCCAATCTTGATATCCCTTTTCCATCCAACATATCAGGCTCCCAGGTACCCTTCTACCACTTACCGATGACCGAAATGCATTTCTCGTTGACGACGCCGCTAGGCAGCAGATGAAAATCGAATTCGGTGCCATTTGCAACCACAGTGTGTCCAGCATTATTGCCGCCCTAGAGAAAGAGAGAGCGATAAAGAAAAGAGAGTGGGAAGAAAAGCAAATGAGTAAATTAGAGAATGAAAAAACAGACAGCATACGTAAGCGTATACTATACATACAAGCACATACATACGGTAGACGTATTTCTACGTACGTACGCTGTGGCACACAGCGTAGCTGTTTATATACAAAAAAATTAGCATGTTTGTTTTTGTTGATTAAAACTTGTGTGATAAATAAATAAATATTACTGAACAGCAGGTATTAAATAGCAAATAAATAGTCAGACGTCGAATGGCTTGTGACAAAGTATCTACAATGTTACAATGTTGTCGATGGAGCGGTAAACTCGACTTGGATAGACATCAAACTAGCACAATATTCCTATTTCACTGAGTAAGCAAAATATATTTTGCTGAGACCTTCGAGGTGCCGAGAGGACCACAAACGGACAGTTGCCTTTAGAGAACTTTCGCTGTATATATGATATGTATAAAAGCCAAATGTGTATCAAAATGTTGATAAAGAAAAGCAAAATTGTTATTTGTTTTCTTGGCAACTGTACAATTTTCAGTCATGTGCTAATCTCATATATTCTACGTCTGTATGTATGTATGTGTATGTATGTATTAAGGTTTGTATGAATATCTGTGTTTTGCTACTATACAAAAACATTGACAAAAGTCCTCAAAAATGTTCTGGAATTATAATTTAGTCACAAAATTTTTGTAAAACGAAATAATCATACTTTATATATGTATATAGCTATGTAAATATGTGTGTATGTATTTATATGTGTAGCACAGATCGCTTGGGCGCTCAAGCATTGATAAGATTATAAAGAATATACATAGAGTGCAAAATGGATGAACGCGTATTTAAGAAACTTTCGCTGCGCAATATATGGAAAATGGAGGCGTGTGCTGCGTGACTCAGATAATAGAAAAAAATCAGTTTCAATGAAAACAAGGGAATTACATAATAATCTGGAGCAATGTTGATAACACAGAATGTAGGTAAAGCGAAATGGAAATAATATTATATGTGGTTAAAGGGAACTACAGCGGTTCCGTTCATTGAACTGTCGATCTAGAATAGAATTCAACAAGTTGGTAGCACCGGGTCAAAATAACCACACGCAATTTTAATTACACTCTTGAAATAGACTTTATTCGATACGATCATTACATATCGCATAAATTTATGATTCACGTGCAATGACTGTATGTATTATATATGGTGACAATGTGGTAAATGATTTGTGAGGTTCTTTTTGAATATCGCGCGCGGGTTATTCACAATGGCGATTATGTAAACCTAGCATTTTGCTGAGAAGGCAATATGTAAAAATGTTTGTATGTGACTTGTGGCAGTGTGTGCATATTATAAGAATGTGTGGATGGATTTACACATATACATGTGTGCCTATATATATGTGTATATAATATTGTGCTCTGCAGAATAGCGGAACCAACTATCGTCAGGGAGAGCGAGTGACGAATTTGCTGAGGTAGCAGACATTCGCAGACTGACTGACTATGCATACACATACAAAATACAAGCATACATACACAAACACATACACACATATACATAGGGCATACATACACCCGCCTCTGTCACAATTGATACATATATACATCTGTGCATATGTATACAAACGAAAAAGCGAAACATGCGGTCGCCCGCCGCTAATTCTGAAGAAAATAAGTATCTACTTGTGAAATGCTCAGATGCTGTTACAATTGTTAACTGCAAAGGACGCAACGATTTGTTTCTTTGTGATAATTTCAACACTGGTATTGGCGTCGGCGTCAACGAACCTGGCGCATGTCCTTGACACAAGGATAATTATCTAGTAGGCTGTTATCAGTTGCTTACATTTTTCTGTTTGTGTTTTGATTTTACACAAAAAAGTTTGAAAATATTTTTGCAATTGCTTACCTGACACCTGCAAACAATGTCCACTTCGGAGGCTAGCATGTCTACCACCTTGCCTTTGCCTTCATCGCCCCATTGGGCGCCTAGGACAACATCTACTTTGGACTTGTACATACTGGTGCGTCCTTGATGCAATTGCTCGTAGTGATTACCGTTAATTGCGCTTGTTGACATTTCGTACCACTAACTGGAAACTCTCGGCACGGCCACGAAAACGAGCACGACGTTGATCTCGCTTGAAAACGGAACACGTTCTGTTTTTACAAAATAGTTTGATTTGCAGCTGTCACTGCATGGCGTTGCCGTAGTTAGGCCTGCCTCGCGTTTGAGTACATTTTATAAAGCTGCCAGAAAGTTTTAGCTTCAATACTTATTCAAATGATATATAGATAGGTATTATTTTGTATTTAATGTAATATGTTGTATATTAAATTATTGAATAATTTTTATCTTCCTACTTGTCACCATTTAATGTTTAAGTATTAATATTTCTAGAGGTTAATAATTGTCTTTCAAATTATGGGCGACAGCATTTCGCATAGTCTGGCATCACAAAATAACATATGGTTAACGGCTGGATTGTTTTGATAGCAAGACGCGAAGTTCGACACGATGTCTGAAACTGCGGAAAAATGTCACTTGTATGTAAGTTAGAAAAACTTTATATTATTTTAATAAATATCTACTTTTAGTTGCCACGACGCACCCTTCAAATACACTTGCCCCAAGTGTAATGCGATCTACTGTAGCGTCGCTTGCTACAAATCAACGGCGCATCTGAAGTGCTCCGAAGAATTTTTTAAAGCGTGCATCCAGGACGAGTTGGCAAGTGCAACAACATCGCCTGAAAGTCAGCAAGATATGCGTAAAATATACGACATCCTGAAACGAATGCGCGAGTCAGATGCCGGCTTTAAACCCAAAGATTTTGATGCAGATGGCTTGGACAATCCCTTGGACTCAGATGACGAAGACACGGAACCACAACAAAGTGAAGATGAGGTTGAGGGAGACACGGGTGGCATAGAAGACTCTTATGATGAGGAGATGGATGAGGTTGTAGACATGGCTGCTCGTCTGAAGGGTATCGATATAAACGATGCGGACGAGGTTTGGAGTCGATTAACAACTGAGGAACAACAGGAATTCCAGAAACTAATTGCAAGTGGAGATATAATGAAACTCATGCCCGATTACAAGCCATGGTGGTGCAAGCCTAAGAACTCCAAAATTGTTATCCTGCCTTCAGCAACAGATACTGAAGTTGCCATACCGGAAATACAGAAGAACATACCCATTTTCACAAAATTGTGCACAAAGACGCCTTCACCCTGCCTGCACTACAATCTCTGGAACATATTGAGCGCCTATGCGTGTGTGGCCCGATTCTTCGGCGGCGAGCACCGTACCAATGCCAGCGAAGCTGTTGCGCATTTGGTGAATCTCAGTGCAACGTTAAAGTATGGTACCAACTTTGAGGACGCTGAGGATGCCATTATATCCGTGCAAATGGAGGCATGTACCACAGGCAATGGACCAGCTGGTGCAGCAGCAGTCGGCACCGCAAGCGCAGGCACAAATTTTCTCGTGGAGAGTCGCGAACAATTGCAAGAGGATGCACGTCAACTTATGTCCACGATGCAACACAAATTGGCAGCATTGAGCGATATCCTCCAGCTGCTGCAGCATAGCAAAGCGCTAAGCAAGCGAAAACATTCAGAGGAGGCTGAATTCCAAAAGCTTTTTGCTTTAGCGAGCGGAAGTGTTGAACTGAATCGAACCAAGCTCTCGCAATTGATTAAGAAAATTGAGTTTATGCTGTCGTATGTTTCTAGAGAGCTATAAGAAATATGTCAAATAAAAAATCTAGTTTTAACACAGTTTTTAAGCTTTAGCAGTAATTAAATTTTTTTTAAAACATGAAGGCAATGGAAAACAGTGTCAACACCCATGTGCGTGTAATACTGGCTAATTGGCTGCACGCAGCTCTGTCGCGTATCGAACTCAAAGTAAGTAAATCGTCCTTTCGGAGTTTCTGATAAGTTAGAATTTTCAGTGAACGAGAGTTTTTTGACAAATAGACAACATTTGTTTTACGGCTAACGAAGCTCAACTTCAACTGTTAATTAACAGAAGGCTGAGTATGAAGCAAAGAAATGCTCGTCTGTCAATTGGTTGCAGTGTACCTGGAATCCAAAAGCATTTAAAATATCATTAGAATACTGAATCAAATGTATTCTACAATTTAATTCAGTTTTCAATAAAAGTTAATTATTAAAAAATAGTTGGCAATATATTCAAAATATATGTCACATACAAATTTACAATTAAGTATGTGTCATAACAGCATTGGAGCTGCAAAAGTGTCACGGCGAACCAGTTGTCTTTTGCAGCCCTCGCTGGCACAAAGTCTAGTTGTTGCTTGCCAGCCCTGCTAGTTTTTTTAGTTGGCGATTTCAGACACACACGCAAGTTGTAGTGCTTTTTACGGCTATTTTGTTTTTTGGTATGTTCAAATGAATCGACACGGCATCAAATGAAATGTTAGTCGTATGCCACAATATGCAAAATGCCAAAAGATTTCAATTAATACATGTGGCAAGGCAACAACAACAGCAATAAGAACATGGAATAGAACATTTTGTGTGAACGCGTTTACGTTTTGGGTGCGGACAACAGTGCGGGATTGTGTAGCGGAATGTTATATGCGTATATATATTATATATTTGTGTGTGTGTATGTGTATGACTGTCTGCTGATGTGTGTGAGGTGTTCTTCTTCGCTGCGCTTCACTCGCTAAATTAGTGCAAAAAAAAGGAAACAATTTGAGTGAGGAAGTGTGGGTGCGTGTGTGTGTGCATGGCGCCCATTAACTTTTAAACAAAACATTAAATTGTCTAGAATTAGAACTTATGTAAGCTAAACCAGCTGGATACAGGTGCAAATATTTGTTATTAATTCGTAAAATTGTTCAATCTTGGCCAAAGATAAACGAGTTTTGGGCCTTGTGCGCGGTGCTTATCTTTTTTAGACTAGAGCTCCTTAAGTGTGTGTGTGTATGTGTGCGCGCGTATGTGTGTTGGTTGTGTTTGTATCTCTCTGTGTGCGACTGCTTATCTATCTCGACAAATATGCGAAGTATGCGTCAACCTGTTTGTTAACTTTCTGTTAAAAATTTCTACTCCAATGCTACGGCGTCGGTGACCGCCACGATGACAACAAATACATTAAGAGCAGCAACAACAGCAGCAGCGACGACATCTGCTGCAACAACAATAATCAAATTAATAAACAACTTGACTACGAGAAATCAAAGTCGCATAACATGTACAATGCTAAATAAGTAGTTATGACTGCATGCAGCTAAATTTATAACAGCACACAGCACAGCGAACAAAACACCCAATGGAAATAAAACACCGTAAGCAACACAGCGCAGAGCGTTGACGCTGACGATGGCGATGACGATGTCAAAAGCGAAGCTCAGCTGCCAGTCCATTCAGCAATCGCTTGTCACTCGCCAAACTGAGACTGGATGGGGCGCAGCTTACTCCCGAACGGAAGGCTCTCCCTCTTGCTTGGAGCCTAACCAAACGCCGGCAGTCAGTGACCGAATGTCTTCACGCGGCTCCATTGATAACATATTTCTGTGCATGTGTGTCTATCTGCATATGTGTGTGCGCGCATGTGTGTGTGTGGCAGGCAACCTTTGTATTGTTTACAAACAGCTGACGAGTTTACTATACCCTGTGGGGTGCAGTAAAAGTTTGATGATTTTGTGCAATTGTGTGTCATAGACAGAAGTCATACTATTCTTACTCACAATATATCAAATACTTGATCAGCATCAGCAGTCGGGGTTATCTTTCTCTCCTTGCGCGTCCAGTTTCCGTTTAAATTGAACTGTTTCGGTCTTATAAATTATATATATCTGATTTCTTATATTGATTATAAATTAGAGGGTGTCTATTAGTCGTTACTGTTCATTGTGTTCACTTGTCTGCAACTTCATTGTGCTCTTAGCAAATCAATTGTATAGCATTTTGCTATAAGCGTCTTGAGATAACTAATAAAAGTGTTCCCAATTTCCACCTCTCATACTTTACTAAAGAACTGTTATCAATATATTGTATGTGTGTGTGTGTGTGTAAGTAATCACATCGGGTGCTTTCGTAAGAGGATCGAAACACTAAACGGCGCCAATTAGTTTGACAATTGGCTGGCCTTTTCAATCAAGACTAAATTGAATTTCTTTCTAGCAGGAAAATTATTTGTTTATTTTAATAAATATAAAAATAGACCGATATCTTACCTGTTTCCAAGCTCAATTCAATGCGCAATCATAACATGTCGATGATATTGTTTACCGTTTGTTTTATGGGTTCGATTTACAAAAGAAACTAACACAGTTATAGCTTTCAAGATACATATATATTTTGTGATAAAAAGTAAGAAGAATGTCTTTTTAATTGCTAAATGATGATGCACAAATTGTATTTTTAACAAATTGTTTGATTTGGAAAGATTTCGGTTACGCAGTTTCATGGCAAGTTAAATGATATTCAAATACTTGAGTATATTGCTTTTGAGTTGTATGTCATCATGCCAAATATATATGTCTCAGTGACGGTTTATTGTCGTACAAACTGTAGATTTATTGCTGCTTTAAGAATTCATGTGTGTTGCCCTGTCATTAAAATTAGTCAGATAAATCCAATACTGCTTCAGTTGATAGATTGTTAGGCTCAAAATTTTTACTTATTTAATAATATGCTTTTAGGAAATGTCCCACCACAGCGATGAACAGCTTCTGCAGGCTGGAAGTGATTCCTTCTGGGAGCCCGGCAATTACAAACGAACCACCAAACGCATCGAAGATAGCTACAAGTGAGTATGAAAATACAAATCGTAAACACTGTTAGGGTCATTGCCAGCAATAACAAACTGAAAAACCAGTTATTAACCTGTCGCTCTTCCTCTCTTTGCGTGTCTTTCTCGCTTACTCATCTGCCTGCACAGACTCTGCAATGACCTACAGCAACTGATACAGGAGCGTGCTGATATTGAGAAGGGATATGCCAAAAGCTTGCGCACCTGGTCAAAGAAATGGGGTGAACTCATTGAGAAAGGTAAGCGAAACGAGTTAAACGAGTTATGGGCGACTGCCCTATACTCTACGGCATAATATTGACTTATTAATAATTTTTTAAAAATGAGTTTTAGTGTTTGGGCTAACTATATGTACACATATGGGTCGAAGGTTACAGCTTTGAAACTGTTTTGTTTTTGACTTAATTTGCAAAGGGAATTATGAATGCGTTACCTAACTAGGGTATAAAAAACTTTGACGTATTTTCAGTTGACGACTCTATCATAAGCGAAGCTTAACCAATTAAAGGCATGAATAACGTTTGTAGAGTAAGGAAAAGAGTTGCAAAGAAAGACACATTAAATACAACGTACTCTACATGTAACTGTATGCATATAACCGTGTTATTTGTTTACACATTCATTCACGCCTGTTGAGCGAATCAATGGAGCAACAACAACAGTGATGACCCGTTGCCAGCGTCGCTGCTCAGTGGGCTGACAGAATTCAGTTCTTATTTTGCCACATTTTGTGTACACTGCGCATTGTTGTTGTGCGATAAGTGGCTTAAGCTATTAATGGGCTTTTTGTTGCCCCCTTTTTTTTGTTTTGCACTGTCTCTTACCTGTTGTCATCGGCAGCTTCGCACTCTGGTGCCAAATAACATGAAAATATTTAAGAGCTTGAAAACTATTCCATTAATCGCTCAAAACAAATTGTTAGACAGGTTAAGGTTTTACTGACTTAAAGACGACTGATAAAGCCGTTCAAAATGATTGAAATAAATATTTTGTTTATGATTTATATGTATATTAAGTTAATTTTTGCTTGTTTAAAAAATCAATGGCAAAATACATAAAGCTTTTAATGCTCTTCCAATCAATGTGATAACCAGTTGATAGACTCTGCTTTTAGCCGTGGAATGCCGAATTTCCCTAACAAGCAAATGTCACTACACCGATTTCTGTCGTTTTCGTCGCCATTTCGGTTCCAGTGTGCGCGATGTCTTTGTGAAATGAAATCGAGTACAGTGTGAGCAATGTTGGTAACCGCTTTTGCTGCTGCTGTTGCTATTGCTATTGCTATTGCTTTTGCTAATGTTATTGTTGTTGTTTCTGTTTTGGTTTTTGTTATGCCCGCCTTTGCTCTCAGCCCACTTTCACGGTGAGCACGACGACAAAGAGCAATAGTTAAAAAGCGGCTTCAACGAGCGCGCGACAATTTTGTATGGAATTTGCCTAGTTGCGTCTAGCCTGAGTTATCAACGGGCCGCAGCTCAGTTCCGGTGCCCTCCACCGCCACACCCACCCACTCAGCCAATTGAAAGAGTAGCGTAGTAAACCGGCACCAAAGCGTCACTCGAAATGGTTTCAAAAATCAATGCGATGAGAAAATAGAACGTGTTTATTTTTGTGCTAAGCGCCTCAATTTGTATGATGTATACACACATACACACACATATATACATTGGCGTGTGTGCGTGTGTGTGGGGTGCCAATTGAGAATAGTTGAGTGGCCGTTAGTCAAAATGGTCAAACGAGTTTCGTGCATTCCCAATTTGCAATGATTAAGTGGGCATCATATAAACTTTATTACGGTTTTTCATTTTGTTGTTAGCATACCATAAACATGCCTAAACTGTGCCGTACACACTCACTCCATACACGCTCTCATTCGCAACAGACTTCCAGGTGATTAGATAAAAAAGCCTGTCGTTGATGACATCAGCAACAAGACAATACTCAAAAATCTTTCAAAAATTACACATAATTACTACTAAAAAAGATGTGTCCAGTATTGACAATCAATTTATAACTTGTTTCGGTTTGATTTCAGGACCCGAATATGGTACAACGGAGGCAGCTTGGAAAGGTGTTTTAACTGAATCGGAGCGTTTGTCAGATGTGCATATGAAGATTAAGGATAATCTTTGCAATGATGTCAATAGTCAGATCAAGACTTGGCAAAAGGATAATTACCATCACACTCTTATGCAAATCAAGGAACGCAAAGACATGGACGATCTGTTCAAAAAGGCACAGAAACCCTGGGCCAAATTGTTGGCTAAAGTGGAGAAGGCCAAATCAGATTATCATGCAGCATGCAAAACGGAACGCAGCGCCACCAATCAAGAGCGCAACGCCAATGCGGACAGCTCGCTGTCACCAGATCAGGTTAGTTCTATACTATAACCGTTAGACAGTATCGACAGTTGTATGGCTTTGCTTTATTACGTATTATATTGCAGGTGAAAAAGATGCACGATCGCGTGCAAAAGACCAAAGATCAAGTTCAAAAGTGCCGCGAAAAATATGAGCAGGCCATTGGCGAAATAACCAAATATAATTCCGTTTACATTGAGGATATGACATCCGTATTTGAGAAGTGCCAAACTATGGAGAAGACTCGTCTGCAGTTCTTCAAAGAAGTGCTATTTAATGTGCATGAGTGCCTCGATCCAACCAAAGTGCAAAAGTAAGCCTTAAATGCCTTTTTGGCTTTTTTAAAATCACTTTTCTAATGTTTACCGTCTCTCTCATTGTAGCCTGTCCCAAATCTATGAGGAATTTTATCATACAATCAACAACGCGGACCAACAAAAGGACTTAAAATGGTGGTCAAATAATCATGGAATCAATATGGCCATGAACTGGCCAGCATTTGTGGTAAGTGTGTAGTTGCAAACTTGACGACAGCATTGGAAATCCCTTTGTGTTTGCAGGAATACACGGAGGAGTTCCGTGATATAGCCAAGGGCAACAAATCGAAAGAGGCGCTGCCTGCAGCGGCCATAACGCTCATCAATCAGCGACCCGTCGCCGAGGATGTGCATGTATGTCGATAAATCTATAATTAAATGCATAATTGTCTTATTAACTAATTAATTTATTTACCGCACAGGAATACCCTTCTACAAATAGTCTAAAGAAGAACGCGAGCGTTAACAGCAAAGCCAGCGGCAAGAGCAGCCAGCAGGAACAAGCATTCAATCAAACCTCTGCAACTACAGTCGAAACTAAATCAACGGTGTCGACAACATCGGTGGTCGGCGCTGCGACAGCAACAGCGGCTGCAGCGACGGCAGCGTCAGCGACGGCAGCTTCAAATCGCAATTCGAGCGTAACGTAAGTTGGAAACAGTTTGTGAATTTGAATTGTTTTAGATAATACACTCCAGTGGCCACAGCTGTGGCTGTTTGCTGCTATTTGGATTTGTCGCTTATTTTCATTGAACTAATTGATTTCAATTTGCATGCACACACAGTAATGGCAACGGCAAAGTCGACGCAAATCCATTCGACGAGGAGGAGGAGTGGGATGAGGCTGACAATGTACTGGTCGACAACGGGGAGCCGGGTGTGCCAGTGAAGGCTTTATATGACTATGACGGCGCTGAAAGCGACGAGCTTACTTTCAAGCAAGGTAAACATCGATCACATATATAACACGTATGAAGTTTCTCTCTTCTAATCTTCAATATTTGTCTATTTCGCCAGGTGATGTTTTTGAGAAACTTGAGGATGAGGATGAACAAGGCTGGTGCAAAGGTCGCATGAATGGTCGAGTAGGATTGTATCCAGCTAACTATGTGGAATTAAATCACTCATAAATGGTCGAATTATCTGATGGCGAGCTGGGCGGGCAGTGGTTAAATTAATGTCATTTACAGACATTGAGAATATTAAGATACCGAGATAATACATTAAAAGTATATAATGCAGATTGCGTTTAAAGTAAAAAAAAAACAGTCGTTGAAGAAATTATAATATGTATTAGAATTTGTTATGAGCAATTGCTCACACCACGGTGTGGCATCTTATGTTTTAGGCATTAAATTTGTATTGAGTGAAGGGAATCCAACCTACCAAACAATAAAACAAAACACAATACAAAAATAAGAAACATATAAAAACTTAAATAAGATGAAAGAACTCAACCACAATAGAATTCAAATGAATGTAGTTGAAGAAACAGGAAAGATGGATACAGATTAAAAATAGATAAAAGGTCGACAGAACAATAAGTGTAAACGTCAATGTATGAAATAATATTACAATACTATTACATATGTATTATGCTCTAGCTAAAACTGAAATGAACATGAGTTTTTTAGAATGTACGCGCATTTTTTACTAGATTCGGCTGGCCGTTCACATTTTTGTGGCCAGTTGCAATCTGCGTACAATTTAAAAAGCATATTTAATATGTGCGTGGTATTTGTAATGCGTTTCATGAACATATTTTTATTATTTATGAAGTTTTGTGTATACTTGTGTTATAAAAAGTATACGTATATTATTGTACATGTACATTTTTAATTGACTTAAATTATTGAAATAAAACAAAAATACAAAAGCGAATAACAAGGGATGCCTTTTAATTATAATTCTTTGATATTGCAAATATGTTTCTAAGATACGGTTATATCATTGTTATCATCAGAAGATTCTCCACCAAAGCAGCAAATCCGACATATCTAGAAATCCATTAATAATATTTTGTATATATTATTCGCCTGTGTCTAGCATTTGACTAGCATTTACACAGAAATCTGTGACTGGTGACGCGAACTTAGCTTGTGATCATACATACCATTTATACTTAGATATCATTCAACTAAAAAAGCTATTAGTTATTTTAATTTCCTCTACACTTGCTATAGTAGCTGTAGTATACTCATGCTGATCAAGAATATATACATATATACTTATAAATTATATATTATGTAGATTAATTATTAATATATACTCTGCTGGTCTGCTGGTCCACTGGCACTGGGCTTAGCTTAAATACATGCATACTATTTTATGAGGGTATTGCTATGAAGGATTCTTATCTCAACATATACGATATACTCGTACAAAACATAATACCCTGTTTATATATTTTCAATGGGCTTAGGGCATACACAAGCATACTGTTTAGCGTACACATGTGCTGCCTGATAAACGAAGAGAGGCAGTAATAACTTAAGTTTTAAGAACGGCATTCAGAGTTGCGATAAAAGCAATGTATCCGAAGTTAAACATTATATATATAAATATTTATTTATGTAGATTACAAGAGCACAGTTTCATTCAGGACAGCATCGCGATCAGTCAAGCTCGCTATGCACATACAGTAATTTTTCTGATAGATTTATATAAATGCATATACTTTTGAAATGACGAAAATCAAGTATCACCTTATTCAAACGGAAATGGCGTGGCCTAGCGATAGATCCGCCGCACAGAAGTTTTTAAAAATTTGCGCTGTATGTGGCATATTACTGCTTATGCTTGCCTATAGTTGGCCGATCCGCTTCACAAATGACCCAACGCCAAGTTCTATAAGGGCAGGTTGGACTGGCACCAGATATGACTATTTTAATGCAACCGTGGACGAAACTACATTAACTACAGACGATATAAGTTCGACAATGCAGTTTAGATCCTTAACAAACCCAAACGAAACCTTGGGTAAAAATATAGTTTGTTCAAATAATAAAACATATTAAGATCTATATTAACATACAGGACCCAATATATTGGATAACTACTTTGTGTATACCTCACACTGTCGCATGCCCGCTATAAATCCCTTTGCAAGGGATGCGCTGAGAATATTTGAAAATTCAACATATTCCCCTTGTGATTCGAAAAAGGATTTAATATCAATACACTACAATGACGAGGATCGACGATACAGGCTGCACATGAATGAAGCAAACATCAAATGCTGCTACAAAAAGATTCTGCGCTACGGAAATGGTGCGGAGGCAGACAATAAGTTCAAGTAGATAAGCATATAGAATTTAATTCGATAAATAGAGAGACATAAAAATTATTGTGATTATAGATTGTGGTCATGCAAATATTTCCAGCAGGACTTTATGCTGCCGCAAGATGTGGATGCTATTATCACCGAGTGTCGTCGTGTGAAAGATAAAAAGCTTTTGCAACAGGATGCGTTTAGCTTTGTGCAACCAGCGCAACACGTGGGCAATCGAACAAATAAAATTGCCTCAAATATAAGTCAATCGACAACTACAGATGGTAGACCAAGTGTCCTGCTTTGGGGCATTGATTCCATGTCGCGAATGAACTTTCAGCGTACCATGCCTCAGATGCACAAGTATTTGAGAGGGGAGAATTGGCACGAACTGCGAGGATATAACAAGGTCAGTAACCTATCATCAATTGTGATATATATATTTACTAATTAATTTTAAAGATGGGAGATAACACGTTTCCCAATTTAATGGCGATACTGGCAGGATTCAATAACTCACGATCAATGTCTATTTGCCGACCAACAGCTGTCGCTGGCTTAGATGATTGCCCTTTACTCTGGAAGGCTTACAGGCAATTGGGATATATCACAGCCTACGCCGAAGACTGGGGCCGGTTTTCTACTTTTAACTACAATAAGAAGGGATTCGTCAAGCCACCCACAGATTACTATCCACGACCTTTTGTGTTATCCATCGAGAAGGAACTCAAGAAAGAATTGGTGTCCAAGGTACCCTACTGTGTGGGTCGGCGACATTATGCTGAGTATATCTACGATTACGCAATCCAGTTCACGAAAGTCCACAAAAATGAGTCAACTTTTGGCATGTTCTGGACAAATTCGTTTAGCCACAATAATTTTTCCTTGCCTTCTTCAATGGATGTTAAGATGCTGGAATATATGCATGCATTGCAAAGAGGTGGCACCTTTGAAAAGTCTATTGTTATATTCTTCAGTGATCATGGCATGCGCTTTGGCAAACTGCGGAATTTGCATAGTGGGTTTTTAGAGGAACGTATGCCAATATTTTATATATGGATTCCAAACTGGTTCAGGATAAAATATCCAGCGTTTGTGCATAGCTTGCAGTTAAATAGGAACCGTTTAACGTCGCCCTACGATATCCATGCTACATTGAGGCACATTCTGGAGCTCGAGACACCGTTGGCTGATTTGCCACGACCTGAAGGCTGTCCGAAGTGCCATAGTATCTTTTACGAAGTAGCTGAATCGAGGGACTGTACAGATGCGGGAATTGCGGAGCACTGGTGTACCTGCCACACGTTAAAGAATAGTTCACGTACTGAGATTCATATCAAAGAAATTGCACAGCAGCTTATTGCTGCCACAAATGCCTATTTGGTGACCAACAACTTGACGGACATATGCCAGACTCTAAATCTTTCAAATATCGAGTCAGTGCAGAGGAAAATAACTTCAAAGCCAAAGGAATTTGAGTCTTACTTGGTCAGGTATGAGGCCAAGCCAGAGAATGCACTTTTTGAGGCTTCAACGGATTGGGACAACAAGACACAGCTAATCTCAATAAACGTGCCTGATATAAGTCGACTGGACGCCTACAGTGAACTATCTAAGTGCGTAGACGACAGTATTGCTAAAAAGTTTTGCATATGCTTCGACTTTTTACAGCCCAACCGATAAACTTATCTCTGAGAGATAACACAACCTTAAATTTCTATTCGCATGCGCATGCCCCTGCCTTCTGAACAGGATGTGAACTAGTAATATTATCGTAACATTCTCTGCTCAAATGTATATTAAGCGAAATAGTTTTAACTTGTTCTATTTTATTTGTATTTCAATTTGCATGAAATGAGTCTAGATCTTAATCTAATAATATTATATCTATAATACAAATGATCATAAGAATATTTATTAATAATAATTCCGATGAAATCGTGAGCCAACTGAATGAGTATTGTCTTCTTGGTTTATCCTTAAGCATAGCCAAGAATTGCGATTTAGACTCAACAAATTTAATTATAAAATGATTTTTATATTAAATGTTATTATAAAAGCAGATTACTCACTATATTAAAAGAGTATATTAGTTTTGGGCTGTTTTTGTCTGTTTCGGACATTTTATAAACTCTTGACGCGTTCGTTTTATAGAAGTTCATTTTTAAGGTACTTTTGAAGGTACAGACTTGGTATTTGGAATATATACACGAGTGGAGTATAATATAATATATATATATATAAATGGTCCACGTCGGTGCCTACTGGTAATTACTATCTGGACCTTAGTAGAAAGAGACCTAATGGAAAGATAAATCTCTATCTTTTTAATATCAAATGAAAAAGCAGAAAAACTTATAGCTGAATTAATGTATCTGCTTTTGAAACGTAAGCCAGTATTATTCAGTCGGTAGCACCCGACTGCAGCGTTACTTTTTGTTTTTTAAGAAACTATAAACAAAATATGTATATTTATGCTATAGATAAGAGTAAGAGTTTTTAATTAAGAAGCAAAGGTTAGAGTTAGTAGAATACAGCTCGGTTCGATATTCTCACAATCAATTGGCAGTTGGATATGGGGCACCACACAGAGTACATTGAATATAAATCCAACACCACAAGAGAAAAGTGATTTAATTAATCTAAAAATATAAATTCCGATGGCAAATTTTAAATATAAGTTAATAAAGCCTCAATGCGCAGCGCAAAAGGAAATGACGAGCTTCAGAATGGCCCCAAAATTTCTTTTGTGTTGCCTTCTGATTCTTTTGATTCTTCTGTATGGGCAAATATACTTTACCCAATATGGTATACGTGTGGAAACTTCAATGACAACAACTAATTTAACTCAGATAACAATAAAATTATTCAATTTAACACAGGGTAAATATGAAATAGTAAAACTTCTAGTAGATTCAATATTGTATTTTAACAGAGCCAAACACAATCAGCTACTTTGTGAACACCTCAAAGTGTCGGATGCCAGCCCCATATCCCTTTACGCCTGATGTTGCAAGAATATACAAAAAAGTGCCTTATAAACCGTGCGAGCCCGGTAAGGATCTCATCAAAGTGAATTATAAGGAAGGCATCTACAGTCTGCATATGAATGAAGCGAAAATTGCATGCTGCTATAAACAAGTCCTGGGCTCCGGAGTTGGTGCTAATGCGGATACGCAGTATAAGTAAATACCCCAGTTTCGTATAATTTAGACTGATAACATATATATTTAAAGACTTGAATTATATTTATATTTATAGATTACTGCCATGTAGTAATTTTCACCAGGACTTCGTTGTGCCACATCATGTAGAAGCAATCATCACGGAGTGTCGTCGATTAAAAGATAAAAAGTTATTGCAACAGGATGCGTTCAGCTTTGTGCAACCAGCCAAACCTATAGATAATCAAAAAGCTGTCAATGATTCAAATACTAGTCAATCCACTGAGCGACGACCAAGTGTCCTACTGTGGGGCATTGATTCCTTGTCGCGCATGAACTTCCAGCGGACTATGCCGCTGATGTACAACTATCTAAGAGAAGAGAATTGGTACGAGTTGCAGGGCTACAGCAAAGTGAGTGAACAAAATTCAGTACTCCATATAATTCAATTTATCAATCTCTAAGATGGCAGATAATACATTTCCTAATTTAATGGCGGTGCTGACAGGATTTAATAACTCACGGTCAATGTCTGTTTGCCAGCCAAAGACTGTCGCTGGATTAGATGATTGCCCTTTTCTATGGAAGGCTTACAGGCAGTTGGGATATATCACAGCCTACGCCGAAGACTGGGTCTGGTTTTCTACTTTTAACTACAAAAAGAAGGGATTCGCCAAGCCACCCACAGATTACTATCCACGACCTTTTGTGTTATCCATCGAGAATAACCTCAAGAAAGAATTGCTATCCGACGTACCCTACTGTGTGGGTCGGCGACATTATGCTGAGTATATCTACGATTATGCAATACAATTTACAAAAGTCCACAAAAGTGTGTCTACTTTTGGATTGTTCTGGACAAATTCGTTTAGTCACAGCAACTTTTCCTTGCCTTCTTCAATGGATGTTAAAATGCTGGAATATATGCATGCATTGCAAAGAGGTGGCACCTTTGAAAAGTCTATTGTTATATTCTTCAGTGATCATGGCATGCGCTTTGGCGAACTGCGGAATTTGCATAGTGGGTTTTTAGAGGAACGTATGCCGATATTTTATATATGGATTCCAAACTGGTTCAAGATAAAATATCCAGATTTTGTGCATAGCTTGCAGTTAAATAGGAACCGTTTAACGTCGCCCTACGATATCCATGCCACATTGAGGCACATTCTGGAGCTCGAGACACCGTTGGCTGATTTGCCACGACCTGAAGGCTGTCCGAAGTGCCATAGTATCTTTTACGAAGTAGCTGAATCGAGAGATTGCTCAGATGCGAGCATTGAGGAGCATTGGTGTACTTGCCGCACGTTTTATAATAATGCAGGCCGTAAAATTTATAAAAAGGAAATTGCACAGCAGCTAATTGCTGCTACAAATACCTATCTGAAGTCCAACAACCTGACGGGTATTTGTCAGACTCTAAGCCTTTCAAATATAGAGTCGGTGCAGAGGAAAATTACTTTGCAGCCGAACGAAATTGAGTCTTACGTGGTCAGGTATGAGGCCAAGTCAGCAAATGCACTTTTTGAGGCTTCAACGGATTGGGACAACAAGACTCAGTTAATCTCAATAAACGTGCCTGATATAAGTCGATTGGATGCTTATAGTGAACTATCCAAGTGCGTAGACGATAATATAGCTAAAAAGTTTTGCATATGCTTCGACCCTTCACAGTTCAAGCTGTAGTGTAATATAGCTTTGCTATATAACACTAATTAAGAATAATGTATCTACTTTCTAATAAAATTAATTAAAATTACATTTTCCAGAAATTGTTTTAATGTAATTCGAATTATTAAACTTTATTTTTAAACTTTAAATTTATTCAAAACGTGTGTCGATTAGCTTGAAGTATATAAGGTCCTTAGATGTACGGAACAAAATATCACTATTACGGTGTTTCATAAATTAAAAATTTTTTATTAACTATACTTTATAAAATATTTGGTTAACTGATAATAATTAGAACTAAATCACTCGTTAACTAGATATGAATTAACACAAAATATTGATGTGTTTACATTCATTAAAATCTTTTTATTATGGGCATTTTGCAGTACCCTTTTCAGTTTCTTCAAGTCCTGCAAACTGAAGAAGAACTGATTTCTTAGATACATTCATCAAATCTTACTATTGAACATGCTTTTATTTCACGAAAAGTGTTAGATTAATATTCAAAATGTAATATATTTTTGGACACTGATAAGGCCGTATCAGGGCTTAACAAAGAATTAATAGCGTAACTTCATATCGCTAAATACAAATGTTCAATATGATTGTTACGTTTGATAGAACCACAATCAGTGGGCAGTTGGATATGAGACCCCTCACACTACAGAACACATCGTGTATACGGCCAGCACAAAACCCCCCAAAAGTGAAATGTGATTAATATATATTAATAACGATGGCAAACATAAAATATCAGTTAATTGGGGCACCAGGTCCGGCCATAAATGAAACTTTGAATTTCCGAGTGGTCTTAAAAGTCTTTCTGTGCTGCTTCTTAACTCTTCTGACCATATTCTATTATCTAAGATATTCCATTGAAACTGGAACATATGTGGAACTTGCAATGACAACAGAAACAACAGCGACAACAATTACAACAACAACAATAACAACAACTAATTCCACTCCGATAACAATAAAACTCTTCAATTCAACGCAAGGTAACTGTGAAAAAATAAGTATTTAATTGATTTAAATGGGTCGAACATTAACAGAGCCCACTATAAGAAACTTTTTTGTGAACACCTCAAAGTGTCGGATGCCAGCCCCATATCCCTTTACGCCTGATGTTGCAAGGATATACAAAAAAGTGCCTTATAAACCGTGCGAGCCCGGTAAGGATCTCATCAAAGTGAATTATAAGGAAGGCATCTACAGTCTGCATATGAATGAAGCGAAAATTTCATGCTGCTATAAACAAGTTCTGCGCTCCGGAGTTGGTGCCAATTCGGATACGCAGTTTAAGTAAATACACCAGTTACGTATAACTTACAATAATAAAGTATTTAAGTGCTTGAATTATATTTATATTTATAGATTACTGCCATGTAGTAATTTTCACCAGGACTTCGTTGTGCCACGTCATGTAGAAGCAATCATCACGGAGTGTCGTCGATTAAAAGATAAAAAGTTATTGCAACAGGACGCATTCAGCTTTGTGCAACCTGCCAAACCTATAGATAATCAAAAAGCTGTCAATAATTCAAATACTAGCCAATCCACTGAGCGAAGACCAAGCGTCCTACTGTGGGGCATTGATTCCTTGTCGCGCATGAACTTCCAGCGGACTATGCCGCTGATGTACAAGTATCTAAGAGAAGAGAATTGGTACGAGCTGCAGGGCTACAACAAGGTAGGTGCGACTTTAATTTAGAGCCTTTTATTATTATCAATCAAAACGATACTTTTTAGATGGGAGATAACACATTACCCAATTTGATGGCGTTGCTAACAGGATTGAACAGCACAAGGTCTATATCTGTCTGCCAACCTAAGAAAGTGGGAGGACTGGATGCTTGTCCAATGCTCTGGAAAGAATACAAGCATAAGGGCTACGTCACTGCTTATGGGGAGGAGTGGAGTAAATATTCCACCTTTAACTATTTATGTAAAGGCTTTAAAGCCCCACCAACGGACCATTATGCACGCCCGTTTATCTTGGCTGTTGAGAAAGAGCTGAAGAAGCAGTACGACACAGCATTACCCTATTGTGTGGGTCGTCGGCATTTTGCGGAGTACATTTATGATTTTGCCCTACAGTTTACAGAAGCTTACAAAAATGTATCCTCATTCGGCCTGTTCTGGACAAACACCTTTAGCCACAACAACTTTGCATTGCCCTCCTCCATGGACTCCAGGATTCTTGAGTACATGCGCACATTGCAAAGAAGTGGAACCCTTCAAGAGTCCATTATTTTATTTTTTAGCGATCATGGTATGCGTTTTGGTAAGCTCCGCGAGTTGGAGAGTGGATTTCTAGAGGAACGTATGCCCCTTATGTTTATTTGGCTGCCTTTCTGGTTTAGGCAAAAGTATCCAGCATTTGTAAATAATTTAGAGCAAAATAGAAATCGTTTAACTTCGCCGTACGATATCTACGCCACCTTGAGACACATTCTAGAGCTGGAGACTCCGCTGGCGGAGTTGCCACGACCTGAAAGTTGTCCCCGCTGTCATAGTGTTTTTTTCAAAGTAGCCGAATCAAGAGATTGCTCAGATGCAGGCATTGACGAGCATTGGTGTACTTGCGTGGAATTCGAAGACGTTCCAAAGACTGATTCAAAAACTACATTAATGGCAGAGCAGCTGGTCGAGGCAACAAATAAGTACTTGGCGGATAAAAACTTAAGTGGTATTTGTCATATCCAGAAACTAAATAATATTGAGTCTGTGCAAAAGCAAATTTTACCAAGCTCGAAACAATCCAACTCCTACCTGGTCCGATATGAGACGGAACCAGCCAAGGCGCTCTTCGAGGCAACGGTCAAGTGGAGCAACACGAGCAAGCAAATCAGCATTTCTGTGCCCAGCATTAGCCGAATGACATCTTACAGGGAACACTCCGAGTGTATCGATGACAAAACAGCCAAGAAGTTCTGCATCTGTGTTAACTGATTAGTTAACTCAATCGACTCCGGCTGCCGAAGTTGGTGGAGTACCGCACAACCACAAAAAATTGTAATTGCTGTAGAAAAGATGCATCTGCATTCCTTCGTGTACTCGATATCAGTATCTGTTGCAGCAGTAACTCAATTTCAAGAGCATTGTTGCCAAAGCCTATCGCCAGTTCCGATCTCACCCTAGAATGTTGCGGGCAAATTAGTTTACAATTATATGACAATTGCAAGAGATAATTGCTGCAATATCAGCGTTTGGAGTACAGCTGTTTCATCTATTGTATTACTTTCAAATGCTATTCGCGACGAAGAAGAAGATTTTGTTAGTAATAATCTTAACAATAAAAAAATGAAATTAATAAGCTTGTATCTTATCTATTGGTCAATAAATTTGCACTAAGAACTCGAGTAGTCGACAGGTTTAACAGCTTGTCACAGATAAGTTAACGTTTTCTGGGAACGATAGACTTCTAGTTACTTAGCCTATGTCAATAGATTTCATATGATGCGAAATAAAATGAGATTACAGCTTACCAAGCATATGCCTGCAAATTCATGTTGTAATTGATACTTTGCGTTGTCTCTCAGTAAAACTCGTTATTATGAAAACAAAATTACGAATCAATCAAAACATATTAAAATTTGAGGCTCAGCTCGTATTCCCATCGAAAATGGCGCAGCAGATGAGTGCATTAGGGCAAGGGGTGGCCAGGCAGGCTGGCAGGCCACGCACCACCCCGAAAACCACCGCCGCTAACCACAACACAAAATACAAAACACAAACCTTAAACATCAGCAGTTGCTGATGCAGATACGGATGTGTATTAGCTACAGATACAAGACCACTCAAATCGCTCAAGTACTTGTATCTGTATCTGTATCTGTATCTTATGCTGTGCGAGCTTCTGAGGGCCGGTTCCGTGTGTCAACTTCAATTACTTGCGCTGCCTAATCACGGTTCTATAAGGGTAATAACAATGTGCAGCCTACCTGGTGTGCTGGCCAGAGGCAGGGCAACGCCTTTTAAACGCCTCATTGCGCGCAAATGAGATTCGAGTGCCGCATTGGAAACCGCCGCGAGAGAGGGATAGCGATACGCTGCCATTGTGGTGCACAAAATGGTGGCAGTTCCTGTGCCGACAGCGACCTTAAATAGCCGAGGATGCGCAAAGTACTGAACAGTAGCAATTCAGCACTGACACACTCCAGGATCATCGACCAGGATGAGTGATTTTAGCATTGACTACATACTGAACCGTGCCGGCGATAGATATGTCGGCACCAATGCCTCTTTAGGAATTCTGCAGCGATTAAGATACCATCCCACATATCATCCATATGCGCAGCCTGCCCTCAAGGAGCAGTTGCCACCAACAACAGCCGCGTCCATGGAGGACGGCTCAGTGCCCATGTACGACTGGTTGCAGTATACACGTTATCATCCGCCTAAGCTGCCACGAGCGTTGCGTCAAGGCCCCGCCAAGCGCACACCTGGACGTTTGCCACGTATTCCGTTTACGCCCGCTCAGCTACAGGCATTGGAACGAGCCTACAAAGACTCCAACTATTTAAGTGCCGAGGATGCTAATAAACTGGCCGTCTCACTGGAACTAACAAATACGCGTGTGAAGATCTGGTTTCAGAATCGTCGTGCCCGGGAAAGACGTGAGAAGCGAGAAAAGGACGAGAGCTGTGACTCCACCCTCTCATCCAATGCATCTAGTCCGGAGCTGGAGCAGGACATGTTGGTCATTGTATGAACAGCAAAAAGGACCTAGAGTTAAAATAAGATTCAATTTGGCTGTTACTGTGTAACTTGTGATTGTAATAGGGTTGACCACCTTTTGTAAATAGACTATATTATTAAATACATTTATAATTATGATATAAAGACAATACATTAATTATAAGTGAAAATTAAATTTTATAAATAAAATCAACAATTAACTAGACAAATGATGAAAGTATTTTTATCAAGCCCTTCTCTATGATTAAAGACAGGTGCTTATTTATCAACGTTGGAACTATAACTATTTTCTCATTAGTTTCATTTAAATAGAAGAATCCTAAATGATATATTTGAAAATGCATGGACTATTAATAGCGAGAAAAAATAAAATTAATTTAATTAACTTGTTTCATTTTTTAAATTTATTTACATAGCCTAAATTTTTTTGGTTTTCTGAATCAACATCAAATGTGTTTTTATATATTAGATTCATTATTTAAATTTAAATCATATTGATCTGTGAAAGAAAAAAAAAACAAAATATTATTTCAAAAAAAAAAAAAAACAATTAAATCCTTACTTATTGTCTTACATTTTTCAAAATTTTAGATTCCGAGGTTTTAAGCTGAGTTTAAGCTAACATAGGTAAGTCAAAAGAACAATTTGTATTTGATCGGCACAATTATTTCAAATGTCGTTTCCGCACTTTATATAATAATTTGTTATGAAAGGTTTCCATAATTTTCAATAATTTACTTTAAAATTAAATAATTTTGCAATTTTTAATGTCTTAATGCTTAATTTTTAATTTATTCTCTTTTTTTGTAAACATATAGAATATGAGTGAGGCAAATACAAATTTATATCTGTAAATATATAGTATTGAGTCCGTCATATATTATTCAGCAGGTAGGTTAACATAATGCAAATTACCAAATAAGTTAAGTAATTTGATCAGATAGGCAAGGTTTTGTGGCAACTTGATTAACTTTATTCCCACACATGCTCCCATTACGCATTGCCGTCAAGGGTATCATGCAAGCACTGTGGGTAAACGGTATCCTGTCTGGGAAATTTCTTTTCAAATATCATCAATGAAAAGGAAGCAACTCGCGTGCCGGAAAAACAGCAAACAACAAGCGAGAGGCGGGGCGTATCTTAAGCCGATTTCGCAATTGTTGCTGTTTTCATGGTCAAGAATAATTTGTTTTTCCGCTTTCCTTTGTTTGCATACAACGAAAATATCAAATTACAAAGCGGCGGCTTTTTGCAGCAAAATGTGCCGACGGGCGGGGGCTTTCGAATTCGAGGATATTTTTGCGAATGCAAAAGATGATTACGATTTGGCCACTGCGGCCAAGCTGTAAGGCAAATGAGTTTACGCAAATCCTAGCGATTTCTATACCTAAGCCATTGATAATCCGATCATATAACTATATATCCAACTAGACCAATGCGGGCAAAAGGAGACCTGGGTCGCAGTTGGTTTTCACAGATATAAAATGAACATCTTCGACATGAATCGAATGGAAATGGGCACAAAGGGTTCTGAATTCATGATATGAAAACTATATCAAATAACATATCCTGTCAGCGCCTAAGTGCATTCTAGTTGACAAACGGCATTTGCTTGTCAAAAGGAGAGCAGCAATTGTTTCAAACTGAAGCTCTCAAAGCGCGTAGCCAAATATCTTCTGGAACAATTTGAGCCACACTCATTAGTTGCAGATAATTCATGTAAATTTGCTAAATCGGCTTATGATCTGCATTCAATGAAGAAATGTTTATGTTACTAATCTAGTCCTGTTTGACAAACAATGCGGCAATATTTATTCTAATGGCGTAGAAAAACACAGCCATGCGCCGCTTTGGGCTGTAAATGTCCTTTCTGTAGGTCCTATACTTAAGGCCAACACAATGTGCAGGCAAAAGGAAAGCAAGCCATACGCACACACATAATAGCAAAGTGGGTCAAGTCGGGCACATCAGACTAGACGTGGTTGGATTAACATAATTCCTATTTTTACGTAGATTGAGGTAAGCGCTGACTGGCGTCAGACTGGGATTGTTATGTGCAACTATTGTGCATATGACATAAATATCTACACAAATATTTAAATCTTGGTTCAGTAGGTACAACTAAAAAATTTTCTAATCTTGTCAATTGATTATGTAAATTATACCTTAAAAAACTTTTTTTCTTAGAATTCTTAGAATTTGGCGGCATAACGTATTGAAACGTCTGGCAGCACTATCACACTATCGCAATTGGCAGAGTTGGTAAATGTATTAGCGCCCTCTATCGTCAATTATTATCGATTACAAAATATAACATATCTCTAGCAACCCTAGTTTCTTTCTTTTCGATAGATCCGCATTGAAGTGACAAGGTGAGCAAAATTTTTTGCTAAATTTATGGATATTTTACAGGTTTTAATAACGTAAATGTGTAAAATGAGTTATATAAAGTGTACTAAACGTGTTGTACATAAAATGCAAATCATGGTGTTCGGCCAGTTGGCAAAAATATCAGTGGAAAATGTTACACGTGTTTTCACATTGCACCAGGCGTAGGCTGTGAATGTCAATTAAATATAGTTTTATTTGATTTTCAGAGCACATCAATATGCAGCTTTTCGTACGTGGTTTGGAAACAATTGAAGCTTTGGAGGTGTCCCAGGATGCTACCATTGCTGGCGTCAAGGTGAGCGATTGTGCTACGCACGACAACAAAAACTTCCCCCTAACCTCATTTCGGTTGTTTCTTGTTTTAGAGTCAACTTGCCCAGTTGCACGGCTTTGAAACCGAAGAGTTCAGCCTGAACTGCGAGGGTGCCACTCTTACCAATGACACACCTGTCACAGCTCTGAGCTCCTTTGAGCTGGATATTACCATTCCCATGATTGGTGGTAAAGTGCACGGTTCTTTGGCGCGTGCCGGTAAGGTCAAGGGCCAGACCCCCAAGGTTGAGAAACAGGAGAAGAAGAAGAAGAAGACCGGTCGCGCCAAGCGCAGGATTCAGTACAATCGTCGCTTCGTCAACATTGTACAGGGCTTCGGCCGTCGTCGTGGTCCCAATGCCAACTCTACGTAAAGTGGATCAGCTTACAGAGGGATTGATGAACAGAAGCTGAGCTATTTTTATTGCAAAATAATGTTCATATAAGTAATTTTCAAAAATTAAACAAAACTTATTTTACGCACGTCAAGCTGTAATCCGACGCATCTCGTGTGTTTCTCAATTGGAAAAGGGAACACGCTTACGCTCCCTGCTCACCACAAAGAAGCGGTGGTACCAAAATTCAATGCAACTCACAATCGTCGCTAAAATTACGCCGAAGATTAGTACCATAAAACAGCCCTGCATATCATCCATATTAACTTTATGATTGGCAATCTGACGCTGCATATTCTTCCCATTGCATTTGTCCATGGAAGGCAGATTTGTTTTATGCCAGCGGTCAATGAACCCCATGCGGAATAGCCTATCTATGTGCTGGTTAATTAAATGTAAATAGGCGCTGCCCGAGGGCACGATCAATCCTATCTGTTCATCGACAAAATCTTCCTTGCCTAATGCAAATCTGCACTCCTTATCCAACTCAAAGTGCTGCTGCACAATAAGCTGCAGATTAATGCGCCAATCAATATTGATACGATCACCATGTTTCACTGCTGCAATGTTCTCGCTCTGTACGTTGTTGTAGATTAAAGAGCGCCCAATGAAGCGCTTAAAGTCTTCTCTTGTCGTGGTCTCCACGTACTTCTCAAAGAACGTGCCATTGCGCAGGCCGTATTGCTTTATTTCCTTATGAGCGGATAGTTGATTAAGGTAATCAACGCCTGGCTGGAATTTTGGGAATGTTAGAAACGCAACGAGATTGCCGCAATAAGTAGTAACCAACACAATGACCACTAGCCACCAGAAGCCAACAACCAGCCTGCCACTATCCGCACGAGGCAGATACATGCCACCTGCAAGGTTTTCAAATTTGTTGGGAAGATGCATACGATTTCTTTTGTCGATAGTACAAACCTTGTTGCAACAGTGCTCCATAAATATACCAGAAACAGTTTTTCACTGTGGAGAGACTGCTAATTCGAAGCTCTTGCAGCGGCATCAGACGATTTACGAAGTACAGAATGGGCGCCGTCAAGAACAAAATCCCTGCCAGGCAGCCCCAGGTCTCTAGGGTGAACGGAGCCGTGAACAGATAGATGCGGCTCACTTCATCCGGTTGCCGGAGAATGAATGTGTACTTTTGCACACTTATGGGTTGTGTGTAGTTAAAATGTTTCTTGGTTGGTTCATCAATGGTGGCTGCCACGGCGGCCATGAAGTACGCATTGCTTTGCAGCAGCTCAACCACTCGATAGGGAATGCGATAGGTCATCGAGCCCATCAGCTCATCCTACAAAGCAAACATATCGTCAAAATTTACATTTTATGCGTTCATATGTATCCATACACTCTCATTCATGCTCTGGCTAAGCGTGTCCGTAGTATCCGGCAATTGACCCTCATGCAAATAGTAGCTAAAGTTCAAGGCGCGGCTTAGTTCCTTCACTATTTCCATGACAATTCCTGAGTGCTCCACGATGACACCGCGACTATCCTTGGTCAATATTTGCCAGGGTGGATTCTACGAGAAATTTGAACCAATATATAAGATTAACATATATTCCTGGCTCAAAGACTCACATGCACTGTCACAATGTCCATGGTGATGTTACGGAAGTGATGATCAATATGGGGAAAGGTTAACTCATGACATATGAATCCCAGCAACGGTGTCCAGTAACCAATATTGATGAACTCAAAGTTGCGATTTTTTGCATCGCGAGTGGGAGCTATGAGCAAAGCAAAATCGTATTTAATAAATTAAATTAGATGCTTTACCTACCCATGCGAAACTTGCGATTCTCCTGACTCTTGCCCCAGGTGATGGCGGTTTCAAAACGCCAGCGGGCGCAGCTTGCGCATTTACTGTTTACCTTAAGGTATTCCTGGCAAGATGTAAAATAAATTACTAATTTTAATTGGCCAAAAAGTAAAAATTGTGTCGACTTTGCCTACCTTCATGTAATCAAGCAACTCTTCCTGTTTCTCTTGCTTGGTAAAACGTATCGACTCCCATTCCTCATCGGATATTTTGCCATAGATGGATTGCTCTTCGAGTATCATGCGGGACAGCGAGGTGACCACAGCCATGGAAACTTCTGATATGGTGCAGTTCAACGTGTCCACGCAATTGGTCACCGTTTCGTTCAGCGCAAAGGCTATATTAGCACCCTCATCTAGATTTATGGTCACGCTATTGGCATCAAAGTCACGACGCAGGTCCTCCAAAACAAAGAACATCCATTGATTGTTCACATGGAACATGCTCAGCGTTTCTGCTATCTCAATAATATCCTCATGAAATTTGGAAATAACCAAAAACTGCTGGCGCTTCTGTTCATGTTTGATGGGCGCGAATTGAGCCAATGCCTGCCGCAGCGAAATTCGTTTCTGCTGACCACGCAATGATTCGTCAATCTTGTACAGAATCAGCGATATCGGTGGTATATGGTTTGTGGTGCTTTCGTGAACGACAGACTTGACCAACATAGGATTGCTCTCAACTAGAGTAGGGAATACAAAAATGCACATACCATTTGGACTGTATAGCTAGACATTTATGCTTGGAATACCCACGTATATTTTGATCTACAAGCACAACCACCGACTTCCATTTAAATATGCCCTGCACCTTGGCATCGAGCACAATTTGAGGAAACTCATCGCCATGAGAAACCATTGGGATCTATGTAGAGGAATGAATTACGAGTGAATGTCATGAAACACAAGTCCAAAAGTTCGCTCACCATCAGTGCTCGATTTAGGGGCAAACGCGGACAATCCGAGTCAGTGATAGCAATCAGCAGTATGGATGCCCTTTGAGTGGTTTTATAAAAGTTCCAGGTGCTCTCACAATCCGACACAGTTATGGCAGCTAAAAAATCTATTGAGAAGCTAAAAACTTAAGCAATAAGATTTGATGAAAATTTTCTATTTTACCTTTCTTAATTTTGACGGAGTTCCAGGTGAAGTAGCGCACATTGATGCCGCCATTCTTCATATTCTCGCGTATTATATCACTGAGAATCTTTTCGAAATGTGCCATTATATTCTGCCGATGCATGGCCATATATTCGTAGTCCACAACCACAGCTGCAAGGGGCGTAATAATGAATGAACTAAACGGTAATTCGTAGCTATCCGTGCTCACCCAGCGAGGCGTTGGCGCTCAGAAACGATGGGAAATCGTTAGCAAGCACAGGAGCTGGACAGCAGACCAAGCCACATAGAAAACAAAAGAAAAAAGACGACAACTTCATGATGCGCGAACTGTTGGAAAGCAACTAAAAAGTGAAAGCTGACATTACCAACGAGGTTGCCTCGGACTCCGTGTTTTTCTTTTGGGATATAGCCAAGCATAAAGCCAATTAAAATCATGTTTGTTGGCGAGTGTACCATAGTTTCTAAAGCACATGAAATATTCAAAGGATAGAAAGAGGGGTTTCCTACGGTAAGCGACTGATTGACAGTTTGCGGTTAGGCGTCGACATCCACATCAAATGTCAGGTACGTCAGCAAATTGTTGCAGGTGTCCGTTAGAGGATATTCGACAAAATTATTGTGTTTGCGGTGTTAACTTCGTTTATTTAATTATATATATGAAATTGTTCATCGAAATTGCGTGTAAGGTAATTACATTTTACAATCTTACAGCTAGGGAACGAATAAAACTATTGGGGCTTTCAACTAAGAGTTACAATTCACTTAGTTTAAGTTTTTGACTAGTTTTTAGCTTATGGTAAGGTCTTTATTAATATAAATTTAAATGGGTTTATAAATATTTTGACCAAGTATAGATATATATATATATATATATATTTAAATGTATATGTATATATATATACATATATATATATATAATTATTTCTTTATGTATGTATGTATAATTTAGCTACACTTATTTCACTATTATACAATTCCAAAAATGCTGTCATATATAAATGCATACGATTTCGATTGTAATACGGATTTGTATTGTATTTATAATATTTGCATTACGAAAGTGTCTCAATCATATTAACTGTGCGCTTATATGTTTGCTTGTCTGTTTCTTGTTCGGTAGCTTTTGTTTGTATATATATGTATATATGCTATTATTTTGACTATCTGCTACCTTTCAAAATGCTCTATGTGAAACGTCCAATTCTTCATTGGTGGCGCTCCTCTGTATTTACCCAAAAAGTGTTCCGAAAAACCAACATTTCCTTTCCATCCTTCCAGTGCGCTACTTAACGAGTATGCCAGTGTATATTTATAAATAGCTATACTACGTATTGGGATTAATACATCGTAGTTAGATGTGCTTGCACTTTTTGATTCCTGGTCCAAACTGTCGACAGACCCATTTTAAACCCATTCATCCTGGGTTTACAATTTTCCTCATTCATTCAGAATTGCACTTAGACGCTCCTCGACGGCTACTTTGCGTGACTTCCACACAAATTCGCATACGGCTATGACACAGGCCACGCCCATGCCACCCATTAGTACCACAAATACGCCGCCCACATTGGCCAGTCCCAGCTCATTGGCTGCCGACGATGATTTTGAGGTTTCAACACGACATTTGCCACCTCCGCGCTTTTCCTTCCACCATTTGGTTTTCAGAATATGCAACTTGCCCTCCTCCTGGAGCTTGAGTATGACGCTATTGATGGCAGTACGATAAGGCGAGTCTGTAATTGGTGTAAGTACATCATGAATAGACTCAGAAAAATGGAATCTCAATGGTACTCACTTGGAGGCGTGGCTATGCCATAGCTTTTGGTATCTAGCATGCCGCCCACCTGGGTTAGCTCACAGTTACGTTCGGTGACATACTCAATGGATGTGGACTCCATTAGAAATGCATAGGAACCTTTTCCCTTGGCCACGCGCTCAACGCCTTCCCCATTGCTGGCTGTAAAGACCGAGGGACGTGCTGATTCCATAAAAGACCACATGCGCTGATATGTAGAGATCTTAGAGTCCTGCACAAAAAGTTATTAATTGCGGTCCAAGTATAGTTTACTGATTGGATGGGTTACCCTGAAAAAAGCCGCTGTACTGCCACCTTTGAGGGCACCATACTTGATTCTTGTTTGCTTGGCCAAGTCCTCGGCGCTTTCAATGGGGGAATCCATGCGCTCAACAGTCAAAAATGCAGCGAGATTGGCAGTGTAGGAAGAGATCATGATTAAAGTGAAGAACCACCAAATGCCGGCTACCATGCGAGTGGATAGAGCTCTGAAAGGAAAAGGGAATTGGGTAGTTAAACAAACAAAATATAACTCAATAAGAGAAAGAGTAACTTACTTGGGCAGAAAGTCGCAGCCTTGCTGCATAAGTGATCCAATAGCAAACCACATGCAGTTCAGCAAAGTGAACTGACTTTCGACTTTCTCGCCATGAGCATCGGTATAGGCAGGCCACTCGTACGGCGTGAATCTATAGAATTTATTCAACATCGTCTATAAGTTTTTTCATTTAACCAACAGATCCACTCACTTGGCTAATATGAAAAGCAATACAGATACGCCCAGGTATGCTGTGGCCATGTAGATCCATACGTCCAGAGATAGAGGCGACAAAAAGGAGAACAAATTGGGTGGCTGTTTGATGGGCTTGCGATAAAGTATAGAGACTCCAAGGTTCATAAACGGCGTGGTGAAGTCCACGGCCTGCTCGCGCTCAAATGTGATTGTGAGATCGGCTATGGCCAGATCCGCGCGCTGCTCTAACAACTCGCGTATCATGCCGTTCCATTCGCTATTAAAAAAAGAATGTTTGACAAGTTTTCAAAAAATGGGTGTCCATACAAAATATACCCAGTCATTTTATTTAAACTGCCATAGCTGCCGTCAGGCACAAGCTGAATTTTGTAGTTGAAGCCCAGCGATCTAGATATTTCGTGTATTAGATCCACGGCATAGCCTTCAAACTGATCGTTGCCTGTTAAAGGCACGGCTGATTCCTTTCGCATGCAGTAAGGATTGCTCTGTTAAAGAGAACGAGCAACGATTAGTGCAGCCCATACTTGTTTGAAGCATACTCACCAGTATGGTTGTGACTACCAATGTCTTGTTCTTCAGATTTGCCTCGATCTCTTGCTGTTTCTGGCTGAAGGTGCGCGTAAAGTTGATGCCTTCGGGCAGCGTTGAGTTCCAGGTGCCTATTTTTCGAATGCCGGCCGGTGTGAGTTCCACGATGTCAAGCATAAAGTCTGTGCGAAAGCCCTGATGATCGAACTTAATGACATTTGTTAAGCCCTTCATCTCTACGATTTTCATGTAGTTGATTAAGCTGAAGCCATGCTGCCAAGTGCTCTGGCCGTCGCAACTGATCGGATGTATATCAATTTGCTGGGAGGTGTCCAGGTCATGCAGCGCCTTGGCAAACAAATGCACTGCATCATACATGAGCGCTGTCTCGGAGCGTACAGTTGTTAGATTGGCCGAGCGCAGCATGCCCTTCTCATCGACGCTCCACTGACGCACCACATCCGAGACGACTTTCTCATTGATTAACCGAAAGCCGGTGATGTTTGTGCCGCCATACCGAAACTCATCTAGATTCACAGTATGCAGATCTAACGACGTGACCAAATAGCTATGATAATCGCTCATCATGCCGATCTGTTGTGCCTGTTTGAGTACCTCGTGAACCCGTTCTGTGGAGCAGTCAAGCACAATGTGTGCTTCCGCCGAGTTCTTAATCTGTTTCAGCAGGGGACTAACATGGCAGTGATTTAGTAAATGTTTAAGCTGTTCATTTGTTTTCAGATAAACTTACCGATAGTCTCCGCTGTCGCTGAGCTGGCGCACAGTAATTGGAAATGGTGTCATTCCATGAGCCTTCAGCAGTTCCTGCAGTCGCACAATGCCATCGTTGTTCTCATAGATTATCGTAAAAGTCTTCCAGCCCCAGTGGCGCACAATATCCACATAAGCCTGAGTTAAAACATGAATACCAACAGCTGAAGTACAGTAGGTAACAAAGCACACAAGAAGCAAACGTTACCTTGGAGAGCGTATTTGGATGAGGATAAAGATTCACCAGGCAACTTTCACGTCTCAGTCGGAAATCCCAGCGATTCTCCAAATGTGGTATCTAAATAATTGTGTGCAACAGTCATCATACATTAAGGCGATTTCATACACATCCCCCTCTATGCTCTAGCCTTTACTCTTAAACTACGATGGCACTCACCTCCATGTTGTCGCAAATGCTTTGCACATGGCTGGCAGTGTGCGAGGATTGCGGACCAAAAATTGCAGCAACGCCAATGTTCAACAAGCCGCAAACTGAAAAAGGATATGAGAAGGCTTAATGTATAAAGCGGATTCCCAGTTATTGGCCAACTTTTACTCTGACTGCCGAAAGTCTTAAGGAAAATGCAGCAAAATGTAGTAAAAATAATATAAATCCCATAAGAGGGCCACCGAGTCGCAAATTGATTTTCACGTAATACGCTTTCTGCTGCTCCCAATCCAAATCCCAATGCACCTTCTGCATGAGATTATCTCGACTGAATCTCCCGATTTGTGGCAGCCAGCATTAAATGGGTCCAAGTAGCACATATACCACTTGGCGGCATATACAGCAACGAACATTCGTTTCGCCTAGTTCGCATATTTAAAATGCACTTCAAATAGACATAATTCCATTTTGCCTTTTGGCTTTGGCTATGCCTTTTACCACAGCATCCGTTGGCTCATCAAATTACTGAGCACATGCAAGTGCATTTGTGCATGTATAGTTAAGTCCACACACACATGTATATAAATACATATATGTAGGTGGATGTGGGTGGCTGATTGGACATCTTGACTGTGGTAAATAATGCACTCGGGTCCTTTACAGCAATTTACTGTCCTGCTAAAACGTGTTTAATTTTGTCTTTCAGTACTGTGCCGCCAGGTAGCGTGGCCATGTAAATGTTTAAAGAGTGGCTTTTTGTGTATTGTCTTTCAGTTATTCAAGTATCACTATTGCTTACTATTTGCTGTATTTCCGCTTTAAAAACAAATTTCAAGGTTTTCTTAAAATTTTAATTTATGCCTTTTTAATCCTATTTTTTAAATTAATTTTCTTAAATATTTTACTAAAACATTCTTTGAGTGTTTCAGACGAATGATAACTATTGTTATAAGTTTCCATAAAAATTTGTTATTTGATTAATTTTTTCCCAAAGCCCAAAGTTTTAACTCGATATGAAAGTTTTAGGCTTCAATTACAACGCTTAAAAAGTCTAGCTGAATAGAAAACATGAATTGAATGCCAATTTTATATTTTAATATGATTAAAAGAGCATAAAATGCATATAAATTTAAACAATAGTCATAAATTAATTGAAAGGGAAGCCATACGAACGGAAGAACGTGATGTGCGATTGATTGCTCGATTTCCATTACTATTCATAGATGATAATTGAATCTAATGAAGTATGCACAAACTCAAATTGCATTATTTTAGAATGGCAGTAAATGCAACGCCACAGGGGAATGAGAACAATAACAGACATATTAGGGGTCGTCACCGAGCCACCTACTGCTCACCTCGTTTGCCGGCATGGAAGCTGTCAAATGGCGAAATGCGCTCAATTTGGGCGACAAGTTTAGAACGGGGTAAAATTGAACGGTCGGCATTTATGCGCTCGACGGCTTGGCGAAAGGCGAGCTCCTGGTGGTCGTCAGAGGGATGAAATAGTCCACCTGCGGCGATAAACGGTAAAAACAATGTTTTTAATAAGTAAGTACAAATGGTTCTGATGATGAAAAAAGTGTAGAAAGGAGGAGCAAACAAAACAAACACCAACATCGACACACATCAGTAAGGACATTTACGAGTATATACACACACGCGCGCTTTTGATGAGATAAAAAATCGATATGCGCTAAAGATGCTTTCGAAGTCAAACAATGAATAATGACAAAGTTTGACAGCAACTTAATGAATTGATATGAGGTTGAATGCCACAACAGTAAATCACATGCTAAACTAACCGATTTTTATAACGTCGGGCAATGCCAGAGCCATCCGCCAGTTGAATGCATTTTGCAGCATCAGCAGCAAGACCAATAAAAGCAGGCCATTATTATTGCCGACACTTGGCTGCATTTTGGCAACGTTTATTTGGGGAACAGCGCTTGGTGATTTATTCAATTCTTAAACTTGCTGATCTATCACTCGTTAAAAGTTTGTTTTCTAAACTCGCGTTGACATTTTACAAACAGAGTATTTCCCCCACTATCTGCGTTCGCGTTGTGTTCACGTTTGAGATGAAACATCTACTGAGCACGACTGACTGATTTTCGCTCTTTTAAATATGTCCTGTTGCAGGCTGGACGCGGTCTGAGGGTGGGTGGTATCCAAAAGCCGGGTGACAGATCAAACAGCTGCGCAGTGTGGATGCTGTGGCGTGTGTTTATGTGCACCGTTTTATCGAGTCTAATTGAATCATCCTTTAAGAAACAAGTTTAAAAAAAATTATACATTTTGCGAGTTAGCAAAATTTAAATATCAATTGCCCTTTGTTTTACAATTATAGTTTGAAATTTTCAAATGAGATATTTTAAATTCACTTGCCGCGTTCTGTTAATTTACATAGTTCTGTTAAGACATTTGGTGAGAGCTGCCAACCTGCTTCAAGTGAATGACGCGAAGAAGTTTTGTGAATGCCATTTTAATTGTATGTAATGGCGCGTAGTTGATGCGAAAGCGTCTGGCGACAATTGTGTGCCGAAGTCGTGTTGAAGTTAAATAAAACTGTAATTTGCGCCTTCTCAGCCTCGAAAATGCCTCGTGTCGCTAAGCCTAAACCAGCAGCGGCTAAAAAGGCCAAAGGCAAATTGTATGCCATGCCGGAGAAATTGAAGGAGGGTACAATACTCAGTGACTTGACCAAGACACAGTGGCGCATTGGGCCTTCGATTGGAGTTGGCGGCTTTGGTGAAATCTATGCAGCTAGTCGCAACGGGGAAAATAGCTACAATGCTGTGGTGAAATGTGTAAGTATTTAAAGATATCTGCTAGAAACTAGATACCTTAAACACTATTCATTCCAGGAGCCACATGCAAATGGGCCGCTTTTTGTAGAAATGCACTTCTATTTGCGAAATGCAAAACTAGAAGATATTGAAAAATTCAAACAGAAACGTGGCCTTAAATCTCTGGGCATGCCCTATATAATAGCCAATGGCTCTGTGGATATAAATAGCCAGAAACATCGATTTATAGTTATGCCTCGCTACGGCAGTGACATATCGAAGTTTTACGCCCAGAACGGCAAACGCTTGCCAGAGGTGACCGTCTATCGACTGGCCATTCAAATGCTGGATGTGTATGAATTTATACACAGTACTGGCTATGTCCATGCGGATCTTAAGGCGGCTAACATTTTGCTTGGCATGGGCAAGAGCGGTGGCAGTCAGGCCTATTTGGTGGATTTTGGTTTGGCCTCACACTATACAACGGGCGATTTCAAACCGGATCCGAAGAAAATGCATAACGGCACGATTGAGTACACATCGCGGGACGCACATTTGGGTGTAGCTACGCGTCGCGCTGATCTCGAAATACTCGGGTATAATATTATTGAATGGTTGGGCGTGGAGCTACCTTGGATCAAGGACAAACTGTTGACAGTGCCGTCAAAAGTTCAAAAGGCCAAGGAGATATTTATGGCGGATCTAAGCTCTGCTTTAAAGTCTCTCTTTGCCAAAGGTGTGCCTGTGCCCATCATTGATTACATGAATTACGTGGCTCAGTTGAACCACAATGAAGCACCTGACTATGAGAAATGCCGCAAGATGTTTCTTAATGCTCTAAAGCAAATGAAAGCGGACAACACAGGCGACTTGAATTTTAAACTTACAGCCCAGAACAATAGCAACAACAAGAGTCCGCCAGTTAAAAATACGGCAGGCGCAGATTCAACTGCAGCTGCCTCTCGGAAAAAAATTAAAAAAGAAGAACCCACAGTCATGAATGATTCTTCAGATTCGGAGGACGTAATCAATGACAGCGAGGAGGAAGTGGATACAAAATATACTCCACGCAGAAAACTGCAAGCAAAACCATCTCCAAGTCCTAGATTCAAAGCTACAAACGTCAAACTTCCACGCAAAGCTGTGCCCAAACAAGCCTCAGTTTCGCCCAAGAAGCCGGAACAAAAAAAATCGTCTCCACGCAGAAGTCCGCTCAAACGTAAAAAAATTGAAAACAATGTTACCCCCAAGGCACAGGACGCTAGTGCTAAGATCAACTTTAGTCCAGCTATTTCGCTACGTGGCGGCAGGTCTGGCAAGACTGTGATTAATGATGACTTGACTCCGCAACCGCGCTCTAATAAGACATACGAGTTCAACTTCGAACTGGATGTCAGCATGGATGCCAACGTCATTGTGAATGTAAAGCGAAAAAAGAAGGTTCAGAGTAGCAATGGAACACCTACTAGCAGCACCAAGACCTCATCCTCGATTCGCGATCTCACATCCAAAGACAGCTCACCAGCAACGCGCATGAAGTTGCGCAAACTCAATGTTGATGGTGGCGCTAGTTCGCCAACTTCAAATCTTGCCCGTAGTCCACGCACTCCGGCAGTTACCGTACGCAAGTATAGGCGCTAATCCAATTTATATTTTCCTATATAGATATAATTTTGTCATTTAATAAAAGATGCTGGGTAAATGTTTTGATACTTCAATAGGCATACGTTATGTATATGTTGTTGTATGTTGCATAAATTTGCTTTTTATATTAAAGATGTATTAAAAGTTAAGTATCTATTATTTTGATCTGCGTTTACTGCTGCTGTCATGGTGCTTGCTCTTACTGGATTTGGCAGTCGAGCTGCCACGCCGCGACGATGAAGTGCTGCTGCTGCTGTGCTTCTCTGCTGCGGCGATGTTAGTTAACGCAGGCGCCACAGATCGACTGGAGCGGTCTTCCTTGTGGGATTTTGAAGATGACGAGGAGGAAGACTTGTGTCCATGTTTGCTACTACTGCTGCTGCTGACATTTGTGGAGCTACTCATCTCGGGCTTGTAGAACGGCGACGACGAATTCGAAGATGTCGATGAACGCGACGAGGGCACGGATGATTTGCTCTTGGTTGCCAGCGGTATGGGCTCATCGGGTATTACTACAGTTGGTGTGGCAGTGGGAATGACTATGGCAGCTGCCCGACTAGTTGAGGGCTTATTGGTACAAGTATCGCATTGCCAGATATGCACCTGATCATCTGCAGCCTCCTCATTGGTAATGGGCGGCTTATGGCATTCTTGGTGATAAAGTGCACCGCACTCTGAGCACTCAATTAGTCGATTAGTCGCCTTATACACCATTTCGCCACAGACACAGCAATTCAAATCACCAAAGTCGCCAGTGTCGCCTGTATTCACAACACCGCTCATGGCTATTCCTGCGGCGCTGCCATCATCGGAATCTGCAATGGTATCGGGCGAGTCTGCGGGCACCTTATCCGGCGAGTTGGTCAAATTGATAATCTCATCGGTGGCCATAGCCTGTGCTGGCGGTTGTGGGGTTGCACGTCCTGGAAAATTGGCTTCGTCGTCCACCATACGCTGGCTCATGTTTTTTGATATCATCTTGTCCGGACCAAATCGCAATTTAATCGCTTCATCCAGTAGCATGCGAAGTTCCGATGCTGACGTAGGATTTGTTGAATGCAACAATTTGATTGCCTTTTTAAGCACAGGATCTACTTCTTGAGCAGCAGCGGCTACTGCGACAATGTTGGCAGCCATTTCTTCTGATAATATTCTTAAGGATGAACGCGACTCAATTTATTGGCTATACATTAAACACAGCCGACATATTTAGCTCAAACAGCTGCTTAAGATAGTTGTACAACACTGTTTTTATGCTGCCCTGACTATGCTTCTATGCCGTTGATTTGAAGCCTTTAAAAAAAAAGAATATACGTTAGACATAGATAGAATTTGATATCTTCGTGCAAATGCACGAAAAAAATGGCATGAACTACTGCCTGAATAACTAATAATGACGTTTAACTTTCTTGGCTATATAAATAGTGGACTCGAGCGAATAAAAATTGAGTGGGTTCTGCCGCATAAATTTTATTCGTTGAAATGTTTGTTGTAGATTTCTCACTTATGTGTATAGTTAGTAATCGTGTCGATATAACCTTTATAAATGTAATTGAATTGTGCTTAAAAAGGCAACCTACTCAATTTGTTAGTATATATTTTAAGCTACAACGGTCACAGCGTTCACAGTAGACAACAGCTGTTTAAGGTTAACCAATACTATTTGTTGCTGCCCTGTTTTTGCTTCTTCTTTAATGCTGTTGCTGTTTTTGCATCTTTACCCACACCGTTATTGCTCCGGTACCGCCGAGTTTGTGCTTTAATCAATTTTGTTGCGTTGCGAAAATTGCACCTAGTTGCTTAAAATAAATAATCCGCCGTACCGTTTACGTGATTCATTGTGAGGGGCCGACTTGTGCTTATCATTGAATGCAATCTACCGCGCTATTCAGATAAGACATGCGGTCTTTGAAAAATCGAAACGGCAATAATACTAACCGTGTCTAAGTAAACAATTTACCAAAGCAGTCAACGAATATATGTGATAAGCTTAATAACGTTTGAAGCCGATACGCAAAAAAATTAAACTCTCGAACACAACCATAAATGCTTTGTTCTGCAGTTTTTGCTAATTCTAGACAAGTATTTATGTAGGAGCTATGGTTTCTGAAATGAGTAATCAACGCAAAATAGGGATTTGTGGCGCCACAACGACGCCGAGCTCGATGCTGCTCATTTTACTGGCGCTTATATGCAGTGCAACCGCTGGGGATGACGCAAATCAGCTGGTGAGTGGTTGCCGGGAGATGGGTTCGAGGTGTGATGGGAGAGTTTTCTTTTTGTTTTCGTTACTGTGTTTGGGTCACTGTATAGTTAACAGTCTTACAAATTTCGTACTGCGCACTTGTTGCCATGTTAACAGGTAAAAGACCGATAAGCTATAGCAGTTGGTCAGTAATGTATGCATACGTACTAGCAAACTTGAGAGGATACATACCCCTATAAATATTGAAAAAAAAACATACATATACATATACATATATGTTGATATGTACCATGAAATATTTATATTGGCACATACGTACTAATATATTTATATGTATATGTATATGTATATATTGAGATATAAGTATATATAATGATAGGGGTGATATTTAGCTTTTGTTCTTTATTTTACCAATTAATCAGCAATATGAAACAATAACTACAGCGCAAAAATACCTGTTAAGAGTTAACAGTTTGCTAACAGTTTGATAAGAATGGCGGTAATTTTGAATATTTTTTATGTTTACAGGACTTTACATCGGGCGATTGCACGCTAACAGAGCCCGTCTATGGCTACAAGTTTGATTTTAGCAAGTTGCGTTCGGACTTGGCGCATGTGGTGCGAAGCGTTAGCAATGACATCTTTGAGTTTAACGTTTGCAGTAATTTGACGTACACCTGCAACAATGAGAGTAATGTGGCTGCTTGCCTTAAAAGGCAGGGAAAAGAATATGTGCTCGGTAAGCGTAATATGATCCGTTACAAAAACAAAGTGTTTTAAAATATATATTCTTATAGGTCGGAGACACGAACTTCATTATCACAATGGAAAAATGTACCTCGAGTATTTGAGTGGAGCCAAATGTGAAAACGGAACCAAAGATCATCCAAACTACCAGCTTCATGTCATTCTCAATTGCGACTACACGCTGGATACCAATCCATTACAACTAACTTCATTTGTGAGTGAATTTAACAGTTTTGTTGAACTTTTGATTGAAATTGTTAAATCCGTATCTTCTTGTAGGCTGAAGATACGTGTTCCTTCTACATAAACTACGACACGCCACTGGCCTGCTTATCGATACCAGATGCTATGCAGTCCAATAGCTGCAGTGTGCCGTACACGAGTGCAGGCAACACATTCGATTTGATGGAGCTAAGCGATGTTAATTATAGGACCACTGACCGTCAAGGAAATTTCTTTATAATCAATGTGTGTAAGCCGGTGCTTTATGGTGAGAACACCATGTGCCCAGCCGGAAGCAGTATTTGCCTTTTTTCCCCTAAAGCGACAGATTTAAAAAAACGGTGCGTACGGTTATATTTTAAAGCATTAATAATGAAATATAAATTATTACTTATGAATTCTCTATTTGAAATTTGAATTCATATTTCATTATTTTTAATTTTTGACATACTTATAGATTCATTAACTTCGGAAATGTGCAGACGCAACCCGTATATAAAAATGAGCAGCTATTATTGCTACACAATTCGTCAACACCGTGTGCAAGAAATTCCAAACTGAACTATAGCAGTGTTGTCCATTTCCACTGCGACAAAAATGTCAGGGTGCGTTTCTGACAAAAGATTGGTTAATTTTTCGCTGTAATGTACTATTTGTATTATTTGCAGAACGCACATCCCGAGTATGTGGGACTGGATCAAGATGGTTGCACATACCAGTTTAACTTTATCACGCCGCTGGCGTGCAAGAATCTAAAGCCCTGCACGGCTAGGACCGCTAGCAATGAGCTGTAAGTAGTTTTATTTTTGGAGCTTTCTGAGCATATAATTTATTTGAACGTTCTTCATAGCCTGGACCTGAGCGCACTCAGTAAGCGAGCACCTCACAAATTGTCCAAAGACGGAAAAACCTACAATGTGGCTGTATGCGCCGGTGCCGGTACACCCTGCTTGGCAAATGGTGGTAAGTCGGTCATTTGTTGTCTGAATTATTAACGAAGATTTTAAGTACAGCCGCAGCAGCTGTCGACGTTGCACGTATGGCAGCATCCACCAAGCATGTTGCACGTCACATAAGCGCCAGGAAAAGTATAATTAAACTTTAACACTCGAATACTTAAGTGGATGAAAAACTGTGGGCTACTCTTTAATCGGCTTACTTTACTGTAAATAAGCTGATTTAGTTTCAGACTAAGATTCCAAGCCCTTTAGTATTTCGAACACTTTCTAATTTGTTTATTTGCATGATTTGATTCACTTTTCTGATGTGGCCAAGAAAAACATACATATTTACATAGTTGTTTAACGTTTGTATCCGTAAACGGCGTTCCTCAAATCATATATTTCGTTTCAAAATTAGCTCATAAGTCTACAGCATTTTGTGATGAACTCATATGAGCTTTGTTGCTCTGTTCATACGCGTGGTAGGAATAAAACTTATTGGACAAAACTTAAAGAGTTAGAGGTATAATGCCATGATGCGGAGCAATAAGGTAAACATACAAAAACAAGAACTTATTTTTTTTGTAAATTGCGTGAAGCTATTATTTCTAAGAACAGTTTAAGCGACAAAAATGATAGGGTTTATAACCGGTTTTCGTGGATGGCTACACTTTGCGAAGATTGCTAAAATGTCCTAAATATAAAAATTGTATGACATAGTAACACTAACGCTAAACATAAACCATATGGGCTATTGTCAAAGTAAACGTGCTTGGGCTTATCCACGAAATATACAAAACACACACACGCACACTCCACCAGCCTCAAAAACGCACAGAAATGTGCCTGCATTTCTAGTTGACTACAGACGCATTTCCGTTGGCGCGTCCCGTTTGGTCGTTGGACTGCCTCGCGGCGCACGTTAAAAACGTTGGCGGGCTATGAGAGAGTCGAGCTCGAAATCATGACCACCGCTGGGCCAAAACAAATAAATAAGCTTGCTTGCATTTGGCAACTGACATTGCTATCCGGACCAGACACCGACGCGGATAGGCTTCTAGGCGAGACGCTTGCGGGCTAACATTTGGCAGGGTACTACACGAAAATTTCATTTGTTAAGCAAATAGCAGACACGGTCACGCGAACAGCGCTGTTCGTGGACGAGCCGTGCATTCTATATGCAATTCTGGTATCTGGCGCCTAGATGACACTGACAGACGCCATATTGCTGCATGTACATTCTGCTGTTGTTGTTATTGTATTTATACTCTATGCGGCGTGTGTCAAAGTGGGTATACACTAGTACATAGCTATGTAGCTTATAGCCTTGGTTATTAGTAGATTAGTGAAATACTATTAGGCTTTGTATCAATGGAATTTTCTTTTAAATTTCTCTTGTATTTCTAAACTATATTGATAATGTTAGTGAAATAATAAATATCTAGTAAATGTACTGAAATTTAAGTAGATAGAGTAGTTCAAAAGTCGTGCCGTGAGTATCATTTGCAGTTTCCTTCTACAATTACGCTGATATTGTGTAGCTGTACATTTGAAAGCATTTTGCAGTGCATTTTGTACATGCAGCTTGGCTGCAAGTTATAACCATGGTTATAGCCAAAAAGCCGCCGAGTTAGCAGTAATAAAATGTTGTTAATTGCTTATGCCACACACGTTGCACGCTGTCATTTTATGTAATTTGTATTTTGAAATTATACATGTACGAGCGTGTATTTGGGAAAACATTTAGATATCGGTATGCAGATGCAAATGATAAATGATAAATGGTTGAATCGCATCAATATCAATTTACAAATGTTGTTTTTGTGCGCGACTTGTTTGTGTAGCTGATGAGGCTACGCCGTAGGTCAACGGTGCGTATGAAAAGAGAAATGGCCAATGGCTATGTTATTTTTGTACAACAAGGTCGACAAGCGACGAGAAAAGCTGAAAACAAAACAATTGCAGCCAATTCTGAGCAACACAAATAAATGCAGCAATAGCTACTCAAGGTTGTTGCAAGTGTGTGTTTATTTCCTAGGGAAGCAGTTGGCATGCTACAATCTTAATAATTTTCAATTTATATATATATTTTTCCCCCAATATTTTCTGTTGTTTTTTTTTGTAAGCTGGCAATTCTTTTTTGTTAGTCTTAGTGTTATTTTGCTGTTGGGCAGATTCAATTTAGAGACACGCCCCGTTCCTGACACTTGCCAGCAGCTCTTTTGCCTCAGGATGCGCTAGGATGTGTCAGCCAAGCAGCTACTAAATCGTTTATACATTTGTTTTTTACATTTTTCTTTGTTGTGCTGGCCAAGGTTTTGGGCCCTTTTCTTGGCTCTTCCTTGTCTGTTTTCTTATTGAAATTCAATTTGCTATACTTTCGTTTCGTTTCGTTTTTGCTTGCTTGCCTGTTTTTTTGCCCTGTCAATGTTAACGCAAAATGTATGTATATAATATATGTATATATATATATATATATATCTACGTGCATTATGCTATCAACTCTTAAATTTATTTCCCCAGGAACGCCACAAATTTAACTCTTTCTTGGTTCTGGTTATAGTTAACCCTTTCATAGAATTCCAACAATTTTAGCCATAGATTGTTTTTAGCTGAGCTATCGCCTTGGCTTCTGGCCACACAGTTTGTGGAGACCCATGGGCTCTGGCCAAGCAGTGATTGGATTGAAATTGAATTTGTGAGTGTTTTGTGGCGTAATTCACTTTTACATTTTTTGCTTGGTGTGACAGCAGATCAATATCCTTGGCTAATCTCTACACGGTAATAATTTCAACCCCAAAAGGTGGACAACAGTTGACGGCAGCAGTTGCTTCGTTTCACTCGCTTTCATTTGCGTTGCAAGGGTCAGTTGCATGCTGCCACAGGACATACACTCAACGTATAGCCACATACAGACGCTTGATGCTTGCACAGATACTTGTGCAAGTCACATTGTCACGCTTCTACGAAATTCTCATTTATCAATTTGTTTGACAGTCGATTTCTTTTCAATCCAAGAGCAAAAACCACTTCAATTGACTTTTTGTTTAGACGTTTCGGGGTGTACCACCTATGTGGCCAAATCAAAAAGCCAACGATATCAGACAGATTCTATGGTTGTTCTTGCTTCCTCTTGTGGCATGTGCAATAAAGTACAAAACTAGACAAATAACAAAAAATAGCCAAGGGCATCAGTGTGATAGATAGAAATGGAGAGTTTGCGATTGACTGGAATTACCATATTCTAGTCAAATCATAGTCAAACTCACAATGCAGACCACCAGAAGCATTTCAATCAGAATCCAAGAATTTAAATGATGCTGTCCCGCGATAAATACAATTTTATGCTTCAAGTGATATTAGCTATGTCCATCAGTCCGTCCGTCTGGACGCAATGATCTTGTAAACCCAAAAATTGAAGACTGAAATTTAAAGTACATGTTCCTTATACCTGCATTACTCTTTCAGTTGTGGAGTACTTTAATTAATGGAAAGGCGCATAGTATTTATGTGTATCATAAGCTATTTAATATGCAGACATTTGTATATTTGCCTGTGCGCTGACGGTCAAATACCATTTGTCACAGCCTTTTCACAGAGTGCAATTTGAGCTGGCCGAAAGTCAAAAGCAGTTGATAAGAAAATGGTTCGATAAACGGGAAAGAGAACAACAATTAATTTTCCCTTTGATCGGCTCTTATGGCAAGCGCTCCATTTGACGGCCATTTTAGTAAACTAAGAGGGTGGTTGGGAGTTGGTGCTGCGATGTGCAGTGCAGCACTCGTCACAGTTTTTGTGAACATGTCTAACACACGCTGGAGCTCACTTGGTTTCTCTTGTGCATTTCCAGGCGCCTGTTATGAAGAGAATGGCGTAACCTATGCCCTGGGCAACTTCAATGGGCATTTGCGTTTCAATCAGAGTGGGTCGCCGTATTTGCTGTACGAGGATGGCGTTAAATGCGAGAATGACAACCGTCGCTGGTCCACAAAAATCGAATTTGTGTGCGCGAGCAATGCAACGAAGGATAGCGTCGATGCCGTACATATAATTGAGGACTCCAATTGTCAGTTGTTAATTCAATATTGGACGCCGCTCGCATGCCTGGAACAGATTAGATGCACAGAAAAGATCTATGTGGACAACTCAGAGGATGGAACCGGCGGCGGAGGCTATGAACTATTCGACATTACACCCTTGATAAATAACAATGATAATTATGAGGCTCGGGTCGAATTGCCGGCCAGCCAACAGCAGCAGCTGGCCAAAAACACGAAGGTAAGGGCCAAACCTTGATTTCCCACAGGTGCAGCCGGTATCTAGTTGCCTGTTTCTTTGTCTTTACAGTTCTTTTTGAATGTGTGCCGTCCATTAGTGCCGAAATACCAATTAGGCTGCGCCGGTGGTTCTGCTGTCTGTATGGCAAAAATGTCGGCAGCCGGAGCGGCAGAGGAGGAGTATGTAAGTACCAGCCAAAGCGGCTTATGGGCTAAAGCCTAAGCTCTAGCGTATGTGCCACTTCTCATGTGCATGTGTGTGTGTGTGTGTGTGAGTGTGTGCATGAGTGTGTGTGTGCACTGTATATTTCCCGTAATTGGCGCCAATTTCACTGTGGTCAGTGGAATATTTTTGCGACTCATAAGCACATTCGTCCATGCTAAATGGTTAAATTAGGCCATTAAGCCGTTTGGACAAATGCCCAAAAAATTTGCGGCGCCATTCATGCATTAAATATGCAGCAAATCCAATTGCTAAGCCAGAGCCCCTCTAGGCAGTCACCGCCTGTGACACTCAGTGGTAGTCGGTGGTCACTAGGCACCACTGAGTGACCAGTGGATTTGGTTACTTCATTAAGCGACGCAAATGTCCACCCGCCTGCCGTTGACAGCTGAAGAGCTGACTGTGGCCAGTCTCTAAAAGTTGCCTAATGCCGCAAATTGTGAACACGCCCTCTTGTCCATTTTGCAGCTAAGTCCCTTCCTTTTGCTTTGTGCGCTTGTGTCTGTGCCTGGGTATCCTGCTGTCCAAACTGCCGGCTGGTCTGCGCTTAAATAAGTACTTAAGCCCACAAAAGTATGCAATGAAATTCGCTTGAAATGAGATTTCAGATCATGCTACAAATTGCTCGCCAACATTGTCGGGTTTTTCTGCTACTCAAATGCATGAATGAAATTTGTTCAAATGCTGAACAGCTGTAATCGATCTATTTTGTTGATTTTAATTTGTTTTACATTCTGTATTAAGTTAAAAATTATCTATTTATATCTAACCTACCCCAATTCTCTTAATTCCTTGGCCATACATGACAATATTTGTAGTTATTTGTCGATTAGCAGCTCAATTTTAAAGGTTAAGCTTTAGACCGAATCAATATGAATCGCTATGGCATTGAGAAACTCTTACGCAATAATTATATGAATTATAATGCGCTGACAGAGAAACCCAATCATTGCCGGCGTTACAGCATGCATATCGTATGCCACAGGCAATGTCCGCGTTTCCCCCCTCTAAACATAACTTTTATCACATGCCCGAGGCAAAAACAATGTTAAAGTTGTTAAAAAAATAAGCACGTACGCGCTGCAAATGACGAGGGGCATAGGTTCCATGGTTAGGGAACAGAGGATAGGGGTGTTGGCTGCGGCGCTGCGTGGCTCGCGTTATTCGTGAGTGTAACGTAGCAGAAGGCAACGGAACGGAACGGAAGGATATGGCAAAATGCGGCTATGGCGTTGACGCTAGCGTAAAAATATGTGCACATCCACAATCATATAAATATGTATACATATATATCTGCATATATAACTGTAAAAACAGCTTTTAGCGGCCAACAGCCATCACAGTGGTTGCCCCACACACACAACCATTCTGGCCTGGAGTTGTACGCTGTGCGAAGAAATGTGTGTGCCCCATGCGACGTGCTGTGCAGAACATTTCCGGCTGTAGGGGTGACAGAGAGAGAGGGAGAATGGGAAGTAAAGGCAGAGCGAAAAGAAGGGGACAGCGACTGTTGTCGATTGGGGCAAAGTGCCGTCGGCTTTGTTTGCATGCCGCTGGCCTAGAAATAACGTAGCCATGGTTATATATTTTTCTAAAATTTATATTGCTTTATTTGCACAGCATGCACAGCGCACATACGTGGACACACATTCGCACGCAGCGTGTCGCTGGTGGCTGCAGCTGCTGCTGTTGACATTTGCGCCACGTTTTGCATTTTGAAAATGCTCCGTTTTCAGCGGCATTTCGTGTGCGGAAACGGAAATGTGCTGCTAGCTGCTGACGCGCACTTGAACGGGCAACTCTTTACTTTATCCAACCAGCCCGACCCGATCACCCGGCCACCCGGCCACCCGATACCCGGCCACCCACTCATTGACAGTTGTCAAAAGTCGAAAGTCGTTTGGCTTCTGGCTGCCTCTTCTTCATCCGATTTGCACTCTAGCATTTGCAGATATTTTAATGTGCTGCCAGCTGCACATCCTAAGCCATATCTTTGAGACCCATTGACTTGGCACATTTGATTTTCTAACTGTCACTGTATTTGGATCGGGCCACGCGCTGATTGTGCAACTGCTGCTCATTGTCATGCAGCGTCTTTAGCGAATGTTGCAAATTTGACTGTGGCATGTGCCTTGCATTGCCAAGTTGTTGCAACCTGTTAATGGTTTTTCCCAAACATAAAGAAAAAAGACGAACTCGAGCAATGTCTGCTGCAATTTATAGAATTTGTTGAGCTAATAATTCGAATGCCTTTAAGCCATGCTAAAACATTTTTGGTTTCATTTAACAGACATTTCCTTGTTATTCAGAATGTAGCAAATTATGATACTACATATACAAACACATACAGCACAACATTTCGGGGCGTCCTTTTGGCTAGCCATGCCTTTGGTCTGCGTGTCGCCACAGGATATTTGATGCTAATGCTTCACGCTCACAATGTCCTGCGCTCATCTCTTCAAATGCTGAACTTGCACAAAATCTTTATTGCCTTCAAACTAAAGCTTTAGCTTTTGCTTTTCCTGTCTTAAAGTTTTTGTTCTTTTTGCTTTTATTAACTCGGTGAAGTTTTAGCAGCAAATACACAACGGCTCACTTCCAACTACTATATGCTCTTTTCCGATTGAAGTACTTCCCTTTAATCAAGCACTTGGTTCTAGAACAAAAAATCTTTGAAAATCGTTGCGACAGCACATTTCCCATTTGCTGTTAGTTTTCATATGGTAGACACTCTTCTATCTATTGGTTAAATCTTTTTGTTTGTGTAGTGTGCTTTCAATTAGAGTGCAATCGAAATGCGACTACTCCCACACGACCTGAGATTTCATTTACTTTGGGTTGAGCTGATTTTCAACAAAAACAACTTTGCTTTGTTTCCTTGCTCTTTGTTGAGTATGTTTTGTATTTTTTTGTATAGATCAAACTTTTATTTTACAACTTATTTATTTGGTATCTGCAAACAATTAAGCTTACTTATTATTTGTTGTTGTTGTCTCGATATTCGGCCCGGTCATCGCTTACTGCTTTTTTCTTTCTCTCTTCTGCTGAGTAAAAAGTTCACGAAACTTGAAAGAAAATATAAACAAGCGGCCAGGAAACATAGACAAACAGGACTCGCCTGCTTGTACCAATGCGATAAGAAAGTTTTTCAATAAATTTTGAAACAGAAAGTTACTCAAAACTTGCCGTCTACAGCTAAGCTGATAAGCTGGCGCCAGCTCAACATATATATTTATATATGTTATATATAGCGTATATATATATATATATATGCATAAACCCATCCCACAGTCAAACCATATCCAATGCTAATAAGGATTGCCTGTTGAAGGACATTCCTAGATACTGCTACTGCTACTGCGGCTGCTTGTTTGCTGATGCCGCATTAGTTCAGATTTTGAGTTTTCAATAGATTTTCAATGGGCCAGAGGTGGCAGGAAAGGAGAGCAGAAAACTGCCAGCAAGCGTAACGGTTAGCAATAAATAATAGAGCAAACTGCTTAAACCTTGCCTGAGCTGCATACGAAATGAGTTTGTGCTGTCTGCCCGCCAGTGGCTAATACGTTTAAGATGAGACGACAACATGTGCAACGTTTGCCACCATCGACGTCGCTGACCCGGGGCATAAATCTTGTGCCACTCGAGCACCATTGCCATGGTGCTGCAACGGCTCCAGTTTGGACATTAAGCGCACGTCGCCAGTTGAATGCCCCGACTGGCTAGCTGGCTGCCTAGTTGACTGTCTCTGCTGCTGACAATATTTAAGCTGCCCGCTTGCCAGCAACAGGGGAGCACGGAGCAGAGAGCAGAGCAGCAGTTGGCGCGTGCTGTTTGCCTTGGCAGTGGGTGTTGCCAGCGCCTGTTGCAATTGAAGCGCCATTGAACAGGCGACAAAAAGGTCGATTATTGAGCAATTTGCACAGCTAATGTCAGGCTCAGGACATAGCATCCTGTTCTCCGCAGCTGAGACGAGTATTATTCTTTCACCACAAACAATCGAATTGCCCGTTATGCCATTGTTATATGTATCTAATTTGCTACTTACACTTAATGGACTTGTGCATAGTATAGCTGACATGAAAGTATAGCTTAACTCTTTAACCTGGCAGCTATCAAATATTTATCAGATAATATCACTTTTGTCGCCCGCCCCATTGAAATCTTGGAAATACCATCCATTAAATTGTCGTTTGTACTGCATTGACTGTTCGAGGGGTTACTGCCTGCCAAGGGCCATAACGTTTTGTCCTTCCGTCCGGGTGCTTATCGTTTCATCGTGACATTGTCCCCATCGATATATGGGGCCACTCAAACGCATGTCCTGTTCGACCAACAACAGCAACAACAGCAACAGCAAAGCAACAGCAACAGCTTTGGCAATTGTCAGCAACCAATGCCAAATAGAAGTGCGACGTAAACGTGGCTAGAGATAGCGACTTCAAGTTATTTGCGGCAATCTCAGCCATAAAGTTCGACATGTGTTTGACCAGTCGTTGCAACGGACAAACCTATTTGACACTTTCATCCATAACTCTATTGCCATCCTCTCATTCTTGTATCTTTTGATTGCAGAGTCTTGGGTTTCCACTGATTAGCTTAGCGGCCATCAACCGCACCACTGTTGAACTGCTATACTTACATGGCGATCCGTGTCCCACTGACAAGGCCACAAATCTATCCACGACTATTCGCTTCAGGTGCAACATGCGCTCAGGACGAGTAAGTATGGAGGACAGGTGCCTACCTCGGCTGTGGCCTCATTCAATGTTGTGACGGAATTCGCATTGTTTAACCTATTGCAGGGACAGCCCGTGTTGAGTTTCATTGATGACTGCAACTATCATTTTGATTGGGACACAAGCGTCATTTGTCCGCCGCATGAGTGTACTTTTATTCCGGACACATGTGAGATGGTGCAGAATGACTTGAACATGCGTTACAACTTTAAGAATGCCTCCTTTACGAAGGATGGTAAGATTGCGGTGAGTTTCAGTTTAAATACCGAATATGTTCGGTCTTCATGATTTATATTTGTCTTAGATCCACAACAACAATAGCCAACTGGAACTGAATGTATGCGGACCGCATCGCAAGGCAATGACGGACTATTCGCAAGATTTGGTGAACTTGTTCTTCACACACGACCTTCCTGGATGTGGCAAGGAGGGTGAGTCTGTCGATAAGCTAATTCGATTATCATTTTTGCTTGTTTTTTTTGAAGAGTTACTGCTTGTCGTTTCCGCTTCCGCTTCCGTTTCCGTTTGCACTTCCGCTGGCGCAACACGCGCATTTCCGCACGCCATTTTGTTGGCCACCTTTTTTTTGCAACTGCTTTGAGCTGGTTTTGGATAATGACAAAATCGCATTAGAATTGGCGTTCAGCCCAATGCACTTCCGTTTCCTTATCTGTCGGCCCTCACGGGGCACAACCCTTCCTTTAAACAAACACACGCTTTCAACAGCACTACGTCAACATCTTTAATTTTTTGTTGCCTGCTTTTGGGCGCCATTGCAGCGACTGCGACACTTTTTCGCGCTGCGCTAGTCGCCATTTTTTCCGTTTTTTGTGTGTTATCTAACGGCATTTTACGTCCTGTCGGCAACAAAAACGTAAAGTACTTGAAATCATCAGAATAGGGGGAAAAACCTTAAAAAAAACCCAAAAAAAATTGGGATTGTCGTGATAATGCGGTTAAATAATCTTCTTGCAAATTGGAGTATTTTTATACCCTTTAAGCTATATCTAAAAAGTTTAGTCTAACTAAACAAAGTAATTTGTAGTTATTCAAGATGAATAGCTAAATCAGAGTGATCAACTTGGCAATATGAGCTTAGAGAATTTTAACCATGCTTACAGGGTATCTCTGAGTTCAGCATTTCGTAGTGCGCCTAATGTTATTTTTATGTTTCTGGCTTTGCTGCTGCTGCATTCGAGTCATGAATATTTAAAAGGCCACACACAAAACATTTCCGAGTTTTGTGGAGTGTTTCGTACATGGCCATGATTTTTATTGGCAACAGCGTGTGAAACTTAAAAAAAATGTGACTTTACCATTGAATAAAACTTTTTGTTTGTTGTGTCAATGGGCAATAAAACTGACAATTTAATTATGACAACGTTCTCGTAGTCATTAAAAACTCTTGTCGTTCCATTTTCGGGTCTGTGGCTTACAATCTGTAAGCGATCAGACAACTCGAATATACTCAGTGACATGTAAAATACAAATGTAAAGTCTGAAGGGCTGGCAAGAGTTATTCGACTGTGCGGCTAAGCCTAAATCCCCCAACAGTTGCGCTTCTCTTCGTGCCCTAGCTGTTGGAGTGCAGATTTTTGCCGGCAGACACACAGACACACTCGAACCACTCACCCACACCGATAGCGGTACCCTCACATACATTGGAAATGCTGTGCATTTGAACGACAGCAGCAGCAGCGGCAGCAACAAAGGCAAACCCTCTGCGCCTCTCTGCCTCGTCTCCCTTGCCACTCATATCATGCGGCTTTTGTTGTCGTCTCCAGTGATAATTATTTTTGGCTTTTATGTGATAACTTTGCAGCAGAGGAAGGCCCCAAAACCATAGAGCCCGTAGTTTTGGCTCTATGGCCAGGCATTTGGAATATGATAAGGATTCATTTAAGCAATGTTGGTGCTGTTGCCCTTGTTGTTAGCTATGCCCCAGTTGCGTTGCGTTGTGTTGTGTTGTTTGTTGGTCAATTAAAATAAAATGCCGCTTTGTTTTAGTACGGCTTGCTCTGGTTTTCATCACTTTTTATTAGGGTCAATTATGTGGTTCGGCTTACTCTGTTTTCATTTCTTTTTTTCACTTCTGGTAAGAGGCTTCATTTCAACTAATTAAAACCGTTTACTCTATCCTATTTCCCTGGCAGGCAAGATGAATGTTCACATGCGTGTGATATGCAGCAGCAAAACTGAGAGCTCTTTCACCATAACAAATGTGAGTATCAAATTTGTGTTGTAATCAAATCAAACCTAAGAAGGTCCTTTAACAAAATTTAAGGCTAACTTTAAAAGCTTGTTTTCAGTCTCCTTCTGCCATAAGTTAAACAAAATCAGTTTAGATATGACTTAGATATTAATATTTTTGATTGATTAATTTTTAACATTATTTTCAGCTCTAGTGAATATATTTCTTTTTTTTTTTTTTTGATTGCGGACATAAAAAGCAGAAATGCTTAACTTGAAAAATATCATGCTAAATACTTAACAAATTCCAAGACAAGTGGATAAGAGCTGCAAGAACATTTGTTGTGCAAAGTGTAGCATACATTTGTGCGCTGAGGGAGAAACACTTAATGTGTTTTGACATGGGAGACGCAACAAGGCGAAAACCTCGAACTGGATTTAGCATACATGCTGTCATGCGTGTGTGTGTTGTCCATGTCCTGCTGGCAGCTGCGACAGTAGCTAGCAAGTTTCTTGGTTAAACTCTGGCCAGGAGCTGTGTGCGGCAGCTTCAAAGTAAAAATGTATAAGAAATATGCAGAAAAAGGCCGCACAGCGTAGCACAACTGGGCGCAAAACAATGTGGCAGGTGTCCTTTGTTATGCTTACCACTTGGCAAATCCGCTTTGCCAGCTAGCTGTGTTGGTGTTGCTGTTGTTGTTGTTGTTGTTGTAGCTGCTGCTGCTGCTGCTGTTGCTACTGCTTTTCAACAAAAATGTTGCCTACCGACCTGTGCGGCTTTTGGTTTTGCCAGCCCTTGCAGTTTCTTGCTTGGTGTCTGTTGCCTCTGGTAGTTGCTGTAACTGCTGTTACTGCTGGTGATGTTGCCGCTCCTTTTGGCCCGCGAGGCGTGCTATTGTTTTGACCTAAGCCTTTGTTGTCTTTAACAATCGCAGCTAAAAAATGCACGTGCCTGACATGCTACAGCTACAACATGTTGTTGCCCCTTTTCATGGGGGTCTCAACCCTTGCCATTGATCGTAATAAGAGCCGGCGGTTTTTAGCTCTACTTTTTCTTAGTGTCATTGTTTGTTAGTTAGTTGTGTTGCCTTTTGATGACGCCTTTGTGTGACGTTGACTGGCGCTGACCCCGTATGCTTAGTTGTGGCTTTTTGCTTATCAAAAAGCTGCCGTTGCAGCAGCTGTTGCATTACTTACACCCAAGCAGACAACAGACCTCATCAAATTCAAATCTTGTGTGCACACGAGCGCTTTACTTCAAGTTCCTTTTTTAAGACTTGTTCGCTTTTTTTTATTGATATTTGTCAATTAAATTTTAAGTAAACTTGAATAAGTTTACCTTATGTTCAAGCCTTGGCACTACTTCTCAGGCAATATATATATTAAGTTGCATAAATATTTGTAATTTAATTAAGTTTCGGCCGTTTTGCTACTGCGCAATTTTGCGTATTTTAAGGGTTTGTGTTGTGCTTGCCAACCAATCTCTAAATTGATTTTGCGTTCTGTTTTCATTATATAGACACATATATGATGGGACGACCGCATGTCACGGCAAAATTGTCAATTTGCAGCACCTCGTAATTAGTGGTCTGACCGACGCTGGCAACTTTATTAGCCTGTTTCAGGGAAATGCCGAAAATGCAGCAATTAGTGCCTGAGGTTTAATAAAACACACGCATACGCACACACGGACTTTCACGCACGCTACGGCACGCACACACACACACATATGACTGTTGTAGTCCATTACGCACAAATTGCGAAAGGATACGCCGTTAGCAATTGAAAATATTTGCCTGACCATTTTGTGATAGTCTCTTTTTCTCTTTGTGTGTGTGTGTGTGTGTGTAGCTTATTTTTATTGTGTTTGCTTCTGTTTACTCTGGCCCTCTCTACGGTATATGTTGCTAGTTGCAACACTCGTATGTGGCAAAAACCAATTGACCCAAATTTAAACCAGTTCACAAATAGCTGCAAGCAGCTTGCATGGAGCACGCTGTTGCAAGGGGCTGAGCTATGGATCTAAAACTAGGTCCTGGCTCTGGAATATGGATGGGTATTAGTAATCACCCAGGCAGACACACGAACACACACACACACTGTTGGCATGCTGGGCGTGTTTGCCTGATTGCGGTTAATTGCATTACAGACTTGATGTAGGTATTATTAATTTCATTTCTTTGCCAAGTGCACGTAATGACATTTGGGCTCGCTTCGCCGATTCGCTCCGTCTGTCCGCTGTTTGACATACATTTCATGCTCAATTAGGTGTGTGCAAACAGGTTTCAACTGCTTATTAATTTCCATTTGACAATTAAACAAAAATAAACGGGCTGTGTTCACGTTAGATCATATGTATGTGTTTATGATCCTTAACAAATTGAATTTAACAACAGTGTTTAGGTGATAGGAACGGCACAGTTCGTTAAGCTGCCGAACTAAATGCAATTACTTAATTACATTTGATTAAATGATGCATATTATATTCATATTGCTAACGTTTTTAACTAAGAGTGAGAGAAAACTCTTTTCCCAGACTTACTTTTTGCGAGAAAAGCAATCATTTTAATGAACTGTTTCATGTTATTCAATCAAATTGGAATATTTAATCGCAATGTTGGTTGACATCGTACGCAGTTAATGAATTAGTTTTTATTGTAGAATAAATGAATGCAACTTGTCACAAAACTTCGCTTAATGCTGGTTTGTAAATTGAACAGAAAATTGTCGTCAGCAGCGTATGCTGTTCTACACTGCGGTTATTTGTTTAACTTTCTACTGCCATGCTGGCCCGCATGCAGACAAGTTAAATGCAGTTGCAGTGGTAAACAACATCAAACACATGCACACTCACGCACAGCACACAGTTGCTTTTTGTTCGACTCGCTTTTGGGCAGCTGGCAAGCGCGGAGCAAGCGGAACAAAAGGCAGCAGCGGACTTGTCTGGCAAACGTTGTCGAAAAATTAGCGATTCAATGAAATGGGATTTTAAATGGCTGCAAACTTTTTAATGCGTCTACCGGCGTCCTGCGCGTCGTCGTCCTCGACATGTTTTAGTTTTTGTCTGGGGCGGCGCCACGGCCGGGTGCGCGACCCAGGACGCCGGCAAAGTTGTGCAACGCGAGTTTTTGCCACTTGCAGTTGCCAGTTGCAGCCGCCGCAAAAGTTTTTAAATTATGCGCACATTTACCGCGCCTCGTTGCTGTTGCTGCTGCTGCTGCCTCTGTTTCTGTTGCCATGTTCTGGTTCTTGTTGCTGCTCGTTGGCCGCGCCGGAAATGGTCTTTGGCCGAAAGTGTTACACGCAGCGTGCAGCCGGACGGATGGCGTGCGACAACGTCCCTGAAGTTGCCGCTGAATGAGAGCTTGGGTAAAACTCTGGGTTGTAGTAGGGGCTGTGCAAACAAGTTGCCAGTAGTTGTTGCGCCACAATTTGCAGCGCTCTTTTGTGAGCGGCAAAGGGTCGAGCGCAAACCGATGCGCAACGAGCAATTGCTTTTCTGTTGGAATTTATGTATTTTTCCCATATCAATTTAGTTATTTATTATTTTTCTTTGCACTTAATGAAGAAAGTTTCTAATTACAAAAATCTTGTTTGTAGGACACGCAGTGCAGCTTGCTCTATGTGCAGCGCACACCGAGCATCTGCTCGTTTCTGAGCCTCAGCGTGCCAACACAGGATGATAGTGGCAGTAGCAGCAGCAGCAGCTCTACTAGCACAACTAGCACCACCACCAGCACGCATGCAACGCCAATGGGTAAGAAAGAAGAAGCAGCAACAACTGCAGCAACCACCGTAGAGGCAGCTATTGCTCGCCCAACGGCCTCCGTGGGCAGTAAGTGCAGCTAGCCAAGGTCTTTTGACAGCATCTTTCATAGCCATGCATATTTACAGCCATACTGGGCCTTATTCTATCCGTGACGTTCTTTGTGGCATGCGTTGGACTGTTCGCCGTTTCGCCGGCTCGAAGGCAGCGCGTCCGTAGACTCTTCCGACGCAACAGCTCAGCGGTGCGATATTCCAGGGTAAAATATTCGGCTCATCACAACTTGTTTTGTTTTTGTCCAATCAACGGTTCCATTGCAGGTTCAGTCAAACGAGGAAGCTAATCTGTTGCTAGAACCAAATGGCGAGTTCACTGAGAGCGACGATGACATGTTACTTTAGAAGGCTAACCCGTGGAAATAGGCTGTGCATACTGCATACTGATTGCTATAAACATTTAACCAAGTGAAAAATTAGAAAACCTATTTAGTAAAAAAAAAAGACATGAGAAGAAAGTTCAACACCAAAGACATAAAACGCAACTGATTGTGAATTAAAAACTGATAGTAGACAAGTAACGAATTGCATTGAGGAAAGCTTTTCATATACTTACTTATGTACAATACGTCTAAATGACAACGACAAACAAACAATCCAAATTAATGGAACTATTAATGTATATGTCTAAACGATCTTATATATTTTATATACCTGCACTTAAAATATGTAAAGGCAAAAACCCTGCAAAGTCCCTAGCTCTTATCCATATATACCATAAAGTTTAATGCAGAGAATTGCATGCGACAATTGCTTTGTAAGTCTTGAAGTATTTTTTTCCAAGCATTATTAATTTTACTTATGGGTCAACGAACCCATTTTAAGTCGAACCAAAGGATCGTATAAATTTGAACAAATTTAAATCCTCTGGCGAAAACTGTAACAGAAATTTCTGTTTTAATTACTTTTACTTTATACTTTTTTGTATTTTATATCGTGTGATATGAGACTTGGCGATATGTACTTAATATTATTATGTTGTGTTATTTGCAAAATATTTTTTGTTCGTTTCTTAGTTTGTTAAGTTGACTGTGAAATTCCCCCAATTTTAAATAACAATGTAACTATATGTAAATCTATATATGCTCTGTATAAAAAAAAAATTGAAAAATATAAGCGAATTAAATAAAAAACAATTAATTTTATTTTTCTTCCAACATTTATAACTATAACAGGTTAGATATTATGGAAGATGGTAAGTATTTCTTTAAGAAAGACTGAAATACCAGTTGTCAGTTTCCCCATTTGTAGTATTAATAAATGCAAATATTTAATTTTTAAAATATATTTTATTTATTGTATTTGTATACTTGACAGACTCGGGTACACAAATACATCAAATGATGTACATAATATGTATGCATTCATTTTGTATAAGTAAATGAGTTTGTCTGCAATAAATTTGTAGGTACCTTAGGAAATACAGAGACATGACATAGCTACTTATTTGTTATTTTTCATTAATTCTAATTACAATATATTTAACATACGAATAATGCATTTATGAACTCCTTACTAAGTATATTATTGAAATGCGGAAATGAAGAAATATGTATATGGGTCGGTTTGATAAAGTGATGTACGATGTATGTGTCTAAATATGTGATATGCCGTGTATGAAGGTCATTTCTGAGTGCTTCAGTTAATAGCGTAATGATGAATATATTTTTATACGTATTTATATAGTTTAAGTGAGATTTTTGGTGGACTATAAAAACTTTTCCATTCGTTTTATGTACAATTTTAATTTGCTTTTGTGTGCTTTCAATAAACTCAGTTAGTTATGCAAGCAGCCAAAGTGGGACAATAGAAATGTATTATGAATTTGTAGCTGTTTTTCTTTTGCTTTGATTTTTTTAAAATATTTTTGTTGTTTTTAAATTACATTCAGTACACGGCATAGTCTATATGCTACTATTTGGATACGTCATATGTATGTATGCTGTATATTGTATGTGCATTAATCGTTAGCTTATTACAAATTATTCAGATTGTACACAGAAATAAAGCTCAGTTTGTTCAAGTGTTAAGTAAAACTCGAGATTCGTGCCGTGCTAACAAAATAGTTGTCTTAATCTTCAAAATAAAATGAAATTATTTCGATTGTGATCTTTCTGCAGCTTTTAAGCTTTTACATGCGTTCAACTTAAACATAACATTTACAATATCATAAGTATATAATGTACAAATAATTGGGTCTTAGTGTGTTTAACTTACATTTACATAACTCTAAACAGAATGATAAGCTCTCAAGTAGCTTAAGTTTCTTCATTTATCCAAAATGTAATTTACTTTTGCTTTCTCTTCTTAATTTTTCCATTTCTTTTTTGTGTATGTCAACAAAGGCCACAGGAAGTATCGAAAATTGAAAATTTTCACCAATTTTGTGCATTGGATTCACCAGCAGCGGATGCAATATTTTCTTTTTTTGTTTGTAAAATTATTCTACAGAATTTAACTAGACCAAAACACAGACACAGATGCACACACACACACACGCACATGCATACACGCATACAAACAAACACAATACAAATGCCTGAAGAAATCAATTAGAGTGCGATTTGAGTTGGCTACAAGAATGCTGTTGTCTAGGCATTGTTTTCATTTTATACATTCAGCTGATCGGAATCGGAATTGGTCATAGCGTAAGGATTGAATGCCTCAGTGAAACAGGAGCTCCTCTTCGTCGGGCTCCATATTGCGCCATTTCTATACGTCGCTCTGTTTGGCATTTGTATTGATGATAAAGGCGCCATTGATGTGGCCGTTGCCATGATGTGCCTTGCCGTTCGGCGCATACAAATTCGTCAGGCCATTTTTGCCATTGGCAATCATGATGGCTGTGTGCGGGGTCCCGCCATTCAGCTGTGCCACCAGCGGATTTTTGGTGGTATCGCCGGGCGGCGTTGTCAGTGGCGGCGTCACGGGCGATGGCTTAATTAGTTCCAGCTTATCGTCTGTGGAGCCTTTGAGCGCCGACTTGATCAGGGCGCCGTTGCCCGCATTGCCAATGGGTGCACGATGCGGCAGTGCGTAGCGCAGCTTGTCCCAGAACCATGGATCGCCCCACTTCAGGTAGGTGTTCATTCTCAGATACGCCTTCATTTCATCGTCCAGCTGCTCAATGTCACCAATGTCCGAATAGATGATCACAATCACACGTGAACGTCCCTCATTCAGCGCCGCTCGATGCGCCGCACGGAATTCCATGCGCGCCCAGTCGGACTTAATGAAATTCGGGCTGAGAACGATGATGGTTCGACGGGAGTCAGCGACGGAGCGTACAATATTCTCGGGTATGAAGCCACCCACCAGCCAATCGCGCACGTGCACGCAGAGCGTAAACTTTTGTGGACCATGCTCCAGTTGTGGCACCAAGTGCTTCTCCACGAAGCTCTGGTCCTTGTGCGAATATGAAATGAATGCGTCGAATTTCTTGTCCTTGTCCAGCTCCGCTTCGGTGACGAACCACATGCACAGATTGTGGGCGTACAGCCAGATCTTAATCTCCTGCTGGTACTTGTAGTACAGCGCCGCGCTGATGCCTACCAGAAAGCCTGCCAACGATATGACCACAATCACCGCAATGAACAGACTCCTGGGCCGTGGGCATATGTCATTGATATTGAGCTCCATGAGAGGTGTGGGCATTTCCGCATCGATGCAGAACATCTCTGTGTAATCTGGAATGCGTTCGTATTTCTTCTGAGTGAAGAGCAACAGTTCCTTAGCCTCGCAGTTGCACACCCACGGATTCTGGGAGAGACGCAGCTTCACGTTGTCCATCGTGCTGTTAAGATAGCCGAGCACCGTTGAGTTGAGCACCTGCAGCTGATTGCGACGCACATCCAAGTACTTTAAGTTTCTGGGCAACTGGTTCAGCTCCAACTGGGTGAGATTGTTGCCTGCCACGTGCAAGCTGGTCACATTCTCGTATCCAGGCGAATTGTAAGTCGGCAGCTTGAGCAGCGTATTGTTTTCCACATACAGTTCCATTTCACGAAGATTCTGAGGAAGGCGTGGCAGCTTAGGTATTTTGGTCAGTTCTCCGTTAGAGCAGTTAATAATTAGCGTGGCATCGAAGGTGCGCACCAGGCAATCGCAGCCGCGTGGGCAGCGTCTCTCGGCTGGATCTTCCGCTTGGTCAAACTGGCAGACCAGTTCACGAGGATGTACGGAGCGCATAGGACGATCCGCCAATGCACTTGGCGCGTGGCAATTCAATCGATCTGTATAGGTAATCAAATTCTTGGCGTAATCCGGCTGAATATCACCGCGCACCACTTGCAGGAAACGTAGGAGTGTGCAATCACAGACGAGAGGATTATCATTGAGATCAACTCTGACCGATTTCACGCCATGTACCAGTCGCTGGTCCTGGTCAATTGCCGGGAAATCTGTTTGCTTGTAGAAGTGCACGGTGATTATTTTATTGTGGGTCATGTTTATGTTCAAATCGTAAGCGGACACAAAGTCCAGATCGGAGTAATCCAGCCAGGTGAAATTGTTAAAGCTCAAGTCAATCTCCTGCAGCTCGCGCATTGCGTACTTCCAGTCGCTAAATATGACCATAAGCGAATTGTTGCGCAAGTTGAGAGTTGTCAGATTTCTAAGATGTGCGAATGGTGAACTGAGATCCGCATCCACTCCACGCGCCGTCATATACTCATGCAGATTGATATGATTGTTGGCCATATTCAGTTGGCGCAACAAAACGTTCGCAGCAAAGGCCTGCGGCTGGATGCTCACAAGATGGTTATCGTTCATGCGAAGAGTTTTTAGATTCACCAGTTTGCTCAAGAGTTTACTGCAGGGGCGAGACAACATAAAAGAGGGAATTACAAATGGGCTTCAGTATGAAAAGCAAGAGCAGGCACGATTAAGGCAAGCAAAGTGTTTATAAAGTAATTAAAGAATTCTAGTTTACCTGGATATTTCCGTGAGTCGATTTTCAGCAAGATTCAGATTCTCCAATTGGGACAAATGACTGAAGATGCTATCGGGCAAGTGACTCAAGCGATTCTTGTGCAAATCCAAATTAACTAGTTTCACCTGATGCTCCAGCAACTTCGCAGGCAGCGTGGTCAGATGGTTATCCATCAGCGAGATGTCTGTGATGTTCATTGAGTTCTCAATGAGGTCCGCAGAGATTGATTCCAGTTCACAGCGTAGATAGAGGGTGCGCAGATTGGGCAGATTGGCAAAGAGGCGAGCGGGCAGCGTGGGCAGCGGTACGCGATTGTTTTGCAGCTTCACTTGTTCCAGCTTCTGGTTATGTTCGAAGAGGCCCTCGGGCAGGGAGCGGAAGCTATTGCCATTCAAATTGATCTCGGTCACATTGGTGAGCAGGGCAAAGACATCCGGCCGCAGTTCAACAATGCCATTGTTATGCAGATCGACATCCTTGACGGAGACGGCGCCCTCAAAGTCGTGCTTGCTGAGATTGTGCAGCTGATTGCTCCACAGATTCAGATGCAGCAGCTTGTGTAGATTGTGGAAGAGACCGCGCGGCAGCTGCCTCAGATTGTTACTGCCCAGCTCGAGGAACTGCAAGTTCTCCATGTTGGCCAACAGCTGTGCGGGCAGCTCACCCAAATTGGCGGCGCGCATGTCCAGCCAGCTTAAGTGATGCATATCACGCAGAAAGTCCTCGGGAATGTACGGCAAACGGCGGGCAGCGAAACGCAGTCGCTGCAGGTTCTGCAGACGCTCCAGGTGCTTGCGGGTTACATTCATGCCCAAATCGTTGCCCTCAAAGATGAGCACTTTGGTGTTATTGATGCCAAGGTGATCCATGATGCCCGCTATGGGCGTGTGATAGGGCAGCGGGCAGCGTCTGATCTGCACCATATCGATGCTGCCGATGTTCAGCCTCGGCATCTGCTTGTACTCCGAGGCATCCGTCAGATTACATTCGATCTGGACCGTATATCCAGGGCGTATGGTTATTTTGAATTTGGGATTGTAGCTGTTGCCGGGACAGTTGAGCTCATACTCAGACAACGATGGTGCGCACTCGCACGATGAGATGGTCAGATCTCGGCATTCATCGCGCCCAAACACGGCCACGCCCAGTTGCCAGTTGAGCGCCTGAAGAAACACCACCAGCAGCAACGGAGGCGTTGCTCCGCTTACGGCTCGCATTATGTTTGTAGTTGTGTGTCTTGTCCTTTGCACGCTAGAAAATTAATGAAAATATTTAATTAGCTTTATTTATTAAGAAGTGAAATATGATTTTCTCTTAATCTATTACTAGAAACTTAAGTTCTTGCAATTGTCCTTTAAAGCGAATAACAGCACGATAACTCTTGTGTGACGAAAGTAAAACTTCAATTTAATTAAGGAATATGATGGATACGATGACGGCTGCGTCAGTTGTCAGTGACAAGTACAGCAACAGCTGGCAGAAAAAAGGAATAATTTTACTGCTGTACTCGACAAAGGAGGGACGCATGTCCTTCATACGTTGGCTGGGTGGCCAACAGAAGCTCTATTCATCCTTTATGCTTCCCCTCACACCCTCTACTACTTTCAAGCACAATGTTGCATTATATGTGGCACATAGCAGGCAGCCAAAAGCCTCGCGTCCTTTGTAAAGCGGGATGAAATTCAGCATCCCTTGACCGGGCTCCTCGAGCACTGCGTGGCAACTCTGTGGTGTAATTACGGTCAGGTAGTGTATAAAATGTTGTAAAATTTGCAGGCTTTTATTTCTTTTGGATCCCATGTGGGCGGCGTGCACTTTACGGGCTTTGTGCGTTTAATGAATTTGTCATGCAGTCGAGTGTCGTTAAAGCTTTAAACGAATTTGAGGCATCCGAAAGACTTTCGTCCTGCTGACAATTAAATTGTGCCCATTAGTCAGATTTTTGAAATGGAATTCAATTAAAACTTTGTGCCGGCCCTTTTGAGCAGTTCGTTCGCAGTTAGCTGCATTTCGGATCTCCAGCCGACGCTTTCGGGCTGATGGCATAATTTCGTTGCCTCTGACAGCTGCTTTTGAATGAAATTTTGATAAGCCAATTAAATTATGCGCCCCGTAATTGAATTCTCATTTTGCTGTTGACTTTTTACTGTGACTCTCTGCCCTCCCCAGGCGATCAATTTACCGGCCATTTGCTTTTAATTAGCCTACAACAATGATGAAATTTTCTCTGCCGCCTCTGGCAATGTAAATAATTATAATTACAGTTATCGAATTTTCCGTTGGCAAATGCATTTTCATTGCTTTTCGATTTTCGTAAATTAAATTAAATATTTTAAATAACAGATAACTAGCAAAGCTTCATTTAAGCTAGTGATATTGTTATTTATTTATTTGTTTCTTTCTTTTCTTTGTTTTGCTTTCTGTTTTCATAAACTGAACGAACTGTACTTAATGCCTCTAGCCAACTATTTATTCGCTTAAGCATTATTGCTGGTCGTGCTGGCTTAAGTGTTAATCGGATGAGGTTGGTCTAAGCAACTATTTATCGGCTAGCAGTGTCACTTCTCTGCAATGCAGCTAAGCCGTGAGGCAGAAGCGTTAACACGAATCGTGTGCATTGTGTATATAATTCGTTGTATAGCCAATTGCAGTGTCCAAGCGTCGCCTGCCACAATCCATTTAAGTCTCAGCACCTGATTTTAGCATTGGCCTGCCTCGGAGATTACGTGGATGGATACAGATACGTATTTATGCCAGTAGCTGGATAGGCGGCTGCTGTTGCTAACTATCTATGTAGACAACTTCAATTTCGCATTAAACTTTAAGCACTTTGGGCTCGCTGGCGGCCAAGTTAACCGAGTCAAAATAACATCTTGTGCTCGCTTCCGCCGCCCAGCCGCCAAACGTGCCACTGTTTTGGCTTTTAAATTCGGTCTGGCTTATCTAAACAGGCAGCGCTGGGCAGTTGCTTTTGTTGTTATTGTTGTTAAGATCTTAAACATTTATATTCACTTAGGAAAATTACTTTTAACTTTTATGCCATGCTGCCCGTGTAAATAGCCAACAATGTCCAGGGCGGCCAGAGCTTTGACTGGCTGCTGTTTTGCATTGATATGCTTCAGCGTTTCTTTTGCTGCAATGTAATCTTAGCGAATTCTTGTTGACAAGTTTTCTGAAAATGTTCAGCTGATTGGCAGCCAGGTGAACCAGCTCGAACAAGTTTCCTAAAAGCGGAACAGCAACAAGAACTTGGATAATATTTAATGAGGCCTGAGCTAAGCATTTTGTGTGTGCAGGTGTCCCTTACTTTGTGTGTGTGTATCTGTGTCTATGTATATGTATAGATAGAAAATGAAAGCCGACTTTCAGGCTGCCAATTAAGTTGGCCTCGTTTACAGTCTGCAACGGTAGCCTACCCCATCGGCACCTCATTTGATCCTGGCTGGCAATTAAAAATAATTGTTAATTTTAAACGTTACACCACATACACGCTTCACACACGACACACAGTCAAACACACACACCCATATATATATAAAATTATAAAGTCATATGGGCGGATAGGTTGTTTTCTTCCTTCTGCTCGCATTTGTCTGTTTTAATTAGACGCTTCCCCTGCAGCCCGGGCGCAGCCCTATTCGCAGTTCGAGTCGTTAATAAAGGTTAACGAAGTTTTGCCAACGCGCAGATTTCTCACACATTTCTACAGACACCCACATGCCTACGTACACACACAGCTATCCATGTTGAGATTCTAGCTGGAGTGCGCATTTTTGCACTCACGTGCTCTTTTCCGGTATGTAACGGTACTAAATTCATTAGGCACACTAAATTACAACCGCAGCGATGATGAGAGGGGAGCTCGAAGGGACAGAGTCAGTCAGAGTTGAGTTAAGTCGAGCAGAGTTGAGGCATGGCGGGGCAAGGTGTCGTGCCAGGTGATGCCAGGTTTTCTACAGACTTGGGTTTTTATTGCCGACGCTCAACAAAGCGCTTCAATGTATGTCGGCACATGTGCATGTGTAGGTGTGTGTGTCTATGTGTGTGTGGCTGCTATTAAATAGTCACGCCGCCCGCAGCGCGCTTTGGAAAATTGGCTTTCGCATGCCTGCGGTGCGCTTTATTACTGCAAGAAAAATTATCAACAAGAACAGAAAGTGAGAAAGTATTTGCATTGACTGTGCCCGACTACCAAATACCATATGAATAGAGCGAAGCACACGCAGGTATTATTAAGTTAACATTTCAAAAGCAATTTTGTTTTCTCATCTTTCTTTATATATCTCATCAAATATCCAAACAATATTTTCTACTACTTCAATATTTATCGTCTATCTAAAGACTTGCTTTTGATCATGCACCACCTTTTAATACCTCGTATTTTTTTTTTGTATTTTAATGACTACAGGGTATGGGCAAAACAGTTTCAGGCATGCGATTTAATGCTTAAATTTCTTAATGCTTGACAGTTGGATTAAGGCAAAGTGTTTTAATACCTTCGTCTTTTAATGACGTTGACATTTCCATTTCTGTGAGCTCGCACGCTTCACTGAATTTTCCAATTTTCCAATTTCTTGTCATGTTGTGCACCCTCTATTCTCTCATTCGTCTCGCTGTTCTGCGTCTTCTTTAGCTCAATAAGTATACTACAGAAATTGTGAGGCGACTGACGCAAACGCATTCATCAATCAATTTGACTAATTACCGCAATTGTTGGCGAGCACAATGCGGCAACTGTGCAGCTTGTTGAAGCGTTCTTGCCACGCCCACACACACACAGAGTAAGAAACAATAACAGCAGAAAATAAACAACAAGCTGTTTAATAATTTCTTATTAAAAAATTTCGCAAAGCAAAATCTATAAAACACTTTTACAACTTAGTACACACACACACACTTTTACACCCCCACACACACATGTGTGCTGACGTTCACCCGCATCCAATTCCCGTTTCCGATATTGGTAGCAAGTTTCGAGTTGCTGGCCAACTGCACGTTGTTCGGTTGTGGTCTCGTATCTTATAGTTGGCACAGTCAATGTTTCGGCAGCGCCTGCGTGTGTGTGTGGTGTGTGTCTAGCCAAAAGATTTCAATACTTGAAAACTTTAGCAAGTTGTGAGCCAATGTTTATGGCGCCCAACGTGGTTTACAACGTTTCTCCAGCAAACACATGCCCAAAACTGTGTATTCAGAAGTGCCAAACTGGCAGCTGGGACATGTTTACATATACATCTACGGACATATATAGAGCACAGATGCTCAGAGGGTGCGAGCGAGGGCGAGGGCGAGGCTAAGGCATTGAGGTGTGGTTGGGCGTTTCAAAAGCATAAGTACCCGTACGAACATATGCGAATAGCTTGCTGAAGCGCTGAGCAAATAGCTGTGTTGCTTATTGCGTTTGGGTTGCACGCGTTGCTGCAACTTTCGATATTGGCAAATACTCGAACGATTGATTCTGCTGGCTGGCAGCTGTGCGGCAGGGATTCAAAGGAAAGGACACACATATGGTAGAGCTTATATTGCATAAGGCGTTTTAAGCGTTATTCACAAACATTCAACTAAGAAACATCTGAATAAGTACTACTCTCAAGTTTTTAACTGCTTCTATTTAAGTAAAGTACTAAAAAGTTTGAAAACATTGCGCTTGCACGTGAAATCGAGAAGTAAATACAAAATGTCAACATACAATGTCAAAATATTAAATATATTTATTAATATTAATAATATTTAAGCTATTTCGCTGTAATTTCAGCCCCGGGCCTAGCTTGAGTAATTTTTTAAAATTAAATTTTAAATGCTTATGCTTTTTATTTGAACAGATTGTATAATAGATACCGGTGCATCTGGTTAATTCATAAGTGCAAGCGCAACATGATTAGCTGCAATTGTAATTGCTTGAAGTGCTGTAAGCTATTTTAACAATTAATTAAGCAAATTTTATATTTTTATATTCACTGAGGAAACAATTACAGTACAACGGAGGGTTTGCTTGTTATAAAAATTCGTGCGAATATAAATCTCTCAATTTAATCTGTCTATTGTCAATGCCGGTCTATATATGCGGTAGTTAGCTGCTTATTCATTCCTTCATATTGAAGTGAAGTCCTAAATTTAAGGCGCCCTTCTGCTTCCACTGATTACGGTATAACGCCTCTGCTGCAATATGCACTTAAGTCTGTTGTGGTGGGGCGAAGCGTTGATGCGGAATAGCTTCTTAAGATAGAGCAATAGTTATATATTAAGATAGAGGA